ACTGAGAGTCCATTGATCTTGTTTGCATTTTTTTAAGATTTTATTTATTTGAAAGGCAGAATGGCAAAGTGACACAGGCACACACAAACATACAGAAAAAAAGAGAGGAACAGAAGAAAGAGAGAGAGAGAGAGAGAGAGAGAGAGAGAGAGAGAGAAATCATCTATCCAATAGTTCATTCACCAAATGACCACAAGAGCCAGAGCTGGACCAGGGTAAAGCAGGAGGCAGAAATCCCATCTGGCTCTCCCATGGGGCTGGCAGGGGAGCAACAACTTGGGCCATCATCCGCTGCTTTCTGAGCTGTGTTAGTAGGGAGCTGGTTCAGAAGCCGACAGCCAGGACTCTAACACTTGGAAGGGGGAAGCAGGTATCCCAGGGGACATCTTAACCCACTGGCACCACACTACTGGTCCCTTGGCTTGCATTGCATTCTCAGTGAGGAGCTACTGCTAGGTTTTCCCGGAGCTGAAAGAGAGTGAGCATTTGAGAGCTTGAGTGGAATTTTGCTACATACAGAGGCATTAATTCACCAGGACTGACAGGAAACTGGCCTCTTGTAGCAGGTCCGAGAGACAGGTGGTCCTGCATTGAGAATGGCTGCAAGACATCTGGAGAAAGCTGCCTCCAGCACTGAGCCCCTGTCTCAGCCTGAACATTGGGTCACAAGCAGCAACAAAGCCTCTAGCCACCAAGGAACCTCGTAGGCTTCCAAGAGATGCCATCAGTGAGTTCCTGAACCCAAGACCTAGAGGGTTCACTCTGCCTTCTGTGGACATCTTAAGGCACCAGAGACCTCTGTTTGGCCCTTCATTGAACTCTATTGTAATTCAGCCAGGCTGATGGTGGTCTGGACCAATTAAAATCACCTAAGAAACTCAAAATAATTCTTTACATGGTATTTCTATTTTGAAAAATAAAATGCAGAATTACTATGTTTGACTCTGTATAGTGCAACTCAGAGCAAGGTGTGTCAGGGACTTCTTGAAGTGCATTCTTATTTAATTAAAATACACAAGAGGAGTGAATGAAAGCAAGGTGATCCTCCCAGGTGTTCAAGACCATAGTACACATTTACAAAATACATGTTTAAGCTTCCAACTACAACATAAAGGAAGAGTGTTTCTGAACCAAGGAAACTTTAGGAGCTACAACACCACAGTAAAATTCCCATACGGGTCTGCAAAGCCATGTGATCTCACTATTAAAAAATACCACCACAACCACAAGCTTTTCAAAGGGCACAGAAAGTTAGAAAAATCTCCTATCACCAGGACTGAGCCAGGAGGCCTTGGAAGGTGGGGGCAATGAAGGGGCAGAAATCAATTTTACTCGCTTCAGCCTCACAATGGATTTTGCAAAGCAAAGGGTAGAAAATCAATCTTGTCAAATCAGTGAGAATTTATACACTTGAAGGAGTCTAAAGGTCTCGAAGGGTGTATTTGGTAGCAGGACTTTCTTCTCCTCCATCACATGGTGGAAATGATAGCAGGAAGTGAGAACCCTTTTCTGTACTGAGAGCACTCTTGCCGTGTTGTGCTTGATACTGAATTCCTTAGTCCTGGCCTAAACTCCCTGACGGGCACGGGAAGAACAAGCCATAAGGCCTCTGAGTTATGTCTGCTCTTTCCTCCTCAGAACAAGCCTCCAGTGATTGGAAGGCCCCCTTCTCTCGCCTCTGCATTAAAACCCGGGCTACTACCTGCTAATTCTGTGACCTTTGATGAGTTCCTTAATTCTGCTGCAGCCCAATCTGTAAAATGGAGCAAGAGTGACAAAAGTTTGAGAGGCCCAGGATCACTGAGGAATCATGCCTGACTTCTCTCTCCTGCGCGACCCGTGCAATGGCAGTGAGTTAGTTGTTTGTGAGGGTGACCTAGTCTTTCGATGAAGCCTGAGACTGGGCTTTTATCCTATTACAGATGCACAACCTTTGCTGACTGGCTAGGTGCATACATTTGGCTCTCATGTCTGCTTACTGACTGACCACACCAGCCTGGCCCTTGGAGGACAGGTGTCAAGGAGGCCCACAGAAGTCACAGAACAAATACATCAGCTCTCCCAAGTTCCTTCCTCTTGCTTGCTTCTTTCATTGTAGCTGGATTATGCTAGCAATGTGCACCAACTGGCCAGCATTTCCACAAAACCAAGGAAAACACTAAAATGATCCTATGAGATTAGTCTACAGTAGGTATGCAAGCCTGTGATCTAAAAACAAATAAAATTAGCATAATTAGTAATTTTTGAGAGAGCGCCCATCCAATGATTAATTTCCTAACTGCTCATAAGGGGCCCTCCCCCCTTCTAATCATGGGCCCAAAGCAGGAGCTGGAAACTCATCCAAGTCTCCCCTATGGGTGGCAGGAGCCTAAGCACTTCACCCATCACTTGCTGCTTCCCACGCTCTGCACAAGCAGGAATCAGGAGCCAGGTACCAAACTCGGGTACTCCAACGCAGGATATAGATGTTTTTGTTTTTAGAAGATTTATTGGAGTTATATAGACAGAGAAGCTTCCATCTTGTTCAGTCCCTAGATGGCCTCACCAGCCAGCACTTGGTAAGGTAAAAGCCATGAGCTTCTTCTGGGTCTCCCATGTAGGTGCCAGGGCCCAAGAACAGTTTCGGCCCATCACGGCAGCTTAAGTGCTCAACTTGCATGTGCCAAGATCTCATATGCACACCAGTTTGTGTACCAGCAGCCCCGCTTCCCATCCAGCTCCCTGCTTGTGGCCTGGGAAAGCAGTTGAGGATGGCCCAAAGCCTTGGGACCCTGCACCCCTGTGGGAGACCTGGAAGAGGCTCCTGGCTCCCAGCTTTTTCTCTGTCTCTCCTTCTCTGTAAATTGGTGTTTCCAATAAAAATTTAAAAATCTTTTAAAAAATCGTTTCATGAAGCTAAGTTTACATCCATAAGCCACAGATGAACATAGGTGGTCATTAAATGTCATTAAACAACTTTGATGGTAGTATTTACAAGATTGTACCACACCATGATAAAGCAGCCAAAGGAGTTTTGCCGTTTGCAAATACGACCACATCTAAACTCACTGAAACAGCTATTTAAAAGACTTTTTTCCCGAGACTTGCTCAGGGAGGTAATCTGAAATTTTTCTTACTTGTAATGAAAGAGGTTGTGGTGATACTTTTCCCCTTTTGTGGACTGAGCATCTATTACATGAACTTGCAAATTGGCTAATTGCCTGGAATATTCAAGAACAAAACTGTAGTTCTAATAAACTCTAGTGTAATGTTGGGTTAAACCCCTTGGGTCTGGAGGAGAGATGATGATTGTAAGCAAGGCATCTTACAGGTAAGAAAACAGTCTATTTTTACTAAATTTGTGGCTGTGCAGACAACCAAAGGAAAATGCCTGCAGCTCTTGAGCAGCAAATGGCTTGGGGTGCAGAGTAGAAGGTGCTGGAAGAACCCTCCATGCACAGACTCAGGCATGCACCACGTATTACAAGTGAATTCGGTGAGTGAAGCGGACCAACAGTAGGTTGCTGGTGTTCACTAGCTGGCTAAGCTCTGCACAGTACATTTAAAATGATCAGGTTACGAGAGAAGGAAAAACAACCCTACAGGAACAAGAGGGGGATTGGGTGCAGTCCTTTGTGAGTTACTGGGAACACTGGAAGAGTGAGGAGACCTGATGTCAGTGAAATCTATCACACCCAAGTTTTCATTCCTGAATGGAAATTTCCAGAGCCTCCATTGTAAACCATTTTGTGACAGGTCATTTATTAGAGGAACGACACTTCTGCTTATGTGACTAAGTGGCAACAGTGCCACCTGCTGGGGCACAGCTTGAGCATTTTAGAGCAATGGCCCAGTCTTTTTTTTTTTTTTTTATAGTAAATTAACTTGAGAATCACAGAAAAATGACATTGGAAATATCTTCAAAGATCATCTAGGCCATATGTCATTTTGCAGCTAAAGATTTGCCTTAAGTAGTTACAATATTCTCTTTCTATTGATGGGATGGTGCTGCAAATTCATCCCTCAGTAGATAACCACAGCAGCAGGCAGCAATGCTGGATTCCATCAGCTTTCTGTCAATGTGAAACCCAAAAAGCAGTTCAGAGCCCTTCACTGAGCATCTACAGTGCACTGTCCAACACAGCTTTCTGCAATGACCTTTGCTGGTCAGTGCTCACTAGCCACGTGTGATTGTTTAACACCAGAGATGTGGCAATTGACCTAGCAGAACAGGCTTGGTAAAATGGCTTAATTTCAATGCAGTTACATTTTCCTAAGCAGCCCCGACGCACTAGTGCAGGGCTCCTCAGGTGCAGAGACCACCCTGTGTACCGCAGAACATTGTATGCGATCCCAGTCTCTACCCACAAGAAGCCACTAGATGCCCTCCCAGGTCATGACAAAGTGTCCACAGCCATTGCCAAGTGTTCCCTGGGGGCCACAACCACATCCGGTTAGGAAGTGGTGCACTAGTGGTTGCTGCTTCAGGCACACAGCCTTCTGTGTGAGGCAAGGAGCCTGCCCCTTCACTGCAGCAAGGGTGCTTCTGAGACACAAGGAAGGGCTAAGCAACTAGACAACAAACAGACATCTTTATCTTTCCTTCTCGTGCAGCAGAGATGGATCCACGCCAGCGACAGCAGAGCCTACCATAGTGGAAACTCCCCAGGTGGGCCTCAGAAAGTCAATATTCCAGTCTACACTTCTGTCTTTGCTCAGGATAATTGGCCGTATTGATCTCCCTACATGCCATGTCATGTCTGGAGGACAGTGGGTAGGGCCCACCTGGTGGAGCTGCCACAGAGCGGAAAAGGGACAGAATGCAGAGAGCACTCCTCACGCAGTGCTGGATGCATACATGTTCCAAACAAGAGTTGTCACTGTGGACTCTCTTCCATGCAAGGCGCAAAGTCTTTCTGCCTTCTACCCAGTAATTCCACAGTAGCCACTGTGGGTCTATTAAAAATTAACAGCTCATTGAAAAAGAAAGAAACAGCCAAATTTGTACAACTCAACTTTATTTTTCAACTTTAGTGGCTATCACTCTCCCCAGCTTTGATGCCCTCAGAGGTGAAGGAGAAACCGTTTCAGATGCCCTGGCAACAGGAGCGTGCTGATGCCGTGATGCTGCCCAGCGCGGAAGCACTTGCGGATCCTCAGGCGGCACAACTGCGCCAGAGAGGGCGGCCCTGCAGGGAGACCCGAGCAAGTCACAGTTGGCTCTTGCTTCACTCACGCTGCTTTGCCGCTTTGCTTTTCCTTTTTTTTTTTTGCGGGGGAGGAGGGAGTATACAAGGTAGAATTTTGTTTTACCAGGGGGTGGGGGTGGGCAGAAAGAAGGGATGGTGCATGTTGTGGTATAGCAGGTAAAAAACTACCACCTGCAGTGCCAGCATCCTGCATGGGCAATAGTTCATGTCCCGGCTGCTCCACTTCCAGTCCAGCTCCCTGCTAATGCACCCTGCAGAAGCAGCAGAGGATGACACAAGTCCTTGATCCCCTGCCAAGTGGGAAACCCGAACGAAACTCCTGAATCCTGGCTTACATCTGGCCCAGTACTGGACATTGTGGCCATCTCGGAAGTGAACCAGCAGGTGAAAGATTTCTCTCACTTCCTTTGTCTCTCCCTCTCTCTAACACTGTCTTTCAAATAAATAATTTGTAAAATTTATTTTTATTGCAAAGACAGACCCCCAGAAAGAAGGAGATACAAAGAAAATAATCTTCCACGCACTGGTTTACCCCCCAAGTGACAGCAATGGCTGAAGCTGAGTCAATCTGAAGCCAAGATCCAGAAGCCCTCCCAGGTCTCCCACATAGATACAGGACCCAAGGCTTTGGGTCATCATACATTGCCTTCCTAGACCACAAGCAGGGAGCTGGACAGGAAGTGGAGCAGCCTGACACAAAGCAGGCCCACATGGGACCCTGGTGCACGCAAGGCAAGGACATCAGCTAGGCCCTAAATAATCTTTTTCTTTTTTTTTTTTTAACAGGAGATAGTATGTTACTGCTTAAGAACTTCTGCTATGTTTTGGTTAGTTGGTCAGTTGGAGGAATTTTTAGGCCATATTCTCTCTTTTCTGGGGCTTGTTGAAATGAAACTGTTGGGTTTTAATTTGTAACAAGGAGAAAGACATGTAAATTCTTGCTGCCCTAACAAAGGCCTAAGGAAGTAAACCTGGGAATTTCACAGGCAAACAAAAATTTCAACAGTGGAAAAAATTCATGTTTAATGGTATTTCTTGCATTTACTCTTAAAAAAAAAAGAAAAGAAAAAAACCAAGGGCCTAGTTCTAGGTGCAGCTTTTTTGATCTTTTGACTTCATAATTAGAGCAATCTTAAACACAAACAGCTCTACAGTGAATCCCAGATGCATGCTCTCTGACTTCAGTCCTAGTAGAGCTTCCATCCTGGATCCAGAGCTATGCCGTGTGTCTACTCTCTGGTGAAAAGCAACTAGTACATACAGGCTTTGTGCAAGCGACAACACCCACGAGTTCACATCAGAAGACCATTGTTCTAAATAAGGGGCACGGACGGGGAAGGGAAGGAAGACAGGGTATTTTGCTCCCTAGGGGACATTCAGCCATGTCTGGAGGCCCTTTTGAGGAGGTGGTGGCCCTGCCAAGCAGTGGCAAAGGTCAGGGGCACCATACAAAACAGACTCCAACAGATGCAAACATGGAAAGTGGCAAGACTGCAACACTGTGTTAGGGTGAAAGGATGGGGGGAGGTTCCTGTTCCTGCCACCCTCTGAATGGGACTGTAATAGAAGTTTCTCTTTGGATTATTTCAGACAATAGCAGCAGCAAAATTCTATCCTTCAAAAGTTCCACAAAGCAGCAGCCCTTCATCAGGTGGTACTTCGGAACCACCAGGGGAGGGGTCCCCTTAGATGGCACCATAACAGTCCCCAACCCAGGGATGCTGCTTCCATTACTGCTGGCTGGGGCCTGAGCACCTGAATTTTTGCAAGGCCCGCACCCTCTGTCATATCGTACAGCCAGGGCCGAGGATACAACTGAAAAGCTCCCATGGCCTCTATTCTCTATAACATCACCGCAAGTGACAGGTGAAACTGAATTGCATATTTCTTAAGGGGCTGAGGTATATGGAAAGGTGGAAGTACTTTCACAGACAGAAATGCACAATTTTTGTCAGGCCATAACAGTATATGCACAAGGGCCCTTGGCAGTGTTTAGGACCCCTTACAGATGGTGTTCAGGGTTCTCAAAGTCTAGTAGTGGACTGCTTCTCAATGTACTCAAGCCATGCGCTAACCCACCTACAAAAGGTACTCCATGGGGAGACTGAACTTCATCTGATCTCATTAAGGAACACTGAAGGGAGTGACTCACCACTGATGCTAGATCGAGTCAAGGGCAAATGTGAAGAGGGAGGGGCTGGTGAAACATGTGGAGAGCAAGACCTCACAGCGAGTGGGATCAAGCATGACAAGAAGCAAGTCACCCAGCGAGTCCATTGTTATGCCAGTCCAGCCGCCCAGCTGCTGTTTACTGCAATCACGATGACATACAGCAGCCTGGAACCTGCACAAAGCAGACCCCAGCTTTGCAGCCACCCACAAACACGTGGCAGCTCGGACCAATAATTAAATCATCTGAATGCATCTTTATAAACTGACATATTCCTTTGGGTCTCAGTTTCTTTTTGGCCCCTACACACTCACAGTGTTTGAAGGCCAAAGTGTATTCAAGAGAATTCTACCGTGCTGGGCTGAGGCACTTTTTAGTCTTCATTGTGTAAAACATTGCTTTAGATTTTATAAAGAAGGGTGGGGTAGTAATACTAAAATCCTTTCTCCTTTCCTCTAAAGGAGGAAAAACCCTGCCCTTCCTAACACCCATGCAAAAGCCAACACACATTGTGATTGGGTCTCATCCAATGTTCTGTCCCTTCCATGAGTACAAAGAAACAGGTGAAGTGATTTGCCAGGCACACTCAGCAGCAGAAATTGCTGTATTAAATCCACAAGTTGGGCTTTGTGCACCTGCCTGTCCCCATTTCCATGGGTGGGTGTCCAGCCTGTAGAGAGGCAGCAGAAGTGGCACTTAATAAAGCATCGGGAATCCTCATCCACACCCTGCCAAATGGAACCTGAAGAGGTGCAAAGCAACTCTTGGGAATTCACACGCAAGACAAAAGTCAGTGCAGACAATGTGCAAATCGGAGGATTGTGTGCTGAGGAAGGGAAAAGAGGTACCCCGTGTGATGGCTTCAGGGGGCCTCGGGGCCTTTTTCCTTTGTAGATCCCTTTCCCAATTCAAACAAAAATGAAAATTGTATTTTAAAGTGGTGTTGGAAGAAAGATGGATATAGTATAGGTCGAGCTTTAGTCACTTTCTGCTTCCAATTTTACAAGAAATTAAGACATTTGTTGTGGGCCCCAAGGCACTGTGCCATCTGTGCTTGAAAGAGAAATCAACCCTGTATACATAGAGCAGTTTTTGAAAACAGGAGATCATCAAAATGTACAATTGCCCAGTGATTATTCCACTGCTGGACAGAAAAGGACCCAATCGGTCTGCTTGCTGGGTCCGGGCCAGTCTTCCCAGTACTCCCCCATGGCCTCATGGGAGAACATAAGCCTTGCTTGGCAATGCTTCAAGGCAGATGGCCACCCACAAACACTCTGGGGCAGTGGGGGATCACAGAAAGGCCCAGCTGACAGTTTTGCCTCCAGCCAGCTGCACTTCTCGGCAAATAGGGAGAAAATAGGCAGATTAAACAGTGGAATCCTTCCCGTAGAGCAGCCTGCTCCAAGCATCCCAGCAGCCCTACCAGTTAGTGCAGCTACAGGCTGGAAAGAAAGCAGGTACGGAGCTGGCTGCTCATGCACCTCTATGGGCAATTAAGACAGCAAGCGAATTTTTCTTCAACCTGAGCTGAACCCAACCTCAACACCCGAAAAATTTCTAGTGGCTTTTGTGAAGAATAGCCATTTTTTTTTTTTTTTACAGATGAAAGAGTGCAGACTTGCTGTTGGTTAAGCAAGAATCATACATTTCTTCGAATTGGTGTGATTCCTCAAAGAAATGTCTTACACTCTTAATTGGCTGCACTTTAATCTCAGAAACCAAATGCCCAAAAGTTTGGCCCATCTGTCAACATCCGGAGGTTTCACATAGCCCCCAAGAGGCTTCTTAATTCTTGGAAAACTGATCTACCCCAGGTAGGAATATTAGATCATTCCAAACAGCCTGTCTCCAACAGGCTAAACACCAGGACAGTCATTTACTACATAACTAGTGTTGTATCTCTTTACTCAATTAGCTCAACTGCCCCACATTTGGTGCTAACAGAGAATTGGAAGTTAGAACTCAAAAAGTACCTGCCTCCTACTAGAGCCCATAGGCATCTAAGGTTGGGACTTAAGGTTCAGGCAAGGGAGAGGCACCTTCTCTCTGCAAGAAGAGCTGCGTCACTGGGCTCCCCGGAGGCGCCAGCTCTGCAGGTCGCTTGCCCTCAGCGTTCTTGGCCTGGGCGTTTGCCCCGAAGTCCAGGAGCAATCTGACTAGCTCCACACTGGATGCCATGGACGCTGCATGAAGAGGAGACTCCAGACCTCGGCCCTGGTTCACGTTTGCTCCTAAATAGGCACAGGAATGAAATGAGTCAGCGAGAAGCAGAGTCTAACCATGTACCTTCCCAAAGTCCCTGAGTCAAGGGGGTCCCTGCAGAAAAATGGAGATAACTTGATTCCATTTAATAATGTGGGCTTAGGCTACACATCTGATCCAGTGGTATTTCCCCCATATTATTAAACGTACCTTTGAGCACTATATACATAGATGTGACAAATACAAACAAAGATGTGGTGACATGAAAGCTGAACATTTAATGGAACCAACAATGAGACAGTACCCAGAGTGAGACTTGATGGTAAAACTCATCTATGAGAGCAGCCAAATTCCCATGCTGAACAGTCACCACAGCATTTACAACTTGGCACTTGGGATTCGGTGCTCTGCACTCTGAAAAGCAAACGACTCAAGGGGCAGCTCCTACAGCAGGTGGTCAATCCCAGTATCACAAAGCAGGTGCACTTCTGCTCATCAGCATCCCCACTGAACCAACACACTCAGCGAATCCTCATCCCAGACCACGTCCTGGCTCTCGCTGTGACGTCTGCAGGTATGTGCTCTTGGCCTTGCATGCTGTCCCTCTAGTAAAATAAGAGTCTATGTGCACACAAGTATAAACTGGATCGGTCTTCCAAGCTCTCTACTCCATGAAAGATGACAAACATTGAATTTTCCTGGGTAGGAGTTTAGATAGCGCTTGTGTGTAAGAGAGAGAAAGAGAAAGAGAGAGATTGAGTGTTTGAGGAATTAATCTCCTAATTCATGGCAATGGCTTCTAAATGAGTAGAAGTAACAGCATTCAGTAGGAGGAGTGATGCCTTGAGTCTTAAGAACAGACAGGACTCAAATAATGAAAGAAGTCATGCAGTGGTGTCCCAGGTGTTGAGAAGGGAGCTGGACAGTAGCAAGCAAGGGAATAAGGATAGTGGCACACAGATATTCCCCAAGAAAATGTAACATTTACAATGCACTAAAAATAGGATAACTTCAACTGCCAAATCAAAGAACTAAAACAGGTCTGAGAGCAGAAGACAGCCCAAATCAAGCAAGTCTACAGGTTATGCAAGTCGTAACACTGTGCGTGCCCAGTGAAAGACAAACAGAGCAGGACGAAGAAACCAGTCATCATCACCATCATCTAGTTACAAACGTAAGAACAGAAGTTCACACAGTGTAATACAGGCCCCCGTGGGAACACAAGAATGTGAACCCTAATTCTGCCCAACTCTGTCACCCCCTCTCTTTGCTCCACTACCATGCAAAGAAACTTCAAATATATTTAGTTATTTGCTATCCTTGTGGTGTGTGTGTGTGCGTGTGAGTGAGTGTTTTACCTGACTCCAGGAGTTTCTTGGCACAGGCTAGCTGCTGGTTTTCACAAGCCAAATAGAGAGGAGTTCCCAAGTGGCTGATGTTGTGGTCAATGTTGCCCCCATGAGCCACAAGGGACTCAATGCACTCCACGTGACCTGCAGTCCCAGGCAAGAGAAAAATAGTCACCGTCCAAATTCCCTTGACAAGCAAATCATCATCCCTAGGTTTTATGTGCTTAAATTTGTTAGCGACTTATTCAGGGACAAAGGCCATTTTCTTTACTTAGAACAGGGGATGATTTCAGAGTACATCTGAGCTTGCTAGCCTCAGCAAAGAGCCGGCAAACACTGCCCTTGATCAGTTGTTGGGCTTTGCAACTGGTGCCAAGTACAGAAATGGAAGATGGAGTTGCAGAGGACTGGAAGAACAGGGCCTGAAGGTGCACTTGCTGAAGACCTGGGTGGGACAAGGGGGCTAGTGACTGCACGCCAAGGGCAGGCCTGGCGAAATGGACACAAGCTGGCCTTAGAAGGGCCTGCCAAGCCCACCACAAGTAGAGCTCAGTTTACCCAGTCAGGCTCAGTGAAGGCTGACTCACTCTTTTTAATCCAGACCATCACTGCTTCCAGGGTTCTTTTAGAATTCTTCCATCATTTCATTTGCATTCTAGGTGCCCAGCGAATCAGTGCAGTTAGCGCGGCTCCTAATCAATAAGTACCAATGCTGTGGGAGCTCGTGACCACCTGCATTGGGCAGCGAAAGAGGAGACCTTTCTGTGAAAACCCTCTGGCAAGGCATGGGGAGGACAAGGAGGATGCTAAACATCAGAGAAAAGCAAAATTTGCAATTTTGTTTTTCATCCCCAAACTAAGAATATATATTTAAAAATGGTGGCTTTATGAAAAGAATGATCTGAAAGTGTACACAATATCTAATGGTTCCAAAAGCTGAAGGTTTGCTTCACTTGGCAAACTTACCACGGCCCTTAAACAATGCTACTTAAGGCCTGAAAACAGAAGGATATAATTTGTTTTGGAAAAAAACAGCTTGATTTTACTGGACTCCTAGGTTCTTCAATATATTCCACAAGTGCTGGTAGACAGTCTGCTCTGCATGGCTTGGCCCAGGACCAATATTCTCAAAGGAAGATTCTCAAATATACTGTGGTCAAAGTCACCTGGAGGTTCCTAAATCCAACCCAGGTGACCTGCCATGGTGACTGACTCACTGCAGCTTGAGTGGGGTCGAGACATCTGCATTTATAAGCCAGGTCATGCTGAAAGTGCTGGTCCCAGCACTCCATTTTGAGAATGACTTCTCTAAAATACGTGTGCTGTCTCCCAGCCCTCCTGGCCCTGGTAGGTGTCCCTGGAAGGCGAGACTCACCTCTCTTAGCAGCTTCGTGGATCGGGGACGCCAGATCACTCTTGGGCTGGGGGCTGGCTCCATGTTGCAACAGCAAATTCACACAGGCCAGACTGCCACTGACACAAGCATTAAATAAGGGAGTGTGCCAGTCCGTGGTGATGCCATTCACCTGCAAAGAAAAGCTTCAGGAGGAAGACAGGCTGCAAGGGGTCCTGCCTTCAACCCTCAGTTCCCTCGCCTAGGAGCTATTAGGTAGCAACTCTGGGCCTTTACCAAATGGCATATAGACTGCAAGGTGTCCAAAGTGTCACCATATACTGTTTCTTCTTTACCCTTCCTGGGATCAAGACTTTGAAATTAGTTAGGATCATTTTAATAGCATATAAACCAATGTCTTAATTTCTAATTTCCATCCTAGGCCTTATTCCACATCAATGCAGTATCCTCAACACAGCCAGAATCATCCAAAACTGCTAACAATTGTAACTTTTAAAAACATTGCTTAGATACAGCTCTGGAGTTTATACTTGTGAAAGATTTTATTCAACTCATCCTTTAATGGAAGGAGCTGGTAAAATGTCTAGGCTAATTCAAAGAGAATTCTAACAGAGGACTGAAGTCCATTTTCAAATATGAGAAGTTTTCAAGAAGTCGATGGAAATGTATTTTATTAAAATCTGTGACTAGGTTTCATTTCTTCAGCCAAAAGTAAACTTATCAAATAAATCCATTTCTCCACAAACTTCTTGAAGTGCCTTCATAGATGCAGAATGGTTAATATCCTAGCAGCAAACAGCCATGTTTGGGGCCATTTCTCCTAAACTAGAAACCCTCAACACTTGTAAGCCAACGTCTGGCCTCACAGCCTTAGGTCTATCATCAAACCCTACCTAGCAAAGCAGAATAAAGGCGTATTCTTTAACGTCTTTAACTCTGGTGGCGCTACGAAGGCTCTCCTGTGACCTCAGAACAAGACCCGCTTCCTCAGTGTGCACGAGGCCGCTGGTGCTCCGACCCCTCTAACCCACTCTACTCTCCTACCATAAAGGAGGGGTTGGAATTTTCTCACTTGCACTTCTAGGTATTTTTATTTGCACGCAACCCACAATTTCCCCGAACCACCATTCGGCACACCAAGTTCAACAGGTTCTTCAAGCCTCAGCTTAGACAGTGGTTCTTCTACCCCAGGAAACATATCCCTTTGCAGCATGCTGTGCGCCTCCTCCCATCGCCAGCTAGATGCTGGCCTGCTAATCCTCGAATCTGGGCATGCCTATATGACTTGCTGTGGCCAAGCAGACAGTGACAAATGTGATGCAAGCAGAGCGCTCGTCCCTTTTGGCTGCTCTTGCAATCTCAGCTTCCATGTGAACAAGCCTGGGTTGCCTACTCACAAATGAAAGACCACACAAGGATTTTGTTTTCCCAGACATTTCAGGCATCCTAGCCATGCTTTCCACAGTATTTTAACTCTTTTCCAGTCATAACAGTGAAGGCACAAGTCTAACAGCTATTTAGTAGTAACTGCCCAACAGAAATTTCTTTCTAGCTCAAAACTCAGTATTTCATCTTATCCCTGGGGTGCTTACCTGGGCTCCATGCTTCAATAAAAGGTTTGCACACAGGAGATGGCCTCCCAGGCAGGCCTCATGGAGGGGCGACACGCGGTCTGCGGTGATGAGGTTCACAGGCCAGCCCTGAGAGGGGGAATGACGAGGATGAGGGGTGCAAAGCAACAGCGCCCTGCAACTGCGTGGTCTTGCGTCACAATCACATCTAACCTAGCTCCAAGTCTTGACAGTAGGCTCAAGGAGCGCAATGAAAAAAAAAAAAAAAAACACAAACAAAAACAAAGGACCTGTCAGACACGCAGCTTGTCAGGACACGTTGTAGATCCCTTTTCAAAATGCTTGGACCAGATTCTGGAATATCAGTGTATACATAGTGAGTTACCTAGGGGACGCGGTGCAAGTCTAAACATGAAACTCATTTATGCTTATACATGCCTCATTCCTATAGCCTGAAGGTACTTTTATGCATTGTTTTTATAATTATGTGCATGAACCAAAGTTTCCCAAGGTGCAGTTTTCCATGGATGGGCATTGTGTTGGCACTCAAAACATCTCCAATTTTGCAGAATTTGGGATTTCAGATTCTCAGATTAAGGATGCATCAACAGGACCATGTGGATGCCTACAAACTAAAAAACTGACTCATCAGTATAGGCATTCAATAAGTACTTTAAAAATGTAAGAGAGCTTCAAACGTTTCTGGAAAAATATGTGACACAAAAAACCCTAGAGCCCAGCATGATGGCTCAACTGGCTAATCCTGCACTCCAAGCAGAATTCCATGTCAGGCTGCTCCACTTCCCATCCAGCTCCCTGCTTGTGGTCTGGGAAAGCAGTGGAGGACGGCCCAAAGCCTTGAGATGCTGCACCCGTGTGGGAGACCCGGAAGAGGTTCTGGGCTCCTAGCTTTGGATTGGTTCAGCTCTAGTCATTGAAGCCACTTGGGGAGTGAATCAATGGATGGAAGATCTTCCTCTCTGTATATCAGACTTTCCAATAAAAATAAATCTTTTTGGGCCCGGCGCAGTGGCGCAAGTGGTTAAGTCCTCGCCTTGCACGCCCGGGATCCCATATGGGCGCCGGTTCTAATCCCAGCAGCCCCGCTTCCCTTCCAGCTCCCTGCCTGTGGCCCGGGAAAGCAGTCGAGGATGGCCCAAGGCTTTGGGACCCTGCACCCGCGTGGGAGACCTGGAAGAGGCTCCTGGCTTCGGATCGGCATAGTATCGGCCATTGCGGCTCACTTGGGGAGGGAATCATCCGACGGAAGATCTTCCTCTCTGTATCTCCTCTCTGTATATCCGCCTTTCTAATAAAAAATAATAAAAATAAATCTTTAAAAATAAATAAATAAATCTTTTTTTAAAAATAAAAGATATTCTTGGAGCTGCCAAAGTGGTATAGCAGGCTAATCCTCTACCTGAAAGCACCAGCATCTCATGTGGGCACCAATTACTGTGCTGTTTGCTTGATTTACCATTCAACTCTCTTTTCATGGCCTAGGAAAGCAGTGGAGGATGACTCAAAGCCTTGGGGTCCTACACCCATGTGGGAGACTAGGAATCCTAGAGGCTCCTGGCTCTCAGCTGCAGATCAGCTCAGTCCTGGCCATTGTGGCCACTGGGTAGTGAACCAGCAGATGGAAGGCTTCTCTCTGTCTCTCATCCTCTCTCTCTGTAAAAAATCTGCCTTTCAATTAAAAATAAGCAAATCTTCAAAAGAATATTCACAATAGCATTGTTGTGAATTGAGTGCCAAAATCTAGAAACAACACAAATCCCCATCAACAGCCAACTACATTAATAAACTTTGTGATAATTGCTTCATGAAATATTACAGCTTTGGGTGTGATAGAGAATGTATGGTCTATAAAACCTAAAATATTTACTATCTGGCCCCTTTCAGAAAAAAATAGTTGACCCTGATCTTGACTAAAGGAATAGAAAAAATTTTTTGTTTTATTAGTCATACCATCATTTCTCAAGTACTCGTCATACTTTTCAAACACAACTTTGTCAACGCAATAAAAAGGGGTTTGATTGTCACACGAGGCAAAAAATATGTAAATGTGCGCCTGGCACAATAACCTAGCAGCTAAAGTCTTCGCCTTGCACACGCCAGGATCCCATATGGGCATCAGTTCTCATCCCAGCAGCCCCATTTCCCGTCCAGCTCCCTGCCTGTGGCTTGGGAGAGCAGTCGAGGAAGGCCCAAAGCCTTGGGACCCTGCACCTGCATGAGAGACCCAGAAGAAGCTCCTGGCTCCTGGCTTTGGATTGGCTCAGCTCCAGCTGTTATGGCCACTTGGGGAGTGAATCAATGGATGGAAGATCTTCCTCTCTGTCTCTCCTCCTCTGTGTATCCAACTTTCCAATAAAATAAAATAAACCTTTAAATGTATGTAAATGCATCAGACAAGTGGTTGGAAGACATGTCTGGGTTTGGATCTTGGCCAAAAGACAACCACATGCACAATTGGTCAGTGAGGCAAAGCAAGTGAGTGGCCACAGGTGGGGAGGGGCACGTCATCTCCAGAATTGCACAGCTTCCCCATCCAACTCAGGGCGGCAATTTCCACCAAGACTCCTCTCAGCTCTCCCCATCAAACATTGGGCCTTGTCTGATAGTGACATAGATGATGCAGGAGAGAAGAAAATGAGCTTCAATGTGCCTGCCCTGCATGTCTCTGACCTGGGAGATCCAGGTGCTTCCTGTCTTCTTAAATTCACAGTCCAAGAAATCCCCTCCCCCCAACCTGGTCCTCACAGTCCCCCTCCCTGCTCCCCCACCTAACCCTGGGATCAACTTCTGAGGATAATGCGCTCTCCATGGGACGACTCATAGCTCAGTCCTGGCAACACATGAAAGCCCTTGGGACACATTCTCCTCGCTGGAGGACACTAGTGCAATAATAGTACTTTTTCCTGGAACTTTAATTGCATGGTTAGTTTAATAAATAATTCAGTAATATATCACACCTTTTCTTTCCAGAGTATTTAAAAGTTGTCTAAAACCCTTCTAATACAGTGCCTCACTCACCATTATCCCTGACACACATTATTGTACTTTTGTGAACATTTATGACTCAGACCCCTAATCATCCTTTGGTTTTTGCCATGATTGGCAAGTTTGCACAGTTTGAGACATCCAGTCATTCTGGCCCCTCACACCTGAATCTATAGGTGCTCCAATGCACAGCCTGTCCAGGGTTCTGCGAGCCTCACCAAATCCAGCTTGTGAAGCAAACTCCAGTGCTATTCACAGGGAGGGAAGAGACTCTGATGAGCACTCAATAAATGCTGCCTGGCCCCCTGGGTTACTGCATTTATCCCTTCCCAGGTACTACCCATGGAATTCGCAATGTGGCGTCTGCTATCTTATTTTATTCTAGGCACTATTATTTTATGGTTTCACCAGAGACACACCCTGTAAGATTTGTTCTCAAGTCTTTTTCATCCCCTCTCACTGCTCTGTGCTCATCCAATCTCTTCCCCTCACTGCTAGAATACACACAAAATGGTAACTGCATTTTTTTCTCTGTGCAAAGGAAAATGTCCTGTAAAGAGCAATTTTTGTTGTTATTCTACTACGAGAGAGTACTCCTCCAGTCGTGACTGCCATGTGTGAACCAACATTTAGATGTTTGTATATAAATCCAGATGAATGAAACACAATAAAGAAATTATTCACAACAGATATCATGTTCACCTCACATTACATATTCCCGTTACAATGAGGTTCTTTTTAAGCTCCTTCTAAAAATGTAGGGCTTTGTTTATAGTTCCCATCAAGCTATAGCTCTACTTTTCTATAGCTGTACTTTAAATGAACTTTGGTGATTTGTCTAAATTATTGACAAATCTAAATAATCATAAGGTACTTTTTAATCCATAGTTTCACACAGCATCCAGTCCACAGAGGGTTCTCCGTTAAAAGCAAAGCTGATTGACGGCTTATCTTCCATCTTTATATTACCACTTCCTAAGTGGCTGCAGCAACCAGAGCTGTGCCGGTTCGAATCCAAGAGCCAGGAGCTTCTTCCAGGTCTCCCACACGGTGCAGGGTCCCAAGGCTTCAGACCATACTCAACTGCTTTCCCAGGCCACAAGCAGGGAGCTGGATGGAAAGTGGATTAGAACCGGCACCCCTATAGGTTCCCGGTGCATTCAAGGCAAGGACTTTAGCCACTAGGCTACCATGCCAGGCCCCACTAACTGACTTCTAACACCAGATATTCATCTTTTCTGGTTTTGAGCATTATGTTAATTGAAGCACAAAGTACAGGCTACGGTGTCTGTGCTTGGCTACTTCTATACATCCATTTTCATTGCTGCATTTTTTTTATATAAAATAACATAATTATCCACGTTACTTTCAGTGGACATTTGTGTTGCTGTTATTTTCTTACAACTGTGTATATACCCATGTCTATCATTTGTATTACATACATATCCATACGTTTATCAAAATATATGTACATAGGTGGAAAGGTGACACAGTGGCATAACACATTAATCCTCTATCTGCAATGCTGACATCCCATATAGGCATCAATTCATGTCACAACTGATGCATTCCCCTGTTAATGGCTTGGAAAAGCAGTGGACGACGGTTCGAGTGCTCGAGCGCCTGCACCACGTGGGAGATCCAGCTAAGCTCCTGTCCTCTGGTTTCCTGCTTTGGATTGGTTCAGCTCTGGCCATTACGCCATCTGGGGAGTGAACCAGTGGAAAAACTTTTCTGTTTCTACTTTTCACTGCAAATATACCTTTCAAATAAAAATGAAATCTTAAAAAAAAAGCATAAGCACATAAAGCTATTGTATATAAGCTTAGAAACAAAATCATTGAAGTAGAGTTATGTTTTTGTATTTGTTAGCTTTTTAAAAATAGTTATTTTGGGGCTTGGCACATTGGCCTAATGGCTAAAGTCCTTACCATGCATGCTCCGGGGATCCCATAGGGGCACTGGTTCGTATCCCAGCTGTTCCATCTCCCTTCCAGCTCCCTGTTTGTGGTCTGAGAAAGCAGCTGAAGACGGCCTGAAGCCTTGAGACGCTGCACCTGCACGGGAGACCTGGAAGAAGTTCCTGGCTTTGGATCGGCTCAGCTCCAGTCACTGAGGCTACTTGGGGAGTGAACATGCAGACAGAAGATATTTCTCTCTCGCCTCTACTCTCTGCAAATCTAACTTTCCAATAAAAGTAAATAAATCTTTAAAAAATCTATTTATTTTTATCAGGCCCATTGTGATGCTGACATGGCAGACAGAGGCTTAGTCCACTATGCAATTGGGCCAGCCATGGTTTCTGTTTTTGTTTTCATTTTAAGCTTTAGTAGATGTTGGTTAACAATTTCCCAAGGAACTGGTGTAGTGGCATAGCAAGCTAATCCTCCACCTGCAGTGCCAGCATCCTATATGGGTGCTAGTTTGAGTCCCGGCTGCTCCAATCTAGCTCTCCCCTAAAGGCCTAGGAAAGCAGCAGAGGATGGCCCAAAACCTTGGGACCCTGCATCCACATGGGTGACCTGGAAGAAGTTCCTGGCACCCAGCTTCACAACAGCTCACCTATGGCCATTGGGGCTAGTTGGGGAGTGAACCAGTGCATGGAAGATCCTCTTTCTCTAATTTGTTTAAGTAAAATAAATAAATCCTTTCGAACACCAATTTCTCAAACTGCTTTGCATAATTTCCAACTTCCACTAGGAGCACATGAGAATTGCAGTTGCACTGCATCCTTACTAACATTTGTGTAGAAGCAATCTTTCCAAACACAACTTTTCTGGCAGGCACAAAGGGCTACAACAGCTCAAACTTGTATCTTGTATTGCCCCAATCACTACTAAGCACATCTTGGCAGTTAATGAACATGTGGCTCTCCCCTATAAGATGTATTGATTCAGAGATGCAGAGAGAAAGAGACAGAGAGGAAGATCTTCCATCCGCTGTTTCATTCACCAAGCAGCCACAACAGCTGGAGCTGAGCCGATGCAAAGCCAGGAACCAGGAGCTTCTTCTGGGTCTCCCACATGGGTGCAGGGTCCCAAGGATTTGCGCTGTCCTCCACTGCCTTTCCAGACCACAGGCAGGGAGCTGGAAGGGAAGTGGGGCCACCAGGACACAAACCAGTGCCCATATGGGATCCCAGCACATGCAAGCCAAAGACTTTAACCACTAGGCTTCCGCACTGGGCCCGATCTCCCCTCTTAAGAAGTACTAGTTTAAGTGTCTTGCTTATTTGTCTGTTGAACTGGCTGTACTAACTGTAGACTAGGAGTATGAGTCTCATATGAAAATACTTCAAAAAGTTTGCGGAAAAGAGATTTAAAAGGTAAGCTTATTTTGCTGCAAAAAAATGTCCTATACCCACACATACGAATATATAGGATTAAATTACTGCAATATTTTCCTCCTAGTCTGTGGCTTGTTTTCCCACTTTCTGAAATATTTTTCTTGAACAAGTTCATTTTACTTAACCTTTCAGTCTTTTTGTTCCTTTTCTTGTAGTATTCCTTTTGCATCCAATGCCCCAATAGCTCCTAGAACTTTTAAGATGGGCTTTTGTTAAAACTGAACACATTGATTCCGAAGGAGCTTTGAAAACATCAGTGCATGAGACGTTCTTGGCCAAATAAGGGTATCTGGGAGGTCCAGGTATTGTTACTTTTAAAAAGCATTCTGCATTATGTCATGATATGCAACCAACAGAGGGACAGACTTTTCTGACCAAAGATTGATATGCACAATACATTATCACTCCAAAAATTCAATCAAAGCAAGTGTGGTGTGCTGAAATGCACGTGTGCGCACACACGCACACACACAGCCAATCCAGGTGAGAAAAGGGTAAAAGACCTGAACAGAAAGTTCTCAAAAGAAAAAATACAAATGCCCCCCAAAATACTTGAAACTGTGCTATTAGGAGCCTTTAGGAAAACACAAATCAAAGCCGCAATGAACCAGCACTTATCCCTGAAAGAATACGTCTCAATCCAGCTTCTCCCTTTTGGACTTAATCACCTTTGATATATATGATTTTCTGTTTTGTAGCCATTTGGATATTTTATCTCTCTCCTCTTACTAAAATGTGCATATTTCATTTACTAAGTATTTCTCAGTATTCTTTCATTATCAAAAATGCTATATAAGTTAGAAAAAATTAGATGCCATTTATGATGACAATAGCTAAGTAATTTACAGATGTTGTCACTTCAGTTACAATTCCTTACTCTCCTACAGTAATGCAATACATTCACATCCGCTCTATGACTTTGATCCTTGACTTCAGATTTCATCACAACTTTGCTTTGATCAGTGGGCCATTAGCAGATGTGAAGTAAGCACAGTTTGCAAGCATTCTTGCAGGGCTAGGCTTGCCCTGCTATATTTTAGTCTTTGTGCAGGACAGGTGGCCAGCATCCCATGCAGGATGTGTATGCATCAGGGAGTAATGTTCAGCCTGTCTCCACTGACTCAAACACTCATTAGCAAGCAATAATGGTGTGTCACTGAGTTTGGAGGTGAAGTGAAGCACGGAGGTATTAGACTGCTCACGTTATACTAGAATCATTGCTACGTGATCTTACTTAAGGAACTACTTTTAAAGTCCACATATTATGATGCCACACATCTGTCGTAGTGAATGGATAGGTTTCATCCACATTGTATTTTATACATTAAAACCTGAATCTGAGGAGAGGTTCACGGGCACCTCCAGAGTCGTAAAGGGATTCCAATACAGAAAAGGCCAAACGTTCCTGGCTTAAAATACCTACTGTCTTTTCAGAGAGCAGAATTATGTGACCAAAAACTTTATTAGGATTTTGATTGGTGATTTAGACTGTTCCCTTAAAAATACCTTGGTCCAGGTCTCCAGTAATTTCAAGCCAGCATAACTCCAATCAATTGTGCTTTTATACCCAAGGAGCAACGAAATGAAAATGGAACTGTTCAGAGCTACTGCCAACTAGGGACCCAGCACGACCACAAATGGCTATGAAATTATGACTACATTAAAAAAAAAGACATTTCATGTATTTCTTTTACATCACAGGTTTTTAAATGCAGCTTTGCTGACATTGGAACTGATATATTTTCAATGCAGAGAGCTGTCCAATGCAGGATGCGACAGCCCCAGTCGCTACCCACTAGAAGCCACTAGCACGCACCTCCCAGTGTGACAACCAAAAGCATCTGCAGACATTTGTCAAACGCCAGCAGAGAGTCACTGTTGCACAGCTATTTTTAAAGACACAGTCTGTTGAATAAAACAGTGGCAACACGAATGCACTAACTTGCAGGCCATTCATTCAACAGGTGCAGAACCTCTTCTGTGCCAGTAACTATATTCTCAAAAGTGGTGGTGTGGAACACGGTTCACTTCACTTTGGTGACAGAGAAATTCCTATCTGTCAGGTGATGATTTTCCTCTCGGTGTGGAGTAACAACAGCATGTACTTAGTATTTACCCTTGTGTTGGTCAAAAAGCTACCTGGCTGATGAGGTTCCTCAGAGAGAGCACGCGTCCGTGAATGGCGGCTTCATGCATGGGAGACCAGTCAGACACCGCATCTGCAGGCAAGTGGAGGCATAGTTACATCCTTAACGCAGCTAGCCCTGCCCCGCCCTGAGCTCCTGTTGGCTCCCAGCAGTACACCCTGGAGCCAATCAGCCAGAATCCCCATCAGAACCCCAGCACCTCTCCCCTCTGCCACACTTCTCGTGCACTTCACTGGCCACGTATGGATACTCAGGAAACAACAACCCAAACCGAGGACAAAAGAGGAGGAATGGTATGACACATGACTGAACTTCTACCTACATGCTGGTTTCAAAGGCAAATGAGCCATTTTTAATTGAGTGTGTCATCAATTATTGGCATGAATGCATTTGGCTCTGGTGCCAGTCCGATTTCCTGAATGAACCACACTTTGGCATTCTCAGCAATCAGTACCGTACATAGTAAGTAGTCATCACATAATTACATAAATCATCAGGTCTGGAATCAACCCTAAACAGAACCATATCTATTTATAAAACAAAAAATAAATAAATTTAATATTTAAAAAAGACAGATACTAAAAGAAAGAACCATATCTATTTATAGATTCCTTCCTGTGGTAACGTGAAGGCAGCATCCGTGCGGTTAGGAGACTGAGCTGACTTTTGAGAAAGCCCTGGTTCTCACTTACCTCCTCTGTATAAGGAGAAAGTGGTATACATACCCATGGCTCCATACAAGTTAGCTACTACCATCATTCAGCTCTAATTCAACCAGTCTTGAATGGAGTCCACAGTCATTGCTATTTCAAACTTGTTCTACAGCGGTATGGAAGGAATACAAATTCTCAGCAAAGAGCCTTGTAACCCTATCTTCACACATAAAGCTCGTGCGTGCGCTCTCTCTATCTCTCTCTCTATCTCTTTCTCTCATTGGGTGTGGATGTAAGCAAGTGCATCATAGACTTGATTTTCTTCTTATCTCACACTCCGTCTAAATTCCTATACAGATAGATACAGAAGTCGGAATGTGAGCAGGCCTGCCTGGTCCCGCCTCAACGCTCACTCCACCACTTTGGTAGACAGAACATACAAGTACAAACAAGGCGGCCTGACCCGAAACCAGTCAAGCCAGCCAAGAGCACTGAGCACTCCTAACAGCTGGACAGCCCTGGGGCAGCAGGGCGACCATTACCACTGTCACCAAAAGGCCAGGAGGGGGCAGACAGAGCAGCCGTGTGTTTACCACATACTGGCTAAGGCCTGCCTGCCGCCCTAGGCCACCAGTGCCCAGTGAATAAATGCACGTCCTTCCAGATGCACTCCAGACGTGTTGAGTACAAAGCAGGAAGTAGGCTGAGCCCGCCCGCAGCACACATAGCACACTTAACGCTGAGGCCTCGAGGCAAGGCACCTTGAGCAACATGGTTTTGGCCACTAGCCAGACCTTACGTCCAATACTGCTCAGTGTCCTCACAGCATTGTGCACGCTTCCCACTGCTCTCAGGAATCAAGTAAAATACTGCTGCTCCCAGACAATGCACTTTATGATGCAGCCTACAAATATGGCAAGGTTCAGCTCTCAGTCAGAATTGAAAGAACAACTAGTTCCACTCTGTTGGTACTGACAATGCAAAATACAATTCACACCAAATTGGTAGTGACAAGAAGGAGCCACGAATGGAAAAAGCTTTCGAAAACCAGTGTGAAATAAATGTGTAAATGTACCTTAATGGATCACCATATGTGTGATGATTAAGCCAATTCTTTTTCCAAGTGCTGAACGTCTAAAAAAATCAGCTGCCACATTCCTCAACCTTTCTTTAAGGGTCCTGAGATTATTGAAGCTGACAGTTTAAGACCCCAATTAGCTGCCTAGATTATTTAAAGTGTAACTCTGTTCAGATTTCACACACAAAGATGCAATTACATTAGCAAGTACAGAAAAAAAAAATGGTGCTTACTTTCTACTCGTTCACTATGCAACAATTATTTCCTTTATTCAGGGCAAAACATGAAATTTTCCAACCACAGAATCAAGCCTGCCTGAGGCTTGGCATCCCCATGCAACGCACAAGCCCCCAGCGTCTTGGGGAAGTCAAACATTGCTGTGGTCTGCGGAGTAGGACACGGCAATGCTAATACACCTGTCCAGCTGGCTAACACATCATTGAGATATTCAAATGCATGCAACTGGCTCATTTAAAATGTGTAATTCAATGGTTTCCAATATAGTCACAGAGTTGAACAAACAATATCACAATCAATATTAAAATAATTCTTTCACTTCAAATCCTGATTAGCATTCACTCCTTAGGTCCACTCTCTCCAGCACTTGACAACCACCAATCTCCTTACTGTTTGGATGCACACATTCTGGGCTTTAAATATAAAGGGGACTGTGCTGTATGTGGTCCTTTGGGGACAGGCTTTTTCCTTTTAGTGTGTTTCAGTGTTCATCCATCCTGAGCTTGTCTGATTTCAGCCCTTCTTTCAAAATATAGCAGCCATTCTATGTACAGACCTTATTTTATTTATTTACTCATCAGTTGATAAAAACATCTTTTGCTTCCTCTTCTCAGCTATTAGGCTTCTACAAAATTCATTTAAAAATTTTAAGTGGAGGTGTGTTTTAGATTCTCTTGTATAAACACATAGGAGTGGAACTGGTGCATGATATAATGTATAAACTTTTCAGACTATTTTCCAAAGTGGCCATACCACTTTAGACTCAACAATGCATGAAGCAGCCTAGGTGAAGAAGACATACAGATTCTTTCAGGCTACCTCCATCTTAAACTGCAACAAAGATTTCAGCCTCAGCAGATCTCTGAGCAATGTAACGGTTGTGCAAAAAAATTTAAATAGTGACATCGAATAAATTAACATTTTCCTAATATTCAGGGCATAGATTGAGTTAACACACAGAGAGAAAGCACAAAATATTAGAAGAAAATGGAACTGAAGGATAATAAGCATTTTGTATGAATCTTTTGAAGTCTCTCCATATATACAGCTTAGCAAACAACATAGTTTGGGACAAGTATTAGTCCACACTCTCTCTTCAATTCTGGAAAATACTGACGAGACAGCTGAGACGTAACCTTGTGCAAAGGCGGGTCTGCCCAGGAGGACTTGGGAAACGCTGCTCTGGGCTTTTCTAGAATCCACACCACAGTTATTGAGTTACAAGCTTAGTCTGTATCTATTAAAACCCAGGAGTCACTTCATCCGCCTCTCCTACTAACCGGCAGCTGGAGAGTGCAGAATGAACAGGAAAGGGGACCTGCGCTCCTCTGGGGCCACACGGATGACTCTCAGCAGCGGTGACTGATGGATGAGGCAGAGGCTCAAGGTCACAATATTCTTTTCCATCACAAAGTCTTTGAAATTCAAGGGTCATTATCTCTAGATAGCAACACATCATCAAAGACACTTGACAGGTACTAAGGATTCTTTCTCACTGCTTGTTCAGCTATGGTCTATTTGTTTTGTTGCCAAAAAGAAAAAAAAAATGGATGCCAAATGAGATCCCTGGCAATAAATACCATGGATCCATCAGTGTAGCTCTCATTTAAAACAAGGCAGGGAGTCCCTTTTGTGAGACCACTCCACAAATCCTCCAGTTGGGTGCTATTAAGCTTGCCTTTCTTTGAAACTGTGTCTCTGGACCCAGTGCAGTAACCTAGTGGCTAAAGTCCTCACCTTGCACGTACCAGGATCCCATAAGGGTGCTGGTTCAGGTACTGACAGCCCCACTTCCCAACCAGCTCCCTGCTTGTGACCGGGGAAAGCAATAGAGAATGGCCCAAAGCCTTGGGACCCTGCACCTGTGTGGGAGACCTGGAAGAAGCCTCTGACTTTGGGTCAGCTCAGCTCCAGCTGTTGTGGCCACTTGGGGAGTGGCTCAGAAGAGGAAGATCTTTCTCCCTGTCTCTCCTTTTCTCTGTAAATCTGTCTTTCCAACAAAAATAAGTAAATCTTAAAAAAGGAAAGCAAAAAGAAATTGTGTTTCTATCAACCTGTGGTACATCAGCAAGGTTGCCATCTCATTTTTATTGCAATTTCTGGAATTATTTTTCCAGTGTCCATTATTTCAGAAGAGATTTGAAATGCACTAATTGTTTAACTCTGAAAAAAAAAAGGCTACTAACAAAGCTCTGAGAGTCCCAGTGAATGCTGGACAACAAGACAAATCCATCTTGGGCAACATTTTGCAAAGTCAAAAAGACAGAATTCAGACTGAGGGGACCAGATCATTTGCTTCTACTCTTTGGGCATGAGAAAGAACACATACAGTGGCACGAAGCAACACTACCAAGGATCTGGGTGCTGTGTTTACACTCAAAGGAGACTTTGCCTCAATTCCAGGACAAATAAAAGCAGGAGAAAGAGAGATGGGCTCACGGTCAGAAAGGGGCAAACAGGAAGGTCCACTGAGGCAGCTTCCAGACAAGTTTATCCTGCCCCTGGTAATTCCACCAACAGCCGCTACTCTTCCTCCTCTTCCGCACCTCACCCCTCCCAGCTCTGTCTGCAGGGTGACTCCACAGGGATCTCATTAGTACCCATTCCATCTAAACAGGCAGTTTCCCTCCAGAAAACAGCCCTGCTGAGGGTCCTAATGTCTAAAATGCACCACGAGAGAACGAAATTGTTTCTTTTCAGTGATGTTCCTGCCTGCCTCCTTGTGTAAATGTGATGCTCTCTGAGTGTGCGGTCAGTTTTGTGAGGAAAGGACGATCTCCGCAGGTACAAGTGTGCAGGTGAGAACCACAGCAGAGGCGCTGGCCACAGCCACGACGGCTCCCTCGAGGCTGCAATTGTGGCAGATACTGGATCCCACAGTGAATTCCTCCAGTTTCTTGCAGTAGATATGAGCTGGCTTCCTGAGCATGCCATAACCAAGCTGGGTGGCTCCAAACAATGGAAAGTGATTGTCCCAGTTTTTGAAGCTGGAAATCTGACGGAAGTCAAGGTGCCAGAGGGCCAGAAGGCTCTAGAGGGAACCCTTCCTCATCACTGCTGGCCTCTGCCAGTGGCCAGCAATTCTTGGTGTTCCTTGGCCCACAGACACTCCACACCACGTCTGCCTTTGTCCTCACACAGCATTTCCGCTGAGTGGGAATTTGCCAGACAGGCAAGGAGGAGCTGAGAGAGCCCAAGATAGCCAAGCCTCTGCACTCCTCCAAAGCTTCTTTCCTTAGCCCTGTGTCACAGCATCAGAGTTGTTCCCAGCTTCCCTGGCTAACTCATCGCTCCCATGTCCCAGGCCGGAGGTCCGCCCCAGCGCTCCTGGCTTTCCAACCATTTTTTCCTCCCCGAGCTTCCATCACCTTCCCTGGGCAGACGATTGCAGCCTAAGCACCAGCCAGGCCCGAGGCACTCACCTGCTCTACTGTCCCGCCCTGCACTCTCCTTTCCTTTCTGCACTCTCAGCTCCCCTTTGCCGCCTCCTGCCAATGGAGCGCTCTCATCTGATGCAAACTGAGGCTAGAAAACATGATCCCCTGCGCTGCTTTCCCTCCTTTAACCCTAATAGTTAATCAAGTGGCCCGGTCTGACTTCGCTTTCCTGAGAACTTCTCGCCTATTCTGTGTTATCTCCAGAGTTTAACCCAAAGCAAAGCTTCATAGGGCAGGATTTAAAAGGATTTCAGCATGGGCCAGGGCAGGGCCACTCCCATCACCGCCTGTGGCAGCAGCATTCAGCATCTTCATTGCCCAGTGCCATCACCACTGCGCACCCTGCAGGGGGTGCGGCGTGGGTGGGGAAGGTTTGGCATGTGGGAACCTGAGAACCAGGGAGTGGGTGCCACAATCTTCTAGGACCCCATTGTCAGGCACCCCATGGCTAGCAGATTTACTCAGAGCTCTCACCATCACCAAGTGTACCCCAAGAAGCAGGCCCTGCCTCCTGGAAGCTGTTCAGCTTTCCACAGCCAGCCACGCACGGATCTCTGCCCGTGTCCTCACTCCCTAGGGCCCCACATGCTAGCTGAAACAGCGCGCTCACTTTGTAAGTGCCATCCTCTCACCCAACCCCACCCACCCAGCCTAGCCCCATTACGGTTGGCTTGGGACCCTCAGAAAACCCAGTGCAGGGTGCGGAGCCCCGACACAGTAGATTAAGCCCAGCTCTGGCCTTTGTGGCCATCAGGGGAGTGAAGCAACAAACGGAAGATTCTCTTTCTCCTTCTCTCTAGAAATCTGCCTTCCAAATAATAAATAAATAAATCTTTTAAAAATTAAAGAAAGATATACCCTAATCAACTATGTAAAGATCAAAATAATACTAAAAAGATATGTGTGAATTTGTCTAAATACTTTTTTATTTTGTAATTTGTATGAAAAAACAAGACTCCCCCCCATAAAACTGTTAATACACCCTAACAACAAGATACTACATTTTGGGCCATTTTGTACCATGACACATGTACAGAGTGGAATGTTGGAGTCACAACTACAGCTAAAAGACTGTATCATTGTAAAACACAGGGGACAATGGGGAGGGGAGAAAGGGCGGGAGAAAAGGGAGGAAGTCTTATACTTGCAAAAATGCACAATGGAAAACAAGAATTTTAAAAATCACAAAAGAAAAAGAAAAAAATCCACTAAAGTGGCTGGTACTGCAGCTTAACACTTCGCTGTGACTTGGTGACTGCTCTCTGCAGCATGAATATCCCACATGGGCACTTGCTCATGTCCTGGCTGCTTTTCTTTCCATCCAAGCTTCCTGCTAAGGCACTGAGAAAGCAATATAAGATGGCCCAAGTCTTTGGGACCCTGCACCCACTTGGGAGACCCGGAAGAAGCTCCTGCCTCTTGGCTCCTGGCTTTGGACTGGCCCAGTTCTTGCTGTTCCAGTCATTTGGGGAGTGAACCAGCAGATGGAAGATCTCTTGTCTTTCCTCCTCTCTGTAACTCTGCATTTCAAAGGGAAACACAGATCAGATTTACAAAGACAAGGAAAAACAAAGATCTTCCATCTGTTATTTCACTCCCCAAATATCTGCAAGGGTTGGAGCTGAGCTGATCCAAAGCCAGGAGCTTCCTGTGAGTCTTCCATGTGGGTGCACAGTCCCAAGGCTTTGGGCCAACTGCCATTGTTTTCCCAGGCCACAACAGGGAGCTGGATGGGAAGCAGAACAGTGGGGATACAAACTGGAGCCCATATGGGATCCCAGAGCTTGCAAGGTGAGGATTCAGCAATTGAGTCATCACACCAGCCCTGAAGATAAACAATATATATATATATTTTTTTTAAAAAAAAAAAAAGAAAGAACCATCAAAACTGCTTGAGCAGGACCCTCGAAGCGTGCCACACATCGGGGACCTGGGATGGGTGGGAGGCTGGGTAGGGCTTCTCCCCTTGTTTCTTCCCTGACCCCAGATACAGGGGGGAAAATGATGATACTAGTTTAAAAAAAAAAAAAAACTCTTCTAAAAAAGGAAATGCAGTGACAAACTAGCACCTTCTCCTGTGTCGAAAATAAAACAAGCATAACTACCAATTCTTTTCATAATAATTGGTTTGCTGATTTTAAAATACACTTATTAAATTTGTTTTAAGAAACAATTTGTGACACTGCTCCTCTTTCGTAGTGCTCCCAACTGGTGCCCAATACACCTGCTGATTAGTGCGGTTCTTTCCTTGTGGCTCCAAACCCTTGTTCCCAATGTGTGCTCTGCTCGCTTCACAGAGCCAAATGAACACAGGCCCGGCTTGTGGCCTCCACCAAGCGGATGCACTTCTATCTCTTCTGCTTTTTTGCTTTCAAGTATATGTGCAGTAAGAGATTAAGAAGGCCTCTCTTTTTGATTATCCCTCTGATTAACAAGTGTGGTGGGCAGTCTACCAAGGTGTTTAACCTCTTCCCCTGTCGCCTGGAGCAGCCAGCCAGCAGGCACCTGCTAAGTGCTCACCTTTAGGTGTGATGTTCTAGACATTAGCAAGGGTATCTAACAGGTGAGAACCATACTTGTAAGACGCTTCTCCAAAGGTTTTAAGTCTCCCCCGCCCAACGTGATTAAATCAATGTCTGTCCATCATTTTCAAGGCCAGCTCCATCTAAATACCAAATGCCTGAAGACTTGTTAATGCGACACGAAACCATTGAATATTAACACTTTCCTATTTATAAGCAAATGTAAACCTCCAACTTAACAAATCACCCACTTGGCTCACAGGGAATGATTCTGTGGAGTTTAAATGTTTACTAGAGAAAAACTCCGAACGACGCCATCTGCATCCTTACAAAACTTTGCAGAGAGGTAGACAGCACGTCGGAACAACGGTATCAAGGGCACAGAGCAGACACATCTTGGCCTGAGCTACTGAAGCGGCCCAACCTCCCACACCCCCACTCCCGACCCCAGCAACTCACCCCCCATCAATGGGTTTGAAAGAAGCCTGGTGTCCGGAATGTCTTCTTGCCCCAGGGGCTTGCTGCTGCAGCTGCCCGCTTGCTCCTCATCCATGGTGTTTTCCTGGGCCAGCAAGGTCCACGCTCTGGTTGCTCAGTAAAGTCCAAATTCCATGTTCCCCCTGCTCCGGGGAACGCGCAGTTCTGTGGCTAGCTAAGCTGCACGCGTTCTGCTCTGACTCGCGGGCATGGCAAGCGGAGGGCTACCTGTGGTCAGGAAGACAGGCAAGCACGCCCACGCGCACGCCCACACACGATCCACCTCGCTGGCTGCACGCCAGCCAGAGGCCACAACAGCCCTCCAGCCCCAGGTCTGCAAAGTTGCTGATGTCACGTCCTTTCCAAAACCGAGGCCAATCAGTGAGAAAGCCTTGGAGTTTATCAGGAAGGAAACTCAGACTTTGTAACTTTGGGAGAGCCGGGGGAGCCGCGTGGGGTGAAGCAAACAGCTCTCTGGCGGGAGGCAACCTTGCCCCCGCCCCCCGCCGAGATCCCCGTTTGTTACGTGGGGCTTGCTTGTTGTTGAGACAAGCCCAGCACCCAAGAGCTAAGCAAGCTGGTTTTGCAGCAGCCCGGCTGGACTGCGTGTGTGGTAACACGCACTGGCCATCTGCACATGTGCTTTTAATTTTGCTGGGAGTCCCTTAGTGGAAAATGTGTCTTTATGTTACAAAACCACACGTTTGCAAAAACATTTCTGTTTTCTTTCTTTCACCTGCAAGGATTTCGTTGAATGTCCTACCTCAGCCTTCCTCCACATACCTGGCTTTAACTTCTAGGTAATGAAGCCTTGCAATTGGAAACATGGTTTGCTGGGTGTTGTGGGGGTGCGGAAGAAGCCTGTTCTTTCTCCGCTGTCACTCTTTCAAACGGATATTTTTGTTTCATTAAGGGGGTCAGCTTGCTTGAGCGAAGTAGTTACTCTCCCTGCACCTGTGTCTTCAGATAAACCTCGTTTCCCGTCCTCCCAGAGCGGCCTCGTGCTCACTGGCAGCGCCTCCACTGCTCCTCTCTCAGGTGGAGGGGAATTCTTCCCGCCTTGGAGAAGGGCTCTGAGTTAGACTCCAACACTCTGCCTCAGCAATGGTCGTAGATTTATTTTAACGCCAAAGATTTTCCATTTATGGGTCTTGGAATATTTGTAACCACTGTCAGCAGTTGAAAGAGTCTTATTTTAAATGCCTTTGTGTGTGCGGTGAGGTAGGCAGCTAGTTCAAGGTCATGAGCTTGGAAGCCACTCTCCCACCACCTGGGTGTTCCCTCCTGTCCACCTGTGGTGCTCACCTGGAACCTCCAAGGGCCAGTATTGCATTGCTGTGTAACAATTCCCCTCACAAGCCCCTGTAAAGGCTCAGGAAAGGCTGGTTCTATTGGTCGTGTGCTTCCCTCTGGCACTGCGACTCTTGGCCTCGCCAGGACCTGCTTGCTCTCTGGCTTCCTATGGACAGACTCTGAGGACAGGTGTCCCCTGAGGATGGCCCCTGTGTGTCTGTATTCCTCACCCTTTGTTTACTGCTTGGGCAGAACAGTGAAAATAGTAATACTAAGATGCTTTGTATTTCTAATGTGTGCACTATCAGGAGTTCCGGGAGAGGTGAGAACTAGCAGTGACAGAATGTGGGCAGAGAAGCAGGGAAAGGTGAGTGTCTGCAGCTTTGTAAGTGTGTCCAGGTTGTTCACTGCATGTCTCTTAGGATAACTTATATTGCTGTGGAAGCTGGGACATAGGTCTTCAGTTTAATGGATGGACTTCAGGGTAATGACCGTTTGTTCCTCTCGGGGTTTTGATTGACTGGACTGCCATGTGGACTTGTGATTCGCTATTTCTAGTGGGCCCTGTTATCTCCAAGCTTGGTTAATAAAGACTCCTTAATAAACCCTAGACTTGTCAGGTGTGATCTCGCTCGTACCCCGCAACAATATGCACATGGGTCTGCACATTTATTCCCTCCTAGTTTCTGGGAAATGTTTTGTAGCAACCTGTATTTTTTTCTATGCCTTTTACACTGTTTCTGTCTGGGAGAGTTTACCATTCCAGTATCATAGCTTGGCTCTTTGTTCATCGCTGCATAGCATTCCATTTCTGTTTGAAGTATCTGGTTATTGCCACAATGGTATAAGCACTGTGTGACCATGTACTTCACTAGCACAAAGTGCTGAGATCCATGTTTTTGTATATATGGCTTTGTGAACATCTGCAGTTTTGGAGACGAAATTCCTAAGTGTGGAAATGGGCTCATGGGCCTGGCGCAGTAGCGTAGTGGCTAAAGTCCTCACACCAGGATCCCATTTGGGCGCAGATTCTAATCCTGGTGGCCTTGCCTCCCATCCAGCCCCTTGATCGTGGCTCCTGGCTTTGGATTGGCTCAGCTCCGGCCATTACAGCTGCTTGGGGAGTGAATCATCAGATGGAAGATCTTCCTCTCTGTCTCTCCTCCTCTCTGTATATCTGCCTTACCAATAAAAATGAAATAAATATTTTTAAATAAGAGTATGTTCATACAGTCAAGCTATTAGTGTACAGAACAGTAGACACACACACACACACACACACACACACACACACACCAAGGGTTGTGTACAAGCAAACTGCGGGATTCTGAATAAGACTGCAAGGATGTATCTATGGTGATGTGCTGGTTGTGAAATTACATTGTTCTTTGGCAAGAAGTTACCCCTGAGCAAAGCTGACCAAGAGCCTGGAAGAGTTCGCTGTTACTTTGGACAACTGCTTGTGAATCTGTCTTCTGAATAGAAATTTCAGGGTTCCAAAAGAGGTGCCAATTGCCCACCTTCTCCACTTGTAGGATTAACCAAGAAGACCACTCGGCTTCCTTACTACCCCAATGGGAAAGCGCTGAAGGACAAGAGATCTGTGTCTCACGGAGGGTGGGAAACTTGGTGTCAAGACACACTGGACAAGAAGCAGTTTAACTGAAGCACACGCTGCGGAAGCTGCAAACGCTTGCCTTTTAATCCCAGCAAAATCACCTGTATTTTCTTGTAATTAATTTCCAAGCTGAGATTTTTTTTCTATATTCAAGTTTAAATGCCAACATTACAGTAACTATGTCCAGGCTGTTACCCTCATACCTGGGATGGAATTCATTAGTGTTTTGTCTTATTATATTTACAATATTGATAGGCACTAGTGAATCCGAGAGTGGGAGTTGAATATTTCTGAATGCTTAACAACAGTTAACAGAGGAATTCATGGCTCTGTAGTATAAGGATGACATTAAACCACATGGCTGGTGATTATGCAGAGTGTGTGGGCACAGCATGACCCAGAGAGGAAAAATTGTCTCAACTTCTAATCAGCCTTGTGAGCACTGTGACTTGTCTCTGGACACTTCATGAACTTGGCCCAGGTTAGGTGAGAAAATAAAATGGCCGCTTGAAGCAGGTGGTAAGGCCACAGTCATTCCTTGCCACAGGCACAGTTCTGGGTCAGAGCCTGCCCCCTCACCCCTGCCATTGGATGCTCCAGGCCCACCTTGCCCATGGTTTGTGACTCTTTCCTTCTGAAGTCTCAATCTGTCAAAGTCAGCCCAGTGGCTGAGACCGCCTGGCATTCCAACAGGTGCTTTTTCTAACCTATCTGTAATAGCTCGGGATCCCCAGTTCTCAGACAGAAAGCCTATCTGTTGTGGCTGTTATAACTGGTTCTGCTCGCCACGCCACCTGACCCTCCTGCTTGAGAGAACAGTCACTCACACCAAAAGTTCCTGAAAAACGCCATGAAGAGATATGTTTATCTTTTAAGCTTCTTGAAATCTGTACATATGAGGAATCTTTAAAAATTCTGCAGAAAATGTGTACTATCACAAAGTATACCGGTGTTTCAATTTTTTTGTACAATAAGATTCGGACAAAGACGTGCTGGTAAAATCCTAGCATAATGCAATATTCTTGAGAAAACAATGAGTGAAAATTGAGAAACAGTCAACAAATGAGTGGGACTGGACTCTTCAAAATACCAGTGATGTGAAAGACACGAGTCAGAAGGGCAGACTTTGTACTGAAAAGGAAACAAGAGAGTTGGTACCAGCACACACTGCATGACCCTAGATTGGATCCCAAATGGTGCAACAGACAGCAAATACCTCAAAGCCACCACTGTGGAAACTAATCTGGAACTATACTGGACAGAGGTCGTGTGTCCGGGTCTAACTCTCCATGTGTAGTCACACAGCAGGAAGCATTTAGATAGGGATCCCAAGGTCAAGAAGGAAATGCATGCCCGCACACATGTGCGTGTGGTGGGGGGCAGGGGAGTATTTATGCTGACACACAGAGAAGCTAATGTGGCAAAACCAACCAATCAATGTATGAAGCTGATGCGCGTGCAGCTATTCCCTGTACAGTGACTGCAACTTTTCCATAAGCTGGGAAATTATCACGCTGTACTCCATAATGCAGGAAGAAAAATGACTAAATGGATATAAAAATGGCACTAGCATGGATAAACTAAAAAATGTTAGGTTAGATGAAATCTGTCCCCCAGCTATAGGCAACTGCCAAGGTTGACTTATCTCTAGGCAATTGTCACACTTCTGGGAGAAACTCAGCCAAGGATGGTGGACATTTTTTGGCCTGATTAATGCCAAATTTGTGTTAACTCTGCCAATGTGCCAGCATAGTTGCCTATTCTGTTCAACTTTTCTTTTTTAAAAGATATGTGGGGAAGGTGGGGAATGCTAGGCCAGGCCACGTCAACCTGGCCTCCACATAGTGGCTGCACATTGTACTTGGAAGGGAGTCTGGGGAATGTATTGGAGTGGGAGGGGCTGAGGGCATGTTTGACCAGGGAAGAATGACTTCTAGTGACTTCCACAGGCTGGGCCACTGCACTCGCAGGTAGACGAGGGAGCGGAGATGGAGTGGTTTGGAGGGGGAAACAGAAGGGCATGTCTGGGTCACACCAAGGCACCTGCCCACATAGAAGACCTGAACTAGGCTAAATAGCATCTCCTGCCACCCACTGGCACACGTAAAAGCTGGGGTAAAGAGGCATGCCTAACTGGGCTAGGCTACAGTACCTGCCTGCAAGTGTTGGAGCAGGGGTGGGCCATGTCAGGCTGGACTGCAATACATACTAGAACATGAGAGAACCAGATCTGGGGCAAATTCTGCAGCGGAACTGTGAGCTCACCTCTGTGAGACTGCAGCACCCGCCAGTTTGTGCAGAAAGTTGGGAGTGCTCTGACAGGCCCAACCAGGCTGCAGCACAGAACTCAAGGAAAGGAGCTCACCTGACAGTTGCTGGTGCTGGAGCTGGGAGGAGGCCAGGCTGGCTTAGGCTGCATGGGTGTGCCTGAGAGCCAGATGGTAGGCTGTAGAACATGCCAACACATGTAAAAACTGGGGCTGGAGTTGAGCCTGGTGGAGGGTCACCCCAACTAGGTTGTGACACCCGCTGGTGTGCATGAAGAACAGGCCTGGGCTGGGCTGTGCTGGGCTGGGCTAAGCTGCAGCTTCCGTCAGTTCGCAGAAAGATGGGGCTGAGGGTATAACTGACCAGGAAGCTGTATCCACTGATATGTGCATTGTCTTGTGTAGGTGATGGACTGAACCAGACCCTGTACTGATTGGCACAAACAAGAGTCAAACCTGAGGTCACCCCAGGTAAAATTTATTGGGGAACTCCCCAAATAGATTGGTGGACTCAAACCCTAGCCACAGGGAAAATCCCAATACATGTGGTCTGACCTTGGAGTCCCTGTGTTAGGACTGGACTTCCTCAGTTGCTAATGCCTTTGAAGTGGTCAGCATGTCCAGATGTACATGGGACCATGACAGCCAGCTCATCTCGGCCAGCAGAGGATGTTGGGTGCCTCATCAGAGGATAGAAAGCAGAAAAGATTGGACAATTCTTCTGGCCAAGCTTTGCACTATCTTCCTGGGCCTGTGGCTGTACTAAAGTGTACTTGGACAGCCAATAGATCTTGGAAAGATTTTCTCAACCTGGTGCAATGAAGTCAATTCTGTCTCAGAACTATCAAAACCACTCAAGTAACACCTCAGAACACTCTTTCTTTCCCACTTTGGAGAATCTAAGATGTCATCAAATGACCTTCTCCCCCCCAGTCCCTGGATGCTGATGTAGTTTGACATCAAAGAATGGCCTACTTTTCTTCCTTCAGGAGAAAAAATAAACATTTGTCCCACCCATTTAACTCCATACCTCAATTCTCCCACCCTAGTCAGAGAGCCACATGGGTGTGCATCCCTCACAACTATATAAGCAATGCTAAAAAGGAAAAAAAAATCAGGCACAGAAAACCAAATACTGCATGCTGTGTCTTCTATGGGGAAGATAACATTGATACTAAAGAAGAAAAGGATAGAAGAGTGAGAACCAGAGCCAATCAGCCCATATCCCAAATGATTCAGCATGAAAGCCCATCTTGGTAGCTACTACCAATGAGTAATCGTTTCAAAAACTTTGAGGTTTTTGACTTTGATATTAAACCACTCTTGGGTTGCAGTATGCATCAACCAGTGTCTGCAAATTCAGGTTACTGGGATACCCAACGTTGCTCAATCCCAGAGCTGCTTACTTTCAAGAACAGCATTTAATACTAGAAGCAATAAGCAATAGATTCCAACTCTGAATGAGCAAACATCTTCCAAAGTCTCTCTTACCAACTAGGACCTCAGTAGTTGGAAGGCTCAATTAACTGCGATATTGTCAAAGTGTTTAGCTTTAAAAATCAGAGAAATCAAGACTATAGCATGGGTTTATTGGAGGAAGCAAGAAAGATAAAGTGAGTAGAAAGGGTATTAAGTCAGGAACATATCTTGGAGTAGTTAACATTCATGATCATCTTATCCCTCAGATTTCCTAGTGTCCACACAATGTCCAGAACTCTGACTCCTGCACTGTAGGATCCTGTATCATCCAATGGTAGTCAATTATTTTCACTCTACTTTACAGTATTCTTAAATGTACTGACGAGAGTTAAAACTAAAAGGTTATGATTGCCGCTTGGTTAATGAGAATATTAAATAAGCCAGGAGTTACCATTCCCCAGTGTTCCATTTCATCTATTCTAACTGGCTGAAGTCATGTGAATATACTGAGAATCAAGCCATTGGTTGTCTACTCTAAGTACTCTAGGTACAGCAGACAGCAATCTACTTATTTTGAACTACCTTCCATGGATAGTGGGAACTACTGATACAGGAGGAATCTTTCGAGAGGCTCTGGTAGATGCAGCTGGTAGATAACTTGGTGACAGCCTCGGCCCAAACACTTCCGGATGCACAGACGACAGAGTTGAGAAAGAGCAGGTGGTCCTGAGGAAGAGAATCAAAACAGTGTTAACCTCATGGTGGTGGGAGGTGGGGATGATGGAAAGAGAACACAAGAGATCTAGAAGAAGATCTAGAGATCAGAGAGCTAGAATTTTCCCCAAACAGAAGATAGCAGGACTGCATAAATGAATGATATGGCAAGTACAAAATTCAGACAGGAGATGGCATCTTTTGTCTAGTGGCACATAGAGAGGAACTTCAAAAAGCTCAAGGAAATGGAATGGAAAGTGTATTTTGTCACAGAAAAATCTTAACTCCATGCATGTTTTTCATAATATGCACTTTCCAGAAACTTTCTGACAACCCCCCCCCCCATTTCGATAGGAAAGATGAGACGGGGAGAAAGTGGGAGATCTGAAGGGGATGCCTCTGCTTCCAGTTACTGTGTGTGCCCATGAAAGGGACACAGTGACTGGAGAGAAAACATAAATGGCAACACCGAGCATGCAGAGAGAGGGAGCAGGGGAGACTCACGGGAAGGATGTGAGCCGATGACAAGATCACTGTGGACACGGAGCCAAACAACCATCCCCAACATTCTGTTGGGACTCAGAGCTCTGGCTGCCTGTGGGGTGGCAGACTACATTCCAACTTACACCAAGAAGGGCCCCCCGCTCTCAATAGAAATCTGGAAAGGAACTGACTCCCTTAGATGTTGTTATCCCCTGAACCTCAGTCTCATGGTCATCAGAGCCACAGTTTTGAGCCATTAAGGAAAATAACTGGATAATAATTTGAAATACGTTCGACCAGGATGAACAAACTTTTGGACTGAACATTAGTTATTTGGGCCATTATTATTGCATTCTTTGCTGAGTGTATAGTCTCAATAAAGATCTTTCAATCTCTGGCCTATACAAAGTTTGCCTTATTGTGAGAATTCTACTGTGATAGTCTTCTTCTCCATGAAAATGGTGGACTACATATGTCTGCGACCTGGTAACACTTGAACTATCACTACCAAAGGGCCTCCCAGAGGGCCCCAACAGTCACCTTTAGTTAAAACCTTAGGAAGAAAGGAAGAAAAGTGCCTCTACCTGTTGCCAAACTCGACCTACTCTGCAAAATGGTAATGCAAAGTGCCCACTTTGTCTAGAGCACTTCAGCCACCAGAATAAGCACTGATTGAGTGGCTCAGGACCTAGACCTGAAACCATCTCTGATGGGAAGCAACAGGAACTGTGAAGGATGTTCTTAGGAAGCGGTGGCAAATCTGCGGGCTTTCCAAACGAGGATCCTGGCTACAGATGCAACTGTAGACACAACAGTTCATGACCTTCACTGCTGGGTATTCTCAGCTGGCAGTACTCGCAGCACGCTCCTCCAATCAGCAGCAGCAGCGTGAGATGTATCCTGCTGGACCTGTAGTCCAGGGCCCTGCTCATGACCGCCTAACTCAGAATCTGAATTTGAAAGAAACCCCCAGATGTTTGGTATGTAAGTAATAGCTTGAGATGAGCGGATTTAGAAATGACACACCTAAAATTGTTAACCCAAGCATTCCATTGTGTGAAATGAAGCCAGTAAGGGAAATAAGACTCCTCCTCCCCCACAGGAATTACTTCAGAAGGCTCTGAAATGGGGTCTGTCATGTTGAGAGTGCAGGTGCTGCTGTCAGATGTCTTGGTGAGATTCTTAGGGGAATTCCTTCCACCATCCACAAACTGGCATAGGCACCAGCTACCATAAATTTCTTAGGACTCTGTGAGATGAGTGCATTTTCACTCAGTACCTGGCACATGGCAAGCTTCTCATCTTTCCTATTCTCCGGTCCACACAATTGACCAATGCATGCCCAGATGAATTCTCTCTTGCTGTACAGATATGACACGTTATGTTTTGAATTTCGGCTATGAAGCATTTTGGAAGCTACACGTTTCTCCTGTAGCAGCTACAATTGCTCTTACTGCCCACTGTGGAAATGGGAGTGAGGCAATGAGGAACACAGGCCCGCCTCCTCTTGGAGGTTTGGCTTCTAAACGATGATGAAGAAATTTCAAAAGGTTGGGGGTGGGAGCAGGGACGAATGAAAAGGTAAGTTTATTTTGGTGCAAAAACTGCTTGAAGTCCATGCTTAGTATTCTCACAATGTATATTTTCCATAAACTTTTCGAAGACGTCCCACATGCATGAATTTAATTGTTTGCACCAACACATCCTTATCTTTTCAGTCCATTTTTCTAAAACATTCTCCGAAGTACCCTTACACATACTCTGCCCTTTGCCTTCAACTTGACAAACCAGTGCTTTTCTTGCTCCATTGTGTGCTTACGCCAACAATATGGCAGTTTGCCCTTTTCAGGGGGAAACATGTGTGATTACCTCGTGACCAAGGAGATATCCTTTGGTTGTAAGTGAATAAGTACAGCCTGCCAACTCCCAAAAGATGTCTCAGCGATGCTAGGAATAGTCACTTCCTAGAATCCCGACCACCACTGGCTTAAAAGAGACGAGGGAGATCTCGGGCTGAGCCAGGCAGCAGAGAGCAGTGTGCTTACGGCAGGGAAGGGGAGGCAGGGCCGCTTCTTACCTTCATGCATCACGAGTGCCTGCTCCACAAGGCTTTTTGGAGCTGCCAGATCAAGTGCACTCTTGCCCTGTGCATTTCTGAGCTTCACATTAGCCCCGTAGTCAATGAGCAAGTGAATGAGCTCCACATTGGCCTGCCTTGCAGCGGCATGGAGGGGTGTGTCCAGCCACTGCCCGTGGTCAACACTGGCTCCTTAATAAAACAGACAGCCACAACTCAACACAAAGTGGTCATGTAAAACGCAGTGAGCCTGAGGCATAGTCATTACACATTAAAACACCTTAAATGCCACAATATTTTTTAAAATACACCTGGCACCACAACAGAGGACAGAACAAATCAATCAACTACCCCAGCCATATATTGGCAGTGAAAAACTGGGCAAATGGAGACTCTAAGGTGGACTATGTCAATCAGCAGATTGTGCAGCTACATCATTGTGCTTGGAATGGTGAGATTGGCAGCAATTCATAACTGTTGAACTATCAAAACCACTTGAGCAAGACCCTAAGAGCAGGGACCTGGGGTGGGTGGGAGACTGGGTGGGGCTTCTCCCTTTATCTCTCCCTTTACCCCAGATACAGATTGTCAAAAATAAAGGGGAAAAAAGCTTATGAAAAATAGAATTGAAAGATAAGTTTACTTAGGTGCAAACATTTTTTTAAACTCATGCATAGAAGAGACCTTCAAGGGCTCTAGTGGCTAAAATCCTCGCCTTGCACCCACTGGGATCCCATACGGGCACTGGTTCTAATCCCAGCAACCCTGTTTCCCATCCAGCTCCCTGCTTGTGGCCTGGGAAAGCAGTGGAGGACGGCCCAAAGCCTTGGGACCCTGCACCCGCGTGGGAGACCTGGAGGAGGCTCCTGGCTCCTGGCTTCGGATCGGTGCAGCTCCAGCCATGGTGGCTGCTTGGGGAGTGAACCAACGGATGGAAAATTTTCCTGTCTCTCCTCCTCTGTGTATATCTGATTTTCCAATGAAAATAAATAAATCTTAAAAAAAGAAATTATATAAAAACATTAAAAAATAAGAGATCTTCAAAAAGTTCATGGCAAATACATGTAATATAAAATACTGCATGGTTTGAAATTTTTTTTGCACAGCTTATCCTTGCTCTGTAGCTTCCTCGAACATTTGGAAGAACCCTCCCATTTGATAAATCTTACTAAGACACTCAAAATGTTTGGTGAGACAAATGAAGTTAGAAATCTTTTGCTCATCTTCATTACTTTGCTGCTTTCACATATGAATTGTGTTGCATACAAAAGGAAATAGTTGAAATTCCTGTTACATCGTTTTTTGGGGGTATTTTTGGCAAGGAGTAAAGCTAAATTCATCTACTATTCATATTCTTTGGGGCTCAAAAATATTTTAAGATCGATTGATTGAATAATTGATTGAAAAGTCATAATTAAAAGGGAAGAGGCAGAGAGAGTGAGGTCTTCCATCCATTGCTTTATTCTCCAGATGGTCACAGTGGCCAGGGCTGAGCCGACAGCGTCATCCGGTCCTCTCTGAGGGAGGAAGGGTCCCTGCGTGCTGCTTTGGCAGGCCATTAGCAGGGAACTGCACAGGAAGCGGAGGAGCTAGAATACAGACCGTCAGCTAAGCGGATGCTGCCATCCCAGGCAGTGCTTTGCCCACTACCCCACAATGCTGGCCCCTCAAAGAGGTTTTTGGACTTAGTACAGAAAATAGTAAATGAAAGGGAAGGGAACAGGAAAGAGAAAAACCTTCTTGGAGATAAGAATTTATAAGTAAAGATTTTTACTATAACCTTCATTTTTATGGCAGTAACTAAAGTTTGTAATAAATTGATCAACTAATAATTTTGAGACATCTTACTTTCTCCTGTAGTCTTGGTTCCTATATATAGCTTTTAGAATTAAAACATGACAAAAATAACAGAGCAAGATAAATGGAAAGGGTTGATATTAAATGCGTGTTGTTTTTGCTTCTGGCATCTTCCCGGTATTCATACATCCTTTTCCCTCCCAGGATTTACTCTCTTTAGATTTTCAGTCATGTGTTACTACAGAAGATTGAGAACTTCAGAGAACACTGGAAGGAGGCCTAAGCTAACCAGTGTATTGCCTCCCCTTGACCATGGTGATTGGGTCCTAGACGAACATGTGACAAAAAGAGCCAATGGATGAGGAGGGTTACAAACCCAGGTGCTAGGGACAGTCATCTGAGAGCAGTAGGGACGAGCACTTGAAGTAAATGGGGCCGACTTAAAGGAAGCAGGACTGAAAAGTAAAAGCACTCATTTTCCCAGGAAAGTTTTTTCAGTCCTCAGTTATCACATGCCATCAGATTTTGTTTCAGTCTGATGAACAACTTCATCTTTGAAGTCATAGACAACCAAAAAGGCTAGCAAGTTCTTCTCATGAAAATAAACTGGAAATTACCTAATTCTAGAAGTTTCTTGACGCAGTCTACTCTCTGGTAGTTGCAGGCCACATAGAGGGGGGTTCCCAGCTGCGGCACCTCATGGTCAATGTTAACATTGTTTGCCAGCAGAATCTCCATGCACTCTCTGTGACCTGATAGAACAGAAAGTAACACTCAGATAAGGAAACCAGTGGGTGCTGACAGAATTGCAAGCATTCTTATCTGGAAAGAGCTTTAAAAATAAATCTTTTTGTTACAGGGACGGAGACTTTCTCGTTTCATTTTCTTTTGGCAACCTTAGGTAGAAAGCCCTATTGTGTCTTTCCAGAGGCATCTTGCTCAGGGCTCGTCTGTGCATGCAGTTTTTACCTTCCTTAAACTTACTCGCTTCCTTCATTTCAAAAGCAGCCATCAACAGTGCATCTAGTTTCCCATGCCTCTTTACGTTTGCCATTCTGTGCTGGTAACTCTCACCCTGAAGTCATCAACTCATCTACATGCTTCCTATCCCAAGACAGTATTAACTTTGGCCTTCAGACCTATCGTGATTTCTTCTCCATTAGGGGTTTGTGCTCGCTGGGCTCAGGGGCACGTGCTGTTCTTTCATGCTAAGGAAGGCGACACACGGCCAGCACAATCCACCCAAACACCAGTGAGGCAGCTCCATTCCTGGGACACCTGGGACAGTTGGACTTTCTCAGTCTGTAAGGCTGGCTTCAGGGCACAGGCATTTCCTGGAGATTTGGGTCAATTGAAGTGATTGTTGTGGGATTCCCGAGCCATGCATCCTGGGAAGGTGAGGATGAACTTCAGTCTGAGTCCCATGCCTGGGTGTGAGTTCACCAGTGTCTGCTGAGTCTGGGTGGCTCACTTACCTCTCTTCACTGCCTCATGGATGGGAGAAGCCAGGTGCATCTCGACTTGGGCCGTTGCTCCAAATTCCAGCAACACACTGATGCATGCAGCGCTGCCACTGCAGCAAGCATTGAAGAGGGGTGTGGCTCCGTGGACTGTCACCCCATTAGCCTAGTTATGGGGACAGTGAGACATAGAGCATTTGCTGGTTCATTCTCACCATCACCGCGTATGTATTCCTTGTATCTGCCTGAGCAAACCGCATGAAGCTCAATCTGTGAGGAAATTCCACCTTGTTCTAGAATTAGGAAACCTCACATGGTCATTGTATGAATCAAGTGAGTTACTATATGTTAAATGCTAAGAACATCATCCGGTGCCTAGCTACCACTTAATATTTACAACAATGGCCATTTTCTATTTACATGGAGCTGGACGAATCAGCTAGCTCATGGATCCCCAGCCAAACATCTCCTCAGTTACTCTACACAGTTCTAATGTCTTTGTTGCTACGTGTTTCCCATGTGGTCTATCAGAATTCATATAAGTTGCATATGCCAGCTGTGATTCCAAGAAGATCACAAGCAAGTCACAGACACATAGAAACTAGGCATCAACACGGTATCTCTAGGGTTACAGGAGGCACGTGAGAGTGAGCAGGGCTGGGTATGGAAACAACATCAAGAGACTAAGACATTCCAATGGGGCAACTTTGCGTGATGAGCAGTTTCAGGGGTCCACAGGATTTCCAATTCTTGGGACCTTTCTACTAACCGATCAACTTCTTACTCACGTTGGCATTCTGATTGAAATATCAAGTGTTACAATACAAATCTATTGATTTTTCCCATACACAACTGTTAAAGGCAGGGTCCTCTGGCCCTCTCTTGCCTGCCACTTTATTCTCTCGGGCCAGTAAACTGCCCATTACGCCAGTCATTTAGCTGGACTGCAAATGAGTCTCATGGAGCCACACCCTCATCATTACCCAGGAGCCGGGAGGGACCTCCGAGAGAGAGCACCACCTGACAGGAAGGCTCGACCTCAAGGACACAGGGAAAATCAGTTTGTGCAAGGAAGATCTTTTTTCCATTTAGTTCTGTATCTAGAAACTCAACTTCCACATGAAACACAAAGAAAGTCTTCAAATTGCTATTTATTTAAAACTCACCTTGATAATTTTGCTCAATAAAAATAGTTGTTGATTTAGGTGCTGAATTAGGATTTTTTTTAAAGGTGTGTTCTCTTTAATGATTTCCAGTAAAGATTTGTTTACAGTCAGCATCACGAGTTTGTTCACAGATGGGCAGGGATGGTACTCACATGTGCGCCATTTTCCAACAAGGCCTTAGCACAGGCCACGTGTCCTCCCAGGCATGCCTCATGGAGGGAGGAGACGCGGTTAATTGTCACCAGGTTCACGTTGATGCCCTGCAATTTGGAAAGAACAGAGTTAGACTCTGGCCTTGACACAGCAGGGGAAGCAAGGTTGTTTGGCTTACTTGGGGAGTTCCCAATGCCTGTGGTATCAGCATCACACTGTGTCGGGGCCCCAAACTCATTTATCCAACAAAGGTTGAGTCAGCATTCTGGAGCCAGGGAACTGCTAGGGCCTCAATTTTGACACAAGGGTCTCTTCTCCATGATCCAAGTCAGGAGGCAGACAGAGAAAGAAAACAATCAGATTGCTACACCAGCAGCAGGTTCAAATTTTAACTGGGAGCATGAACTATTCTTGGATCTGACACAGAGAGTCAGAAACAGCGTAACAAATGAGGTGAGAGCTAAGCATGGCTTGAAGCATAAAAGACTTCTGAAGGCACAGGCAGGCAGGTACACCGTTAGAGGGAAGAGGACGCCCCAGTGCAGGAAGCAACAGTACCCAAGAGAGGTGGCTACTTGGATACAAAAGAGTCCTAGTGATGGCCAAAGGGGAAAGAAAAGGAAGGAGATGAGGGGAGCTAATGAGTATGGTGAGCTGGAGCCGGATTAGGAGAGGACTTCGTTTCCAATCAGGGAGTGCTTGTCCTATAGGGAACGAGGCCACTGTGCAGCACTTTCAGCTTCAGAGGGTCTGCAGCTAACAGGGGCATTGCACATGGGCAGCAGCAGAGTGGGCTGATGGCAGGGACACGGCTGTGAGACACAGGCAGGTAGTGCCAGGGAACCAGCTCTGTGAGTGCCAGCTAGGCTGCTAAGGGTCTGCTGCAGGCATGACAGGCTAGGAGCGTGAGGCTTAGGCAATGGAGCCAGAGGTGAACAGAAGGCAGGACATGCATCTTGAGCACACAATTGACTTGGGAGCAGAAAGCCAAGCTGACCGAGATGGCAGGACAAACATGCTGGCCCCGACCCTGGCGCTTTACGTACCCATCCATATGGGGAGCGGGGGCTAAAGCTGCTCCTGGAATTGGGAAGGGCCATTGTAAGATGGCGGCTGGCCAGGGCCAGGAGGCAGAGTTGGTCTCACCAGCAGGTAAACAGGAAGTCACAGGGATGGGCTAATGCCCCTGCTGTGATTATGTCATTGCTACCAGCCTATCAGCGCCAAGTGGACCCACGGGAAGAAGCGATTGGTGGAGAACGATATAAAAGTAGCCAGTAAAAGCTAGGCAGAGGACAACTAGGACAGACGGACAGACGGCCGAACGATGACGACGAGAAGAAAGACTGGGGAAAGAACGACGGATGGAACAGGAGGAACGGAACAACAGAGAGGGGAAGAAGGGTTAAGATCTTCGGGTAGAAAAGCTAAGGTGTACAAAAATGGACAAAAGTGGGCAGAGGGGTACAAAAGCAGGATAGAAGCAGTAAGAGCAGTACGGAGAGCCGGGGACAAGAACAGAGAAATGCAGCAGAAAGTACGGGAAGAAATGTGGGAAGAAGGGTGGCGGAAAGAAGGCTGGAGAAGCGGGGAGGAAAGCTTAGACCAACGGGGAAGGGGGCAGCGGAGGTAAGGGTTTAAACGTGGCCACTTTTGGCAGTGAGGGGTCCGGTTGCGGTTCCGGCTTTTCCCGGACCCTCAAGAGCGTGCCTTGTCATTTTAGTGTCGCCACTGCCGGGCGGCGGCAACACATCCATCCAGTGGCATCACGGCTCCTCCTAATACCCCTCTCCCCACCCTCCTTTACCCTGTTCTAGCATATTGCCCCACCCCAGAGTGCCAGGCACCGCCTCCTCCATAGGACAGCGGGCAAGGTCAGCCTACCTACTAGACAACTCTGGCCCCAAACCCTGATGTTTTCAACTTAGCTCTGACCAATTCCCTATTTACCCCTTTGTTTGAAAAGGGGACTTCAATATTGGTCACTCAATACCATGTCAATTAATTCCATAATGTTGTAAATTGTCGTTGATGTTATATTGTGGCTTTAAATTGATCGGGATGATACTGTCAGCTCTGCCTTCAGACCAGAGATGGTCTCCCCAAGAAACTGTTGAATTTACCTGGACAGTAAGATGCTGGACTCTATGCTTGGTATACTCTTGCAATAAAACAATCTTGAGTGAATTTGAAATGTAATACAGTAGCAACAAGGTAGAGGAATCCACCATGGGGGAGGGTACGGGGAGGGGTTAGGGGATCCCCAGAGCCTATGAAACTGTGTCACATAATGCAATGTAATTAATAAAAAAATATCCAGCTGAATCCAGCTGTTGGTTCCCTGCCTTATGCTTCACCTGCCGAAAGCTTCCCAAACCTAGTGCCATGCTCCGAACCCCAAACTAGGGCCACCCTGTCACCTGTCACATTTCTTCAGTACTGGCTGCAGGCTGGCACTAGCCAGCAGCCGAGATGCCCACCAAGTGTCTGGCCCTTTGTCCTCAGGCCTGTCTAGGGCAATTCTCATCTCCTGAGCATGATGTCGTGGCTCAAGATCTAAGCTTCATAGGTCCACTCTCTATTGAACATATCCAGAAAGGTCTTTGCCTTTGTCTTTTTCCCATATAGGAGTTGCTTATAAAAAACGAAATAAACAGGCTAGTCCACAAGGTGGCAGGAGTGTGCTAGGAAGAAAAAAAAAAAAAAACCCACTTGGATGGGGGCAAAATCTCAGACAGAAGGTTCTGGTTCCAGGTAGGGCTGGAGGTGTGGAGGTGACAGGAGGTTAGCATGCCCCTAGGAACTCAACTCCTGAACCTCAGTTTCATGTTTCCCTCACCCTGACCACATGATCTAAATGTGAAATAAAGTTTTAAAAAGTAGAGTAAGCAGAGCTGACAAGATGGCTCAATTGGCTAATCCTCCAGCAGCAACATCCTATATGCTGATGACTGGTTGCCAGTGACTGCAATGGCCGGAGCTGGGCTAATCCAATGCCAGAAGCCAGGAGCACTCTCCTTCCCAGGCCACAGGAAGAGCGCTGCATCAGAAGCAGGGCAGCTGGGACTTCAACTACCGTCTGTCTGGAATGTCGGTGTCGTAGCTGGAGCCTTAGCCTCTTTTGGCACTGTGTCATACTCTAGTGGCTAACTTCTTACTTCTGACAAATATAATGTGGCTCTGTAATAAGCAAACATTGGGAGAGTTGGGTGCAATTTTTTTTAATGCATTTATTTTATTGGAAAGGCAGATTTACAGAGAGGAGAGACTGAATGAAAAAGATCTTCCATCCTTTGGTTCACTCCCCAAAAGGCTGCAATAGCAGAAGCCAGGAGCCAGGAGCTTCCTCAGGATCTCCCACACAGGTACAGGGTCCCAAGGCCTTGGGCCATCCTCCACTGCTTTCCCAGACCACGGGCAGGGAGCTGGATGGGAAGTGGAGCAGCCTGACATGAACCAGCATTCATATGGGATGCCAGCAAAGTGAGATTAGCCAGTTGAGCCACTGCATCAGCCTCGATTATAGGTTATCTGGGAAATCTTTGTGCTATCTTTGTGAATATTCTTTTAAAATTATCCAAAAATGTGGGGCCCGGCACAGTAGCCTAGTGATTAAGGTCCTTGCCTTGCACGCACCAGGATCCCATATGGGCACTGGTTCTAATCCCGGCCACTCCACTTCCCATCCAGCTCCCTGCTTGTGGCCTGGGAAAGCAGTCGAGGACGGCCCAAAGCCTTGGGACCCTGCACCCAAGTGGGAGACCTGGAAGAGGCTCCTGGTTCCTGGCTCCAGCCGTTGTGGCCACTTGGGGAGTGAACCATCGGACGGTTCAATCTTCCTCCCTGTCTCTCCTCCTCTCTGTATATCTGACTTTCCAATAAAAAAAATTATCCAAAAATGTGAACTTTAAAAAAGATACGGCAAAAGTCCTCTGGTGAGAGACTGAGGAGGAGGATATGGCTTAAGACTTTACTATGTCCCTTGTAAAACTTTAGTCTGATTTTTGAGCTGGGTGAATGTTACATATTAAAATCACCAAATCAGGTGAAATGCAAAGTGTTTAAAAAAATAGGCAAGCAACAAAATCACATGCCCAATCCATTTAACCATTGTTTTCCCTTTGCCTCTACTTTCTTAAAAAGTAAACAACTCACAAAAGAGAAGGTCTGAAAAACAGCACGTGCAAAAGCCCAGTGCCCCCGGCTGTCGAAGGTCAGACCGCAAGGAGGGTGACGACAGTGAGAACGTGGGAGAATGACACGATGACTCACCTGCTCTGTAGGTTCTCAAATAAACAGAGCAAATGGAGCATGCACAGTTCCCTTCGTGCATTTCACAAATATTTGCCAGGCCGCCACTCATTCCCCAAGGCGCTGGGGACACAGTCCTGAAGCCCACAGGCCCCAGTCACTAAGGCTTTCATAAATCTTCCCCACGAACTAAGACTGACCCATTGTTCAACCTACGCTAACACTTGTCCTTGTACTCGAACATCACCGGCACCACAAGCCTCCACATGACGCTCGGTGACTCCTCTTGAAGAACCGCTGCCCCGCCACGTGAGCTGTACTTACTGACGTGTGTGGAGTGAGTATACAGCAGAAGGCATGACACGTCACCTCAGAGATTCGGTTGTGAACCTGGGACTTCGGTCTCAGAGCCTCTCTTGTACCCGATCTGAGACAAAGCAGCTGCCAGTCATGACTCAGCTTGGGAAGAAGTGCAAGTGGCCAGGAACTAGACTTTGCTAATAACCACTTGAATGTGTTAGAAAGTAGGCCCTGCCAGGGGCTGGAGCCAAGGTGTTGTGGGTAAAGCCATTGCCTGTAGTGCCGGCATTCCATATGGGCACCAGTTCAAGTCCCTGCTGCTCTACTTGCAATCCAGATCTCTGATAATATGCCTGGGAATGCAGTGGAAGATGGCCCGAGGGTTTGAGCCCCTGCACCCACATGAGCCGTGTCTGACAGGTGGCAGGAGGCCAGAGACCTCGAGGCACCCCCAGCTAAGCTGCTGCTTGGCACACACAGACATTGGGAAGCGGGCTGTTCCTTGCTTTCAGCCACTGTGCTGTAAGCTGTTTGTCACACAGTAGTAGCTGAACACAGCATTAGCTAATAAGAGCAACTTCAGCACCGCCATGGCCAACACTCCCCGGCAGTTAGGATAAGATGGGCCAGCCCATGGCATCCTTCAGAGAAAACCTTCCTGTGATGTCAGGTGAGGTCCAGAAGGGAGAGGTAGGGTGCAGGCGGAAGAGGCGACAGCTTCCCAGAGAAAGAAAGGGAGCAGTAAGAGAGCGAGGGGCAAAAGGACAGCCCTGCCTAGAGAGGTTAGTGCTGTGGTCTAGCTTTGGGCCCAATTATTTCCTAGCTTCTTGCCTCTTTCTTAAAAAGCATTTTAAGCACATGCATCAACATGACTTTAGCAAATTTATTCAGAGAGTGAGGAATACAAATGTGGGCCATGTTCAGGGAAAGGAGATTGCTAGCTCTGTCCTCGGAGTCTGTCTGCAGCAAGCACGTAAGGGGACAAGTGGGCACACCAGAGGCCGAGAGCCTGAGCCCCCTCCGCAACGCGGGTTTTCAGGAGGTTTGGGAGGGCAGCGGTTAGCCTACACCGCAACACTACCCCCTTCAGGCTCCAGGTGATGACAGGCGTCATCTGAATCACAGGTGGGCAGAAAGGATTACAGAGGCGGGGGTGGTGTGCCCTCCAAGTGTGACCCAGAATTAGCTGCCTAAGACCACATCACTAGGACACAGATGGGCAGGCTAGGTCTCTGCTACCTCCACAGCCAATCGAGTGGTGCTTAACCACAGAATAAGCACAGGACATCAAACCTTCAGTTTACTTACTTGTCTAATTAACGTTTTAAGGGCCAGTAAGCGCCCCTGGGCCGCAGCTTCATGAAGTGGGGATCGATCAGCCCAGCAGTCTGCAACACAAAGCAAATTCAGGGTCAAGATCTGGACACCTCTCTGCGCAGTGCATTCCTGCTCCCCAGTTGCTGCGAGAGGGCGCTGGGGCTAGAGAGGCAGGCAGCTACCCTGCAAGAGGTTCTCTCTGAGCTGCCTGCCGAATGTCAAGTTCCTGAATGTAGGCCATTCATTTGGTGGGATGTCAATCTGTTGGCTTTTTGGGGGCACTTCTGATGAGCAAGAAATTGTGCCCAGAGACTCTGATAGCTCTAAGTAAGGCCAAAGGAAGAACAGACCACATGCCTGAGCTCCCCCAACGCTCCTCAGCCTGTGGTTTGTGCGGGAGCCCCAAGGGGACCTGGGAAACTTCAGCTGGTCACACAGATCTGCTGGTATGCAACTGTAGCTTTTCAGATGATAAAGTCCTTCAGAATTTTTCCTTCAGCAACTTCTCTGGTGGAAGTTTATCATGATGCCTCCTGCCTGGGTTCAAGCTCCTCTTTGATACACACTCTGGCCACATCAGCAAGTTATCAATCGCATTTGAGCCTACAGTGACTTCTCTGTAAAAGGACATGTGGCCATCTAGGACGTGGCAAATGCTTTGGTCCTCAAGCAGGCCAATAACAGCCAACTGTGATGGTAGGTGGCCTGAGACCACTGATGATTAATGGGTGTACACACGGCGTGCCGGTGCTCCACCAACAGCCATAAAACTGTCACAGGAGCGTATTTCTCCCATAAGTACTTATCTGTAACCAAGGATAACCAGCAGATGGAACAGCTCTCTGTCTCTCTGTCTCACTCTGCAACTCTGCCTTTCCAGTAAATACATCTTTTTTAGAAAAAGAAATGTAAAATAGTGCAGCCAGCCTTAGCTTAGCTCCCCCCAAAATAACTAGTCCCTCAAGAAACAGGGATCATTTTACAGTGGAACAAACCACTTTGACAGCCAATCAGAGTCTGTATCAGCAGTTTCGGAACAATCTGGCCCCATGTGCAAGCCGAGAAATGCTGCGGGTGATTTCAAGCGCCACTGAAGAGAACACAGAGCAAGAACACACGCCACTGCTGCGTCTGAGAGTGAGGATGCAGTGAGCCCACTCCAACTGAGGGGGCGCTGTGCAAAATCCCTGGCTGGCTGCCACTTCAAGGAAGGCCACAGGGATGGGCCCAGGTGGAAGACACAGCTTCTGAGGGCAACAGCTGACCCTGGCAGGATCCTTTTGCTGGTGAGGCCCTTAAAAGAGGACAGCAGGCTACACGTGACTGAGCAAAGAGAACTGGGAATTGTCCCATTCCTGTCACTTTTCTGTTGGTTGAAACGAATTCCAAAATAAATGGTTAAAAACACAGATAAAAGCATTTGGGAGCCCACATTTTTTATATGAATGTGCAATGCTTTTATAACAAAGAAAACCAGATATGATTTTTTTCACATGAACATATACCGTGTTTGTATCTCCATTTGCTCCAGAGTCTGCTTAAAGACGCTAAGTACACTCTTTTAAATCTCTTTTGGACATTTTTAACTTGCTTAAGCTACAAATAATGAGAAAACATATGCATGTGATCCTCACTTGACCAATCCGCCTTGGTTTTCCTGTAATGCAACTCCATCTCATCCAAGATGCTGTGTGCTGCAGACATGCTGCCCTCCTTCCGATCTCGGCATCGAACCCAGGCCCAGGAGGTGAGAGCTTGGTCTTCCTCCAGAACTGGCAACTCCACGTCATGGTGGACAGAAGCCAAAGCACAGCAGAGTTTGCACCTCTGCTGGCCAGCCGGCGTCACCTGGCCAGAACACAGGCCCGGCCTCTGCAAGCTGAGCGTCCAGTGTGCAGAATGACCTAAACCCAGCACCATTTGGAGAGATGATATGAATTATTACAACTATTGTATAAACTTACCTTTTCCATAGAGGCCTGAGGTACGCAGGAAGCATGAGAGAACTGCAGGGTCACACTGTGGTCCCAACCCCAATATACCTCATTCTGTGCACATAAATATGGCAAAATCCACCTAGAGCTGAAGATCAAACAGTTCACGTTCCAAGCATTTCAGACAAGGGATGCTCCTTGTGTAACTATGTGTTATACTCCTTATATAACCTCATACATCTATTTGACTCACAAATAAAAGCAACCTCCAAGCGGCAATTCACTGTTAAGGGTTAAGATGGGATAGCAACAGGAGTTGGCTTGCCTGCAGCCTGCCACAAAGAGTCCTTTCCCAGCACAAAGCAAGCACCTAAGCACACCTTCCTCCTTCATCTGACTTCCAGCGAGAGCTGAGCCTTAAGGACCACGCAGATGTATCTCCCAAGCGCGGTGCTGGGGCAGGGAGTCAAAGAAACGAGACCTAAAGACCCTACACAGCGCGACCCCGGGTCTACAAACACAGAAGCAGGACAAACTCACCTTCCCTGAAAGAAGCCAGAAGCTGGCTGGGGGTGGGCATGGAGGGGCCCATGCCCTTGAGTGCTGGTTGCTGACTGTGGTGGTGTTCACTGTGAAGAGCTCCCCAGCTGTTTGCTTGGGATGTGCGCACTTCCCTGTGTTTGGGTCATACTTCCCTGAAGAGTTTTTTCTTTCTTTCTTTTTTTCAATATCTAAGTCCAGCCCCCGATCAAACTGTAATCTTTGATCGTCCTCGCAGTTCCTCGCCTCCCCCACTGCCAAGGCCCAGCAAGCAGCTGGGGGCGAGGAACAGCGCGTTCTTCACACGCCTCCCACCTCCTCCCTCCGAGGGCCAGCTCCCGCGGTGCTGTGAGGGCCGGGAGAAGCCGGGACACAAGGAGGCTGTCCTCCCCAGGCCTCGGGGTCAGGCCGGCTCGGCCAACCTCCACGGCAGCCATTATGGGGGTTTAAGCCTAGTCCTTCCCGCCAGTTCTCCAGCTGGGAATCACGGACAGCTGAGACGCCTGCCCGCCTGAGGGATGGCTAGGCCAAGGTCGAAGCAAACAGCGAGCAGAGCTAGATAAGAGCTGAAGGCTGCGCGGATGTTTGGGCCAGAAGGGAAACAGGCGCCCTTCCGACCCGGTCCGCCAACTCCGAGGCGGCCTCTTGCGTGCTCTACTCCCACCGCAGGCTCCGGAAGTCACCGTGACAAGAGCGCAGCGCCATCTTGTACGGCAACCAGGAGGGGCTGAGGGCTGCTCTGGCTTCTCACTTTCCTCCGCGCTTCTCTCTGCCCTTACTCACAAGCTGTCTAGGGAGACTTGCAGCTGGAGGGAGAAATACCAGGCGCATCTCTTCTCAGTACCCCCACCCCGGAAGCTTCTGTGTTTCCCGGAGCCCCATCTGAAAGCTTTCAAGGGGTCTAGCTTCCTTAGAACACCCAGACTCTACGGCACCGTGTAGCGCGTGAAAGGTCCCCGAGCCTGGACGTGTCAGAAATAGGCCTGAAGCCAAGTTTGGGCAACTCCAAACATCTCATTCAGGTTTTCGAAGACATGTTGGTTTTAAATCCTGCCCATCCCCGAGGTAGATAATAGCAGAAATGACTCAGCTGTGTTACCTTGAAGTAAAAGCCATTTTGTTTCCCCACTGGAAAGAAAATGAGTCTGGGTGGTCACCAGGGGCTGCCCTGGTGTCCCCAGCACCCTTGTCCAGAAACTGCCTGGAAGCACTCTCTTGCTTTTCTATTATATTCCCCCCAAGTCTCCACCTCATTATTGTAAGTCTGAGCTAATTGTGAGAAATGAAGAATAAAAGTATTTTGGCAGCTGAGGAGTTTTTCCGTTCCTTTCAGCAAATAGGCAGCGAAGCTCTCCAATGAATGCCAAGTAGGAGGCAGTCTCGGAGGCGCTGTATTTTTAGTTCCCTGGCACACTGCCTGTGTCACAGGGCTGCGAACACGTTAGGAAGGCAGTTGACTCTACAGATATGTCTGCTTGCTCCTGATTAGGTGTGTGGGAAACAGAGAAGTACTTTTTCATTTGCCCCTTTAAATTTTTCTCAGAATGTAATTTTTTACCTCTAGTGCTCAAATCCTTTGAATAACAATTTCTAAAACTATCTTTCAAAAACAAAATTGATTCAGATGGGATGTGGTTGTCTAAATTTCAGATGTTAAGATAAAAATGATTATTTATCTTTGTTTTTGCAATTTTTACCTTCTAATTTCAACAAGCATTTGAAAGACCACCTAATTAGCTCTAATCCTTGGCATACAGGGAATGATCTTTGTTTTTCAAGTCCCAAAATCATATGACTCAATATCTTCTCCAGTGGCATTTATAAAAGAAAACAAAATACATAATTTTGAAGGATATTTAAAATATTATAATAAAACTTATTAAAATTCTATTCTTTCAAACATCCACTTCTGGACAAGACATGAAACTCAGGCAATAAACTGTATTAGACACAGTGACTTTTGCTTTAGCGTGTGAGCAAAGCTAGGCTTTTGGGAGGCTAGGAACTGCTCGTCCCAACCTGGGAACCACAGACTCCGCAGATGCCCAGGCCAAGGCCTGAGCAAACATTGAGCAGACCTAGATAAGAATAGAAGGCTGTATGGATAAATGTGCACTAGAACGGAAACAAAAGCAGGAACAGCTTATTAGAACTGTAAGGGCAAGAAAAGGAGTCCGGCTGATAAGTTAGCTAGAAGCATGACGGTCGTCAGATCAAGGTCAGTCCCTTGCCTTAGAACAATGACTAGCAATTTGAAGCCTAATACTTGGAATTAATCCTTTTGTTTCAAACAGCTATGATTTTAAAGATTTATTTTTTTTTAAATTTTTTTTATTGGAAAGGCAGATATACAGAGAGGAGGAGAGACAGAGAGGAAGATCTTCCATCCATTGATTCACTCCCCAAGGGGCCGCAATGGCCAGAGCTGAGCCGATCAGAAGCCAGGAGCCTCCTTGGTCTCCCACACGGGTGCAGGGTCCCAAGGCTTTGGGCCGTCCTCGACTGCTTTCCCAGGACACAAGCAGGGAGCTGGATGGGAAGAAGGGCCGTCGGGATTAGAACCAGTGCCCATATGGGATCTCGGCACGTGCAAGGCGAGGACTTTAACCACTACACTGTAGCGCCAGGCCCCAAACAGCTATTATTTTAAAGAGGGGCAGTTCCATAACTGTCATTGGCAATGGTAATGTTCCTCACATTCTGAAAACCAAGCTTTCCCTAAAATTTAGAGCGAATTCCTTTAGCAGCAAAGCATGGCCCCGTGTTGTTATTGGGATTTCCACTTAGAGTGAATATTTCAATGTAGGCGAAAGAAAGTGCAGAATGTTTGCTCACGGAAGGCAGCGCCAGGCCCCAGTGGGAGTGCTGTGTAATCCACTGTGTAATCAGTCTTTGTACAAGCACTAGCTCCTGATTTCACAAGCACACCTGGTTCTAGGGTGATGCATAACATCTTACAAACTGTGTCTACACCTTATTTTCATCAACTTTGATGGCCAGGTCATGGTACTGAATTAAATTTAGTAATTAAATATTCAAAGGTTCAAAAATCGTGCATGTGGCTCAGAACTATAGTACAGGACTGTCCATTGGCTTCAAGTGGGATTTCATGTTACATCTGGTGCCGTAGACATAATGTCATGAGCTAAAGACAATGGCACACCAGCACAAACACATTCATATACAAAATGTCTATCCCATGGTGCGGTAAGATACACCTCCGCCTGCAGCACTGGCACCTCACAGGGGCATTGGTTCCTGTCCCAGCTGCTCCACTTCTGATCAAGCTCCCTACTTATGGCCTGGGAAGACAACAGAGGATGTTTTAAGTCTTTGGGGTCCAGCACTTAAGTAGGAGACCGGAAAGAAGCTCCTGGCTCCTGGCTTTGGATTAGTTCAGCTCCTGTCGTTGTGGCCACTTGGGGAGTGAACCAATGGATGGATGGAAGAGCTCTCTCTCATTCTTTGTGTTTCTCCTGTAAAATCTTTCAAATAAAAACAAATCTTTAAAAAGTCTGACAAAAAACACAGATTGAAAATATAGAATTATAAGAATACTGTAAAAAGTATACAGCAAAGCAGAATTAAAGGGAGGTTACAGCACAAGAAATTGTGAAGAGTCTTCAAAACCCTTATGGAATATGCACATTATGAAAAAATTATGCATGAATTTCAAGGTTTTTCAAAGCCAGCCATAACTTAACGCTGATGAGTTATCTACAAAGGTGATAAACAAAACCACAAACACATAGCAAATAATGTATTCCAGATGAAATTGCAAGAGTAACAAATATTTTCCAAAAGGATACACAGCCAAAAACAAGATATTTAATAAGATATGTGACATTGGATGGAGCTTTCAAAGAGGGCTGGGACCTACGGCAATATGAAGCATGTCCTGGCTGAGTTTCTCACTTCCCTCCCCTTGTTTTTGACATTGCTGACGATAGTTTACAAGAATGAGATATAGTAAGTGAAATCCAGAAATTTAACCTTGGGAATTTTCTAAGTTAGTTAACTGACTTACTGATTAAATGTACTGACAAACCTTTGTCTGACCAACGAACAGTGAAACCGACTTGTTGTTCAACACTTCCATGCAATTTTTCTTTTTCTTTTTAAAGAAATATGGCTTTAAATTTGTCCTATACAACTGTGTCAGAAAAAAAAAAGACTGTTGCAAATGCTTGAAAATTCCTGGCTGTGGTATGCTACTACCATATTATTATAGAAAGATTTCTTAGCCAAATCTGGACAGACAAGCGTCTGCAGGGTTGTGGGGATGCATGTATTATATGATTACAATATACTAATAGGTAGGAACCAAAACTGAGAAATTAACACATGCTTTTCAACCTGCCTGTTGTTAACAGTAACTGGAAACGCATTTTTGACGTTGTAAAAATATGCTCCTTGTAAACTAAATAAACACTATCTGAGGAACAGTCCGGTAGGTACATTGGAGCTAAGAAAGTGAATGAATTCCAAGTCATACCCTGGGTCCAGACTTGCACTTCAACCATTAGCATAAAGCCTTTTGAAGTGTGTACTGCAAGGCCAGAAAGACGGCAGGGACAGAAGTCTTGTCCAGGAGTCACTGGGAAAGGCCTCTTTGTTAGGCGTTAGCTCACTTATCCCCTGAGCAAGATGGGTCTGTGAGAACATCAAAACCAATACCAAAAATCTCCAAAAACCTCCACCCAAATTTACAAATTAACTCACAAAGCAGCTTTTCAGATCACATTTAACATGAAACTAAAGAGAAGCATTCATTTCTTTCAGCTAAAGTAACATACCTCCCTGAAACGTGTGACAAATATAATCCCCAAAAGAAATCTCTTTCCACAGTCCTGGCCTTCTGGCACTTTCTGAAACGTCAAAGTCCTCCTTGTTGCCCTCAGTTAACTGAAGCATTCTGCTGCTTTTTCTCTGGAGGACTTGCTGCTTTGGGTGAGAGCACTGTGTCTAGTGGCTCCAAGTTGCCTAGTCTATCGGAATCACACAGCCAAAGTCTATTTTGAAATTGAATCCTGCATGCAAATTGAAATGGATATGAGATAAAGAATGATGTAATCCTGGAACCCCTTGGAACACTAAAAATAGAGGGAAATTCTGAAAACTGTTTATGAATAAATATTCCTCTATTAAGCGACAATCCCAGAGGTGAGAGGGATATCTGATTCATTCAATGTTCTAGAATCTCATTACAATCGAAGTGAATCAGCGACAAATCTCTATAAAGCATGAGACTTTTAAAAACTTTTATCCAACTCGTGGCATTTTGTATTATAATAGCCTGCATGATGGCACTGGTAAGCGGACTTAGTGATGGGCTTTTTTGCTGACGGTGACAAGTGGCTAAATCCAATTGCAAATGACCATACGATACATTCATCATATATATTATATGTATCTATGTAAAACATATATAGAGAGCATGCCATGTTTACTGCTTTAAATCAAAGTTATCAATGATTCTATTTCCCGAGTAAATTTCTTCTTGTTAGAATACTCTTCATTGTTAAAAGTTTGGTTAAAAATACTAAAGGAAAGCAAATAGTGCTATATACGCCATTCCTGGGGCCAAAAGAAATGCAGTTTCTCAGAACACTCTTAGAAAGCCATTCTCTATGTACATTTCAAATAGTGACTACTAACAGAGCCACTTGCTTGCAAAAAGTAAAACTGAAAATCCCTCACAATTTGGTACAGGTAACACCATTTGCTACTTTAAATGACAGAGCATTTTTAAAACTACTCATTGAAAACCAAAGTCTGAATAAAATTTGTCTTTTAGAAATAATATTCCTAGGAACTACCTTGGAGGGCTTGCTTTCTTTAAGTAGTGGGAGCAAATGCATGTATTTTACCTGAAATTCCACCATAGATCTCTTCTGCTATCCTAGCCGCTTCTTTTCTATTTCCTTTGACGATATAGAAATGTGTAAGGAGAGCCAAAGAAACCTTAATTAGAAGCTTGAAGAAAAAAAAGGTAGCAAACATTGTAAGAAAAATGTTTTTAAAGCCATAGAAAACAGGACCATCTTCCATTTTGGCTTACGCTCTGTACAGGTTGCCAGGACTGTAAAATTTCCCTGCGTTATAATTGGTATCATATGACATCTATTTTAAACTTGTAGCACTTGCTGTTCCTGTTACCAAGAACTCAGTGTGTAGGTTCTTAACTGTGATGTAGCCACTGCATACGTCCACACCCACGACAATGCTAAGCAAATTAAGGACATTTCCTCTAACCAGAAACATCCAGTAGTTCCCAAACTTTATCACACAGTACTTTCTAACAAACTGGACATGTGCCTGGACCCTTTACATCCTCCAACGCTCTTTTTGGTACATCAATCTGGAAGTATTTTTGCAAAGTTGGAAAGATGAAAGAAACTTCTCAGGCCTCAAAGGGACAAAAGCAGCCATTCGGTGTTCACATAAAGAAGTGCAAACACAGCCATGTTCTTAGTAGGAAATCCTATTTTTACAAGGATTTCCTGTTCTCTCCATTCTGCAGTATATGGAGGATTAAGTCTAGAGCTGAAATGTGTCAGGTTTAAAAAGCTCATTTGCTCCACAGCAGTGTTTATGGAAAGACTCCATCTTGGAAGCCTGTCTATGTAACCCAGCTGAAGTGTAAAGGGACCAGAAGTGTGCTCATTTCATCTGTGACAAGTGCCCCACTGCAAGGCTCCTTCCCCACAACTTGCTTCCATGTCAAACATCAGCAAAGGTGGGGCCTCTTTCTAGAGAACATACTTGAAATCATAGTGAAATGGATGAAGGAGGCATCTAATGACCTGGGTTAAGTTCCCTCAAAGATTCCAAGAACCAATATCTTCTCTAGTTACACAATATTCTTATCAGTGGCCAACATCAGTAAAATTTCTTCCTTTTCAATCCCCCCACCGCTCCCCATGCCAGGTCTCCTTCTTCACTCTTGGCTGTGATCTTCCAAATTTCTTTTTTTTAAAAAAAGATTTATTTATTTTTATTGGAAAGGCAGATATACAGAGAGGAAGAGAGACAGAAAGGAAGATCTTCCGTCTGGTGATTAACTCCCCAAGGGGCCGCAATGGCTGGAACTGAACCAATCTGAAGAACTTCCTCCAGGTCTCCCACGCGGGTGCAGGGTCCCAAGGCTTTGGGCTGTCCTCCACTGCTTTCCCAGGCCACAGGCAAGGAGCTGGATGGGAAGTGGAGCTGCCAGGATAAGAACTGGCGCCTATATGGGATCCCGGCCTGTGCAAAGCGAGGACTTTAACCACTACGTTATTGCGCCGGGCCCATTCTTCTAAACTTCTAAACCTACTAAAAAGACAAAACAAAATTATAAGCACATGCAAGGTAAGCTTTAGTTGAAAAATGCATTATGCAAATATAGGAGCTTCTCTGAATACTGAGGCAAAGTAGAATGACTATCTTGTGACTGGCATTGTGGCATGAGTTAAGTCACCATCCACCTTGCCAGAATGCACCGGGATCCCATATGACTGCTGGTTCTAATCCCGGCAGCTCTACTTCCCATCCAGCTCCCTGTTTATGGCCTGGGAAAGCAGTCGAGGATGACCCCTTTGTGACCCTGCACCCGCGTGGGATACCCAGAAGAGGTTCCTGGATTCTGGCTTTGGACCAGCATAGCATCAGCTGTTGTGGTCACTTGGGGAGTGAATCATCGGATGGAAGATCTTCCTCTCTGTCTCTCCTCCTCTCTGCGTATCTGACTTTCCAATAAATAAATAAATCTTAAAAAAAAAAAAAAGTGTAACGTAACTGACACCTGAGAATGCATGGCTCCCGCATTATAAAGCTCTGGACTTGCTCCTACTCTCCAAGCCGATCTGAGGTTACCAACAGAACACCAGCATACCCCAGTGCAGACACCAGCATTTTAGTTCTTTCCACCTACTTTTCTACATTTGTACTTTAACCATACATTTATCCACGGCAGGCCAACGAGATACATTGTAGTATAGTGTTATTCAATCTTATTTCAATTTTCATTAAAATTGTCCTGTTTACACATCACGAAAATTGGCCCCAAGAAGCTAAACTTTTTCAAGGTTCTAATGGACATCTCTTATTGCTGAGCATGTATTTACTACATTTGGGCACTACACTTGGTATGGGCATCAAAGGTTACTGTTATACAATGTAAGAACAACCTAATTCATGACTTTTTTAAAAAGAATTATTTTATTTGAATTTCAGATATACAGAAGGAGGAAACACAGAGATCTTGCATCCATTGATTCACTCCCCAAGCGCCCACAATGGCCAGAGCTGTGCCAGTCCAAAGCCAGGAGCCCAGATGATTTTCTTTATGTGCCCCTGTGCAATGGTCTAATGGCTCAACCCTTGCCTTGTATCTGCTGGGATCCCATATGTGCACCAGTTCATGTCCCGGCAGCTCCACTTCCCATCCAGCTCCCTGCTTGTGGCCTGGGAAAGCAGTGGAGGACGGCCCAAAGCCTTGGGACCCCGCACCCTCGTGGGAGACCTAGGGCAGGTTGGAGGCTGCTGATCAGCCTCAGCTCTGACTGTTGTGACTAATTGGGGAGTGAGCGACTCTCTGGGTCTCCCTCTCAAATAAAAATAAATCCTAAAAAAACACCCACTTTATGAAAGTAAATACAGATCTATGATACTCAAACTCTGTCAAAAATAGCTTCTGGTGTAAGAAAGCTCCAGGCTGATTGCAGGTGATATATCCCATTGCTTTCAGCCAAGGCGCGAAGGAAAGCTGGGCTTGGGTCAATCAAGTCAAAACTCAAATTTCTCTTAATGGCTGGCAAAAGACAAAGCACTGAGACATACTTTGCACACAACTGTGTGCAGCTGTATTCACTTGTCTCATATTTTTGTGCAGTAAGAAATAAAAAAAATACAAGGAGTTTGGATCAGGAAATAAGAAACACTTGAACTTGCTTTTCCATTGAGTAAGAGAGAATATATTTTAGACATAAAAGATGACATGGGCCTGGCACCATAGCCTAGTGGCTAATTCCTTGCCTTGCATGCGCTGGGATCCCATACTGGGTGCGGTTTGTATTCTGGCTGCTCTACTTCCCATCCAGCTCCTTGGACCCATGTGGGGGATCTGAAAAAGATCTCTCTCTCTCTCTGTAAATCTACCTTTCCAATAATAAAAAAAAAATCTTGAAAAAAAAAACCCAGAAACCAAAGATGACAATAATTTGTCACCTTCAGAACATTTCCTGTTTTACTAACAGGCCAATCAACACATCAAATTTCATGGAGGACGAAAGCAGTTGAGAGGGAGAGGATCAAGTGGTTTAAAAAAAAAAACAAAACATCAGTTTATAAAGCAAACCAAACCGAGAAAGTGTGAAAATGCCATTCAGTTCTTTATTTTTAGACATGTAGTATGTTTAACAAATCAGTTTTACATGTGTAACTTTTTCTAACACCAAAAGAAATACACTATTATTTTTCATAAATTCCTTATCATTGCTTACTTTTAAATAAATGTTAAATAGCAGGGTAGAACAACATGTTTCACATACTGATCAGTGTAATACTGTCAGTTACAAGTTAGGTATCCAGGAAAGCTGAAAACGAAAATTTAAGTATGATATAAATTTACCTATATTTATTTTTAAAATAAGAAAAACAATTTAACTTGTAAATTTTCTATTTTACATGCAAAGTAATTAACTCCAAATTCTATTTCCATCTTCAATAAAGGAGAATTTAAGAATTAAATGACAATTCTGGAAATTTTAAGAAGAAAAAGTACAAAAAAAGTGGGGTACCTTTAAAAATTGCCGGGTAGAATAAACAAAACCAAATGTTTGTCCCTTTTGCCATGAATACTGGCTTTCATCTACCTCACCCCACAGAACGCTTTTTACGTACACAAATCCCAGTAAGACTGGATGCTGTCATCAGCTCATTTTTCTCCAGCAAAAGAAACCCTAACTTCTAGATTTAAAAAGTTACACTCTTGTATTTGTGTTTTAATACAAACAAAACACTTTTTTTTGGTAACAGTGGCAACCAGCTAATAGGCATATTGATGCTTTTTCAAAAGAAGCTTTGAGTGATGTCTCTTTAGAAAATCCTGTAGAGTCAATACTGACAGAATTGCTCCAGTGCATCCCAGCGCCTTGCAGCGTTCACAGTCACTTTCACGCAGACTCAGAGTCGGAAGAACTACTAATACACACTGTATGGATAATTGGGGTTAGAACCCCACGGCTCTGGGAAAGAACCAGATAACACCAGCACCCAAAGAGGGACCGTGTTCCTGACATTTTCAGAGTCAGTTTGCTACAAATACCACAGTGGGGAGTAAAGCGTTTTGCACACTGACAATACTTACTAGATATCAGTGAGGGGTAGTGACATATCAAAAGGACAAAGTAGCAGCTAGTTTAGAGATGGCACACTTCATACATTCTAGTCAGGAAACACGAAGGCATTCACAGAGGACTAAATTATGCACTGAAAACTGTGGAAGTCTCTCTGTACTATCAACAGTGATATCGGTCCCTAGTATTTAAAAAGCAAAAAGGATCCTCACACAGTAACAGGACGATGAAGATCCCACTAGGAGAACACAGCAGGATAAAGTACTTGGAGTATGCTGGCGGGTTTTTTTTTTTTTTTCCTTGGCATTAAATCAGCATGAGCCTTTTTGGCATGTTGAGTATTTTATCATATTGTGTCAACTGTGACACAATGAAGGAAGCCATTTGAATGATAAAGAACAGATGTACCCCTGGTCCTTCATGGCGGAAGTACCTAGTTTGACACGCTACACATAGCAGGTGCTCAGAACATGCTGGTAGCTAAGAGACCATGTTACTTAAGAACCCTGCTATTTACTTGCACGCAACACTGAGTAGACCCACAAATGTGCAAGAGCATGACTTAAAAAGTCAATAACAAATATCTGTGAATATGATTTAAAATAGTTCATGTAGCTGTTGTATTTTCCAAAAGAAAACTTGTAAACATTTGGTGAGTGTTGAATTAATGGTCTGACATTAAAAACTGGCCAAAAAGTGCCCAGAAAACATTTGGCCCTTCAGCACCCGAAGCTCTCAAAATATAATGTTAAAACATTTCTGCTAGAAGGATTTCAGTAATCTGAAAAATTTCATACCTGAGTGGCTTAAATCTTCTCTCCTAAATTGTAAGTAAGTGCAAGGAGTTTGTACACTCAGGAATTGCATAAGTTTCCGTCTTTCTTCAAAATAAAACATTGAATGATACAGAGGTAGCATAACTTACTAACTTAACTTTAAAAAAAACCCAAAAATGCAAGGTCATTTTCAATATAATCTTCTTTGAACTGTTACAAAACTTTTCAGATCTTTACAGCGCAGGTTCTCTTCTACCTGGCTTCAGACTTGCCATCATCCTCATCCAGTTTTGCTCTGCGAGGATGCTGCAGAGTCCATGAGCTCTTTGGCCCCGTGGCATCTACTGCAACATCAATGATGGAATCTGGAGTTATCCATCTCAGGAGAATGAGGAAGAGAAGGCTGAACACAGCCAATAAGGCAAAAATGTACCCTGTTACTGGGCCGCAGCAAGAGATGAGCCTGTCCAGGCGTTTGTCGATTGGCAACACAGCTTCCCCAGCCACCCGGTCATACACCTGGTACAAGAAAGAAGGGCGAGAAATAAGAACCCAGACTGACAACCCACACCAACCCCCCCAACATCTTAGAAACAAAAGCAATCAAGTTGTTTCTGTTTTGTTGCTATAATCACAGTTAAGTATTGCCATTTGATTCAATGCTTACTTGAGTACTTCCTCTGGGCTACACCCAGGGCTACAGTGCTGTGCGATAAGGAATAAGTCACATCTCTCCCCTAGGAATTCTGTCACAGGCAGTCACAACAGTTTCTGCAGTTCTCACCACCACACGGGCGGACCTTCATTCAGCAGTGACTTCCCTTTCCAGAGGCCTGCCCGGGTTGGACCAAAGCTCGCTGGCACCTGGCAGTCATGAAAGCAGAACCAGAGCACTACAAGCTAATGGGCTTCTGGGGCACAGGCGCTCTTTCACCAGCTGGCTGAGGCTAGACAGAAATCACGGACATCAATACAAGAGCAGAGGAAGATGCGCTAAGTTCTTACAGACAGTGGAGCTCAGACTCTGCACAATGCAATCAGGTTCACCCCTGAGGCTCAGCTTGTGTTTTGAACATGCCTCAATGTTACAAAACACTAAGAAAACAAAACAACAAAGTCCTAAGCATACCTGCTTAATCAAATGGGTCAGAAGCTGTTTTTAATCAAAGTTGAGTATTTTGTGCTAAGTCTCAGTTATCAGACTTGGAAAGTCATTTCCTTTAGAATTCAAGAAAGTTAAAACATACAGTGCCAACTTCTACAGAACAACGACCTTTCAAGGTATGGGAGGTTTTCAAACTCTAGCTCTTCTGCCCTGAGGACATCTGAATACAATCATGTCAATCAAACTATACAGAGACTGGCAAATTACAATTGAAATATAAAGTTTACAGTAGGAAGTCCAGATTAGTTTTGCAATCAATTTTCTGAATAGCATGGTTAAACTGAAAGGAGCTGAAAAGGATCAAAATGGCCTAGAGTTAAAAGCGCAACTTCAAACTGATCTGTTTTTCCAATTTTACTTCAGGTCAATTAATTTATTATTTTGAGTGATAGGAACAATGACCACTGGAGAGATGGTTAGGGATGACAAAGTGCTAAAGACAGAATTTATTTTTTTCCTAAACATGTATTATAAGTGACCAGTATTAGAAAACCATACATACACATGTTTTACTATTATGTTAAGCATAGCTAAAAGAAAATATGTGGTTGCAAACAAATTCTAATTAGCTCCAGTAATACATGCTGACAAACTGTCACCTCAATTCTTTGCTCCAAATTACTTACTTATACTAGCTCAGGCTTCTGAGGATTATATTTTGTTATCCAAGGAGGTCGCATCACAATTTATAGCTGCTGTGTTCTCAACTAAGGCAGAGATCAAGGAAGTTATCACCCCAAAAGTACCTAGCCAAGTATCTGCCCATCATACTGCAAACTCCCTTTCTGCCCTCGAGGGGCACGTTATAATCTAGGCAGAGGTTACAGAGGCTGGCAAGCAAGGAAGATTGAAAAGGCTATCAAATGAACCCTGCCACATTTCAACTGCCAAAGAAGCTAGCTACTTCAATATGGATGGAGGTCCTACAAGACTTCTGGAAGGTCAGAATGTCTTAGAGCTATGTCTATCAAATACGTCTGACTGGAGATCAGGGGGTTAGCCTAGAGGTTAGGATGCCTGCATACCATCAGCTAACGGCTGGGTTCGTTTCCCGATTATGGCTCCTAACACTACTTGCTAGCAGGGTCAAGCCTGGCAGGCAGCAGGGAGGCTCAGGTTCTGGCTAGCCGCACGGGAGACCTTGGCCCTCGGCTTGGGCCGCTCTGGGAATGAACCAGCAGATGGGAACTCTCCCTGTCAGATAAATGTCTATTTGAATATTACATGCTTCAATGGAAAATACATTGTATATGACCATTTTTAGAACTTCTATTAAAATACGGGCTCATATTAAGCTCTAGAATTTATATGTATACCAAGTGAGAAGGCCTTAGAATAAAGAGTTCTTCTTCCCTCAGCTCCATCTTGCTATCCATTCTAGGCTAGACACTTTTTACTGAACACAATGACGCTTGCTGTAAAGCACTGAGCTCTGACCTGCTGTGTTACATCTTCTGATTCATGACTTCCACTTACTAAGAAGCCAGATCAAGGCACAAGGCAGACAAGTCAGAAGAAACACTTATGGACTAAGCTGAGAAGCCCTCATGAAGTCCCTATCTCCAAATCAGAAAGCATCTCCTACGACTACATACTCCTATCTAAGGTTCAGAAAATACTCTGAATTAAATATTTACGTGTCAAAAATTACCACAATAGGAACACTCATGTATTTGTTAACAGGTCTTTATGCTTTAGAATGACAAGCAGCCTAAAGAAAACCTGAGAGCAGATTTTAATACAGATTTTGCTCCTCAACTGCTGTGATTTCTAGAAAACTTTGTAATATCCTTATATCCAGTTTAATAAGGGAATTAAGATTGCATTATTGTTACACTTAGGTAGCAAATTCAATGATTTCACTGGAAACTTAGCCCAGCATGTGCACCTAGAGTAATAGGTGTGTTTCTTTCATATAGAATTTATAAATTTAAGCCAAAGCAGAAATACTGAACTTGTACATGAATAGCCAAAAGCCCAGTGTCTTCTGAGCACGTGACATACCCTTTCAGTTCTCTCTGCAACATCCCTCCAGGTGTAGAACGTCTTCACTAGGTTGTGGATCTCTTCTGGAGCTCGCAGTAACCCTGACTTGAGTTGGAGAATAGCTTTTTCTAATCCATCACACAAAGATTTTACTGAAGGCTCACATAAAATAATGAGATCTTCGGGAAGGACCTCAGGGATTCCACCGACCCTGGTACTCACAACCTGACAGAGGAACAAAAAGCACACGCTCCTCCATAATCAAATCACAGGACAACAAAAACAACTATCAAAAAGGAAAGACACTGAGTTTTAAAATACAAACACAGAAACCCCAACACTGCAAACCCTCAAAGCTCTTTACCTGTAAACCGCAACTGGCCGCTTCCACAATCGCCATGCAGAAGGCTTCCGTGAGAGAGGTATTCAGAAAAATATGTCCTTGCACTAAGACGTTTCTAACGTCCTTGTGTTCTAAAGCTCCCAAAAGATGCACCCTGATTTTTGAAATGAGAAGTGAAGAAAGGAAGGAGTGAAAATCATGCTAGAAAGGCTATCTAGATGAGAAGCATCTGCTGCTCCCGTTTGCATTCCTACTATTGCTAGTGCTCCCCTCGCCAGCTGAGCATCCCCGAACACTGACCCAAAAAAACGACCAACACTGTTAGAACAAGTATTTCTAACTTTCGGTGTACATATCAAACTGCACCCTCTAAAACTGGTCTGTATAACTAAACACACTAGATGATAAAGTTGTTAAAGTACCTTAGTTCTAAACATCCAATGAATGGTCCCTTTAAAACGGATGCTTCGCTTACACACACTGTGTCTGCAAAGCAATTTACAGGCCTTGAGTCATGTTAGTTAAATAACAAATTTTGTGTTTTCTATGGTGCCTGAAACAACCAGCCCTCAAGTCAAATAACATAGTGTGAAGAGAAGAAAAATAAATTCTGAACCCTTTAACGAGGTTCTCTCAAATTTTTGACACTTAAGCCTTGAATTCATTTTGTACCAATGTTGCACAGGAGTCAGTAAACCTAAGGCACAGGTAGGAAAGCCCAAATTTAGGTAATTCTCACCCAACACAGCATGGAATTCATCAGTACCTGTCATGTAGCTGGTATCTTTCCCTTACTTCCTCCAAAATAATTCTCTTCGGCCCCTCTCCTCCGATCATGAAATGCAAATCGGGATATTTCTGACAGAGTTCGGGTATTATGCCACTAAGCAAATCCGTCCCTGAAAATATAAAGTACATTTCAGTGTTAGAGATACTAAACTTCTGAAAAAAAAAAAAGCATCAGAACTGAGAATCTTGTCATTTTGAAAAGTATTAGCTATGTCCTCCTTCAAGTGGACAAAGTAACTCTTTAAACTTTCCCAGGACAGTGGAACTCTTCACAACCTGCCAGTGGTCCCAGAAGAGCTGCAGTTTCGAGGTCTGGCACTGTGGCGTGGTGCGTTAAGCTGCCGCCTGCAGTATGAGTATTCCATACAGGCACCAGTTCTATTCCTGGCTGCTCCACTTTCAATCCTGTTCCTTGATAATGTACCTGGGAAAGCAGCAGAAGATGAACCCAAGCACTTGGGCCCCTGCATCCATGTGCGAGACAAGCAGCAGCTCTGGGCTCAATCTGGCTCAGCCCCAGCTGATGTCTGTGGCCATCTGGGGAACCTCTCACTCTCTCCCCATCTATTCCCCTCTCTTTTCTCTCTCTGTAACTATACCTATCAAATAAAATCAATCTTTCCCTTTTTTAAAAAGATTGCATTTCTTGAAGATGCAGACCTTGACATGTATTGCTACCTTCCACACACATAAAATACAGAGTTTTGTTTCATTCCGACAAATTCTTCTTTACACGTCCCTGCTTCCAAAGGGTACTGAAGGTGACTAAAGTTTGGGTAAGCTTGCTGCAAAGTAGCCCAGCTGACAGGATGTCAAGGTTTTGACATGAGCCCTTTGACCATGGGAACTTCCGCTGGTCTATAAAACAGATTAACCCATGCATTTAAGGTCCAAGGTCTCTTTCCACTATAAAATTCTATGACTCTGTGCTGCCACTTCCTGTCATAGCAAAGGAATAAGCAGCAGTCTGTTGCCTCAGCTTTACTCAAAATATAGTTTGTACAGAGAATTTTGTAGTGAACACTACAAACCCAGCAAACGACCTGACCACCCAAACCAGCCATAGTGCACTTTCCCCAAATGAAATGAAATGAAGGTAGCAGACACACAACTGTCAGGATACAAAAACAAACAGGGGTGCCATCACGGCACACCAGCTTAAAACTGCCACTTGCAATGCTGGCATCTCACATCGGAAGGCAGGTCTGAGTCCCAGGCACTGTTTCCAATCCAGTTGCCTGCTAATGTGCCTGGGAGAGCAGTGGCAAGTGGCCCAAGTGTGGGATCTCCGCCATCCACATGGAGACCCGGATGGAGTTCCGGTCTCTTGGCTTTGGGCCCAGCTCTGGCCATTTGGAAGATCTCTCTCTCCCTGTCAAATAAATAAATCTTTAGTAAATAAATCCATTTTCTTATATGTAAATGCCTCAGGAAATATGTGGTCACTTTTATTAAACAGCACAAGGCATAACCATTAAGTAAACCCTGCTGATATAGCTAAAATACAACCACATATACTAAAAAGAAATTCACATACAACCTCTGAAACTTCTCAATAAAATCTTAGTTTCAAGTCTTATTACCAAGTCTACAGACTGGATTTCTAGATAAACCACAGAAAGTGGCTTCATGAATTAACATTTCAATTCCTTCATGTTCTTTCTTTCCTCCCTTCCATCTTTCTCCCTTTCTAATACAAAGCCTATTCTTCAAACAAAGCCTTCACAGATCAATACCATGGCAGCTGATGGAATTAACATTATTGAATGCTTACTATGTTAAGCAATGGGCTTTACAAACACAAGTCACTTAATCCTAACAGGCACCTGGTAAGAAACAGAACTGTTTAATATTCAGTATTCTAAGAACACAAGGTTTCCCATCTCACCATAAAAAGAAAATTATTCTGGTGCATCTAGAGTCTGACATACGGAGCATACCAAAGGGCTTTCAACTGACACATTCACACAACACAGACAAGGGCAATCCCCATTTCACACTGCTTTTAGAGTTCACTATCAGTATCTTAAGGAGACTTCTGACCTGAATCTAGCACAACAGGCGGCCCGGGGCTAGGGGAACAACAGACCTCAAGAAGAGCTGGATTCAGGTTTGTCATCTGTGTTACTTACTGTGTAACCTGGGCGAGTTACTTACCCTGAGACTCAAGTTTCTTTGTTACATGCAGGTAACATCTACCCTATAGCTGTTAGGAGGGTCATGTGAGGTACTGTATCATGCACGGGTTTTATCAACTGCAGAATACAAATGAGTTATCATTATCACTAGACCAGGAAGTGGGGGGTATGTGCGCATGCACAGAGGGCTGGAAAACCCTGATGGAGGACACAAGAGGCTGGGGAGAAGAGAACTCAGAAATAAACAGTCAGGGCAACTGGGCGGCAGAATTGGGATATGTCTTCTCTTACTTAGTCCATTCCAGTGGGCCTTTGATATCTAGTCCAATGAACACCTCCTGAGGAAATTGATGTTTGTTAATGGACCATTAATCCAACTACTCATTTGATACGTTTCACAGGGGTGTCTTCCGTCATACAGAGAGAGCTCAACAAATACTTGTTGAGTACTCAACTGAGAACAGGCAAGGCTCTAACCAAGCTTTGGTGGCTACCTCAGCTGGTTAAAATAGTACATTGGGGACATAAATGTACCAGGTTTATGTAAGTAGTTAATTTTGTTGATCCTCAAACACACACACATCATTATCTTTCTTACCTAGCTATTTCACAAAGTACACTATTAACAAATCAACGCCGCATATTTTCTAAGGTACAACAGATACATCACCAATATCTAAAGAGGGATTCATAATTCAGCTTGCTGGTTCATTACCTCTTTACTAAATGGAAACACATCACTGTCATTACTCCAAAAGATATTTCAGTTGAAGTCCTCGCCTCAACATCCACGTAACAGACTCCTTGTTGAACCAAGGCTTCACGTGCCAAATGTAAACTCTCTGACCAATGCTTGTATCTTGATTGGGGGATACTTCCTAGTACACTGGCACAGTACTGTCATGTTTACCAAGATTCAGCTGCACCTCTTCACAAATTTGTTAGGTGCCTATTGTCTCTGTCACTGTACTAGGCAATTTAATTCAGTATCCCATCAACGTATGAGTTTCTATTAAAAAAAAAAATCAGCGGAATGGTTTGAAATATCCAATAAAGAAAAGACAAAAAAGGTTCTGGTCAGGTATGGGGAAATCTTAAACCACCGAAAACAACTGTAAATAAACTAAAAATCCAGAAGCACACTGCATCATTCACTTTTAGGTTTCTATCTCCCCTCAAAAAAAGTGCCAATGGTAGCTGATGTAGCTGAAGCAGGCAAGCCACTGGGCAAAGCCTGCAGCCCTGTTTCCGGTCACTGGCAACTCCGGGTGTGTCAGGGTATCAAGTTAAAATCAAACCGCTCATGGGCTTCTGAGTTATTTTTTAAAATGATTCCCTACTTGAAATAACATTTTTGAAGATTAGGGGTGTTGCTCAAATAGCATTCAGAAGACCATTCGTATATTTCAATAACCAGATGCCTTTTAGCAATCGAACCCATGAGACATGAGAGGCTATAAAAGCACGAGAGCCCTCAGTAGGTTTACACTGTTTCGAAGGTACACACGTGCAAACACGGAATCGCAGAGACAGTAACTATCCTCTGCCATGCGATGGGAGAGCCCTTTTCAGCACTGACCTGCCAGTAAGTTATTAATGTCTTATACAATCAGATGAAACAAGCAAGCTACACAACTATAATATGCACAACAAACTCATCCATTTTGAGTATACAGATGTATGCATTCAAAAGACAAGGAAGTTATAAGTCAAAATGTTCGTTCGGGTCACCTGGAAATAACACAATTAACAGCTGACTTTAGTTTTACAACTTTGTGCTTTTCATTTTCAAAATTTCTGCATTGAAAAGCTCTTTTACAGACAGCAAATCCCACAAGGTGGGTGGTGCCCCTGCCTGCTCACCACTTGTGCAGGGCCATGGAAATTTGGAAAAAGACCCGATGAATGAAAACAGAATCAGGTCACTGTCTGATGTTTCAGTAACCATCAGGACACAGAGATGAGGGGCAGCATTCACCATAATTCTAAACATTTCTCTTCTCGGATACCCATATTAGACCTTTCTTTGGTTTATTTAATGTAGAAATACTTACAAAAGCATAAGACAGAATTAAAAGCCAAGCAATCATTATACACAAATATTCAATAGCTTTCTACAAGTTAAAGTCTGCAATGACAGCTATCATTTCATTACCTTTTCTGTAAACCAATCTGCTGACAACAATAACAGTTATTACACTATCATGCCTTTTTAATGGGTCTGGAGTGAAGTCAGTAGGATCTACTGCATTGGGAATGACGGATACTATTTCAGGATTCAGTGCTGCTCTTAGCACAGTATTTTCCTTACTAGTAAAGGAGACACAAATGATGTGGTTTGTGTCACAAAGAGACACAGTTAGAAGCTTGTTTGTAAGCACCGAGCTGACATCAGCAAATCCGAAAAGGGAATGGTCCGTGAAGACTGTCTGGAGCCCCATTGTCTTGGCGTGGAAGAGAGCATCATGAGCCATGGCAGAAAAAGAACTATGTGAATGGATGATCGTGACTCTCTCCCGAACAAATATGTACCTGAGCAGTGGCAGACTGTGAAAGAGGGTTGTGGCTGTAGACTGGTTGTACATGACTTTCAGCGGCAAGTAATAGACTTTGAGGCCATTAGTGAGGTAACGGACACCTTTCCGAGTTTCATAAGCGTGGGTAACAACTATGACCTTGTGCCCTCTTTCAATCAGGCACTGAGAGAGCTGGTAAATGTGGCTTTCCACACCTCCCATATTTGGGTAGAAAAAGTCAGACACCATGCATATACAATGAGTACAGGTTTGAGAAGTGGGAACACTTGCAGAGCTACCAGGGGAGAGCACAGCTGAGGCAGGCTGCTCCAGCCCACCTCTTCCTCGACAGGCCATGCTGAGAAGGATTAGGCATCAGTTCTTAGAGCAACCCTGTTAGGATATACGTCCTCTATCACCTGAAAAAGAGCAAAACAGGACATCTCAGCTCCAAGACAAAGCACATTCCAGAGTGAAAACTTTCATGTGTATGTGAAAGAGCTTTCCTTCCACAAATAAACAAGCGTATCATCACTTCACTCATTTGGCACCATTTACTAGCACTTACTACGTGTAAACTAAAACTGGATTCTTTGTCTTTATTTTGCCCTAAAATACTGCTGCACATAATTTTAAATAAGTCTGCTACTTATTTAGTAGCAGTGGTAGATGCATTTGTCATGCTAACAAAGCAGTTCTTTCCAGTAACTAAATATACATACCCTGTACGCATTTCTCCTGGACACTTATCATCACTTTTGCAGCTTCTACTAAGTGGAGCCTATCTATCAGGCACTGTGTGAGAAGAGTTCTTCGTATCTTATGACAGTCACTCCACCTTATAACATCTAAAGCTTAAAGAGGTCACCTGGCTGCGATCACTCAGCTACTGAGAAGCAGCAACGTGCTGGTCTGTTCCATATGCAGGTCTGGACCTGGTCTAACCTCCAAGACCTGCTGGAAATGATGTAGATTTTTTTCTACCTCAACCCTGAAAAACACCCTTGGCTTCCACTTGCCTGCTCCTAAATGCTGTAAGCCACTGTGTTAACAGGTCCAACTATGAGGTTAGAGGGATGGGGTGGGGACACAGGCGGAGAGATGGGCTCTGAGACTAACACACCCAGAGGCAGAGCCCCTGCCATCTAGATTTTCCCTTGGGTCTAGTCTAGCCGGCTGGCCAGTGTAACACAAGCTCGCTAGTGAGCACAGGCTGCACCAGCAGCGGAACCACGAGCTGAGCCCAGCACATCGCAGCCTGACGGGAAGCCACCATCATGCCCGCTGCTTCACATGTGAAAGTTTGGAGTGACTGAGTATAAAGGATAACTGAAACAGGTCAGGATTCCAACCTAATTATACTGCCCTCCTGCCTGGTTTGCTAAACAGTTTTACAGGAACACACTTGGCCAAGCATTTATGTGAGCTGCTACTTCCGTGCTACACCTGTGGCGTGGCTGCCACACAGGCCACATGACCCACAGAGCCTAAAATATTTCCCCTCCAGCTCTCTACAAAGTCTGCTGACCTCTGCTTTACAGCTTAGTCACCCGTGCGATTTCCTCAACACTTCCTGGGATTAGCTCTGCCTTTACACTGAAGGACACTGCCTTGGCAAGAGCACCTTTTCCAGCGTCCCCAGGCACACCTGCTGAGATGGTGCCGTCTTCCCTTCCTGCCTCCAGGTCACAGCAATCGCCTTCCGGCTGAGAAGAAGTAAAGAAAGCCATACACTGCTTCCCCTTCCTTCACTGAACAGAGGCCTCACCACCGCTTCAGCGCGAGTCCGCAGCTAAAGGGCAAACCAGCAAGGAGCTGGATGGGGCGCCGCGTCTCCGCCTCAAGGGCTCCCTCAAGTCCTACCCGGCTGCAGGGTCACTCATCAGTCAGCACTACTACAGATTCCTAGACCTTCCAAGCTAAAGAGAGACTCAGAGATCTGCAAGGATCCTTGTCAGCTTTACAAATGCAATCCAGAAACTCAACCTCGCAATGGGCAAGCTCTGCCTTTCAGATTTCACCTGTAAACTCAGAAAACGCAAACTGTGTGTGCGAAGTCTTATCTGTTCTCTCGCACAAATTTGTGTGTACTTTAAAGATACTCAGAGGCACTGAGTTTATGAATACCCAGCACCACCAAATATCCAAACACCTAGTTTGCACTTTTAAGTATCTTAATAGTAGCTTACTGTCACTTGTTACCTAAAAGCAAACAGTTCTATTTCGTTTTTAAAAGACGACTGATAACTAAAACAGTAATTTACCAAATGAAATCACCTAAAGTTTTCTCAAGAACCTGCGGTGTGCTGGGCAGTGTCTGCCTGCCCCGCTCAGCTTGTCGCTCCTACCACCCTTTATGCCGTGAAAGTTCGGAAGACCGCACAATCCCAGACTGTAAGGGCCAAGAGAGGGCTAGAGAACTGAAGATTCCCCTCACTGCGCAAGAAACCGCACAAGCTCAGCAGCCCAGCTAAGGTCCTCACCCAGCCCTTCAGTGGCAAACACAAGACTGTAGAATTCATCTGCTGGGCCACCTAGTCCCGACAGTCCCCAGCGGCAAAGGCTCCCGAAGGCACGATCCTTCCGGGAACCCCTAAGCACTGCCCAACCTTCGCTTTCCTAGAGGAGCGCCAGGGCCAAGGAGGGGGTAACTAACCCGGCCGAGGCCGGCCAGGCCCAAAGAGGAAAACTGGCAGCAAGTGGGCGTGGGGCCGAAGCCGGCGGCCCGAGCCCCCAGCCCCACCTGCACCCGGGCGGCTGCCCACAAGACCCTCAGCCCCACTCGACTTCGGCGAGCCTCCGGGCCGACCCCGGGGCCACACGCCGGGCCGGCGTCCCCCGTCCCTCAGCCCGCCGCGCAGCCACGAGCCAGCGCTGCCCCATGCGGAAGCGACAGAGTCCAAGAGCAGAGAGGCCGGGCGCGTACTTACCGCCAAGTCCCATGGCCGCCGGTGTCCGGACCTCCCGCGGCTGCTGCCGGAGTCCCACCCGGCCGCCTCGAAGCACCAATCCGGGACATCCGCGCCCGAGCGCCGCGCCCCCAAGACAGCCAATCACAATAAGCCACTGGGATCACGTGCACTAACGACATTCGTTCGTCCCACCCTTCAGCGCGGGATGTTAACGTCAGCGCGCCCTTGCGCAGGTCTCTTGGACGTTACGGAAGGTATGGCGAGTTCACATTTCGGTTGCCTAGTTACAGCGTCTCTTTTCTGGAAATCGATGCTCTTCCCTGCTTACTGTTGGAGAGATATTTGAGTGTGGAGGCTATTGAAAGGCAAGGTCGGGGTGGCCTTTTGTCATCATCGGCCTCGCAGCTAGTAGTTAACAGTCTGATAGGGTTGCCAGATGCAATAAAAATACACCAAAAAGTCCAACTAAATAAATATGGCAACTTTGGATTTAAGATAAACCACAAATAAATTGTAATATGATATCAAATACTACAGTCTTCAGCACAAACTACTTGTTGTTTATCTGAGATGCACATTTAACTGGGCATCTTACACTATGGGATGCTGTGTGTGGGAGGGGTGGGACTCTCATTTGCAGTAATCAACTCCCACTCAAACTGGTTCAACTAGCTATGGTAGTACTTGGCCAGGAGGCTACAGAATCAGTGCGAATCATCTAAGGATCATCCACCCTTACCGCTGGTACTTGCAGATCCCCAGCCCTGCCATTCCAGTGCTTTCAGGAGCCGTTTTTTTCTGAGTGCCAGCACCAACCAGCACCACCAGCACCCTATTAAGCCTGTGCTAGACCTACTCATGTCTGAAGATTTCAGCTCACTACTGGGGCCTTTCCCCAGCTGCCACAGAGAATGAAATAGCTCCACTGTTGTATTTTGGTAATGCTTTGGCACTGAATATTCATTCTTCAACCTCTTCCCTGGGCTCTGGAAATTCAAAGGTTAAAAACTCGTGCTTCTCCCTCTCAGGTGTTCACAACCTCACATGGGTGCATGACTCCATCAACAGTTGGTTGAATATTACGCAAAGGTATTCATTTAGGGCTATTTTCTAAAAAGCAGAAGAGTAGCAGGATTAACTTCCAAATCTGGGGACAAATCTCATCATGATGTTGTGCCTAGATGTGTGGTGACACATTATGCCTTTGGGGAGGTTTCTTAGCAACCACTGACATTAGACTGAAGTGCCTACTTGCACTGTATTCGGAATACACTTAACTGAATATGAGGCTAATCAGTAGGAGTTGTAGTAAATGCCTAAAATGGAAAAGATGAAAAATAAATGTGGGTATCTTCTTACTCTGAAATTCAGTTCTTTACAAATTCACATGTGAACTAACTCCCTTGGTTTGTTTTGGGCAGATAAGGCAACAAATGCATATGGAGAGCAGGCTAGCTGCATGCAAGGCACAATGCAGAGAGCATATGGCAAGGGTGTAACCCCCAACAAATGAAGTCAGGGTTAAGGCATGTTGAAAGAAAGTAGCAGATGCCATAAGAGAAATATGAGTACAAGAAAGATTCTAGAAGTTCCAAGGGAAAGACAGTTTCTGGCTGCCAGCAGTTAGCTAGAAGAATTTGTGTAGGTTGTCCATGCAGCCTTTGAGAGTAAGGTACAGAGACGGGTACTGACTGTCCATTACATACAGACAACAATGTGACTCTCAGGGAAGGTCAGTGTGTGCTAGAGCCGAAATTCACTAAGGAAGGCGGAGTCGGAGGGAAGCCAGACTTCCACCCCTCATTTGCTTCAAATAGAAAACTAAGAGATGCAATATAAATGAGAATAATTAAATGCCATAGCTGTGATTTTTTTAAAAAAAAAAAAGATATTACACGCTTCGGATGCAGAACCAAAATGCAAAATGACGATCAGGATCAAAGCCACTATGGCCTCGCATTCATTGAGAAATTCAGTAGAATGGCTCTGGTCTGGCTTCCAGTGTCAATTTTGAGAAATATGTCATGTACCTTCTTGACACTTTGTAGGGAATTATTATGAGTCTTAAGAGACTTCTATAATTGCTCCTTAGTCTCCTTCACCCTGCTAGCCCAGTTGTCCATGTCTTGGTTACAGGTATAGGCGGATACTTACACAATTACATAGATAATGAATTAAAAGCATTTGTTAATGGAAAATTTAAATATCTGCAGCTTTTATCATAATATGCATTTCCATGAACTGTTGAAAATAGCTAGTAAGCATGGGTTTCAAGAAATTTTAGCTCCAAATACACTTAACTTCTAATTTCTTTGTTGTGAATTTTAAAAATGACCCTGATGTTTTCATCTCCCACACTTTGCACCCAGGAAGGCTTTTCATTTGTCACCTGGTGTGCTTCCATCCTGAGAAAACATCTTGGTATTTAAATTGATAATTGCATCTTCCACGTTCTCTCATCTCCTAGGATAGTTACTAATCTGATTGTACACGTCCTTCTCTTTTATCTTTCCGTTTTTTTTTTTAACGCTGCGTTTCTCTCTTTAAAGTTTTTTTTTTTTTTTTTTTTTTTTTTTAACTTTTGGGCCTGGCATGGTAGCCTACTGGCTTAAAGTCCTCGCCTTGCATGCACTGGGATCCCATATAGGCGCCGGTTCTAACCTCGACGGTCCCTCTTCCCATCCAGCTCCCTGCTTGTGGCCTAGGAAAGCAGTGGAGGATGGCCCAAAGCCTTGGGACCCTGCACCCAGATGGAAGACCTGGAGGAAGTTCCTGGGTCCTGGCTTCGGATTGGCTCAGCTCTAGCCATTGTAGTCACTTGGGGGAGTGAACCGGTGAACAGAAGATCTTCCTCTCTGTATATCTGACTTTCCAAAAAAATAATAAAGATTTTTTTAAAAAAACAGATATTTACAATTTTTATTGGAAAGGCAGATCAGATTTATGGAGAGAAGGAGAGACAGAAAGATCTTCCAACCAACTCCCCAAATGGCTGCAATGGCCAGTGCTGAGTCGATATGAAGCCAGGACCAGAAACTTCCTCCAGGTCTCCTACACGGGTACAGGGTCCCAAGGCTTTGGGCCATCCTCCACTGCTTTCCCAGGCCAGAGGCAGGGAGCTGGATGGGAAATGGGGCAGCTAGGACACAAACCAGTGCCCATATGGGATCCTGGCGCTTGCAAGGCTAGGCTTTAGCCACTGAGCTGTCTGGCCAGGCCCCTCACTTTTATCTTAGGATCTCCTTTGAAAGTTCTTTAATTGTGTCTTCCAATTGCATTCTATTTAATAATTGTTTCTATTGCAACAAGTATAACTCCGCAGAACTCCATTATGTTCACTGCCTTATTTGCTGTTTGCAGGGTCTTCCCATCATCCCCTTAGCACACTACCTACCCGCTCCCCCTCACCCGGGTGGCATACTACTGGTTTCAACTTTTCTGCTTTCTCCTGTGCCTCTGTTTCTCCAAACTGCCTTTAACTGTTGGTTAGACTCCTGTCTGAGATTATTTTCCAGATATCTCTTCATGATTGCTTGCTCACTAAGGAAAGTAAAGGATAGAATTGGAGTTGCCCCCATGGTTAACTTGCTGCCTGGAACTTTGATGAACTTTGTCACAAGCCTCGATCAAGTGCTAGTCCTCTGCTTCTGTCCAGCTTCCTGCTCATGCCTACCCAAGGAGGTTGTAGGTAATGACCTGAATGCTTGGGTCCCTGCCACCCACATGGGAGACCCAGATTGGATTCCAGGCTTCTGGCTTTTGCCTGGTCTGACCCTAGCTGTAGTGGGCATTTGGGGAGTGAGCGAGTAGATGGGAGGACTGTCTTTGTCTCTCTCTGCCTGTCAAAGAAAATGAAAATAAATATTTTATAAAATTAAAAGCAATGGATGGGGCCGGTGTGGTGGCATAACAGACTAATCTTCTCCTGTGGCATTAGCATCCCATGTGGGCACCAGTTCATGTCCCAGCTACTCTACTTCTAATCCAGTTCCCTGCTTATGACCAGAGGATGGTTCAGGTCTTTGGGGCCCTGCACCCACAAGGGATACCTGGAGGAAGTTCCTGCTCCTGGCTTCAGATCAACTCAGCTCTGCCTGTTGCAGCCATCTGGAGCGTAAACCAACAGAGGGAAGATCTCCCTCTCCTCTCTGTAACTCTATCTTTCAAATAAAAATAAAATAAATCTTAAAAAATAGAAGTAAGGGGCCTAAGAGCTTATCAGAAAGTCTGCTCCCCAGAGTGATCCGTGGCAACCAACTAGACTGCCTTGCTGAGAATGTCTCCTCCTCAGCCCATTTTAGCTGTTTCTCTATGCACTGGGCAGAATAGCCCCCCTTCCCTCACCTGAGCAAAGTGCTTTTCAAGCAGAGGCCCAGCGGCCAGCACTGTGCTTGCCTAGAGAGGGTCAAAAACTGTGAGTGCTGCATGTAGTGTGCACACAACCGAGCCTCTGTTCATGGGCTCGGGGCTTTGCTGCCCTGGGCACCAGGGACTCCCAACCCAGGGCTCTCTCTGGTATCCCAGCTGGAGAATTCGTAACCCATCCAACCCGGGGAACAGACTCCTTTTCTGTAAGGTCTCAGAGAGCATTGGATGTTAATTGATAGTACTTGGTAAGGTAAGGACTATTTTAAGTATTATTTTAGGCATTGCAGACCATACTACACTCTCCTATTGAACAGCAAAAAGATCTACATGCAATGCATCCACAAGTGAACATGACCAGGTTCCAGTATGAGAACATTTAAGTCCTCACCTTGCACCCCCGGGATCCCATATGGGCCCCGGTTCTAATCCCAGCAGCCCCGCTTCCCATCCAGCTCCCTGCCTGTGGCCTGGGAAAGCAGTCGAGGACTGCCCAAAGCCTTGGGACACTGCACCCGCGTGGGAGACCTGGAGGAGGCTCCTGGCTTCGGATTGGCACAGCATCGGCCGTTGCGCTCACTTGGGGAGTGAATCATCGGCCGGAAGATCTTCCTCTCTGTCTCTCCTCTCTGTATATCTGCCTTTCCAATAAAAACATAATAAAAATAAATCTTTAAAAAATAAATAAATAAAAACCAGCAGTGGGCTAGAACCTGCCTATGGCCCATTGCTTACTGACCTCTGTTTCAGAACAAACACTATCAGTGACGAAATTACCAAAGCAGATTTTGTTTACTAAGCTATTACAAAGCCAAAACCAAAATATTGCTTACTAAGCTACTACAAGGACAAATAGCAGAGTAATTTTGAAATTCTGTAATTTTGTAAATATTGTGATATGCATATACTCTAGCTGAGTTTGAGCACCATGAATTACATTGTTATTCTTGACTTTATTTTCAGAGGTTTTTCTAAATCCACTGTTCACAATATAAACATGGTAATTGTTTAGTAAGTTATTATTTACTGGGCACCTACTAAATAGTAGACTTTACTTTTACACCGAGGATTGAATTAGACAAATCCTGGCTCTTATTGATCAAGTGATCAAATCCATCAAGTTAAAATTTTTATTGAACTATGGTTTTCCTTAAAGAGCTTCATGTTTATTATTTGTGTCATCCAAATCTGATATTAAATGGTTCAACCTGTTTCCACCCCCAACAGATCTCCCACCATACCATTTTAGTTACAAATTTATGATCTGTACTATTATGTTAGGACATTCTGTGGCCTTAAGGCTTGGATAATCAGTAACATCATGCATCAGTGGCATTTATTGTATTTGATGTGAGCTCTTGGGACTTCTCCCATTATTATTATTTTGCGACAAGAATTTTCAGCTTATATTCCAGGGATATTTGTATGACAGATATTCCTGTATAGTGATAAGTGACTCTGATATAGCAATAAACCAGTTACTGCACTTCTATCCTCAAGGACTAGCTCCACTTGAATCCAACTCCAGGGACCCACAGGCAGCTATCTTGCTGGTTGTTGGAACTCGGGGAGGAAAAGGGGGCAAACCAGGGCTTTCTGTAACAACAATTAGAAATCCGGAGGCACTGCTAGCCCAAGTATGCTTTGAGTTGGTTATAGGCATGATCTAAGGATCCTGAATAAAAGTCAAGAATTCTGGCCAGCACCATGGCATAGTAGGTTAAGCACTGCAGTGTTTGGCATCTCATATGGGTGGCAGGTTGAGTCCTAGCTGCTCCACCTCTCATCCAGCTTCCTGCCTGTGACCTGGGAAAGCAGCAGAGGATCCCCAAAGCCGTGGGACTCTGTATCCCCGTGGGAGACCCAGAAGAAGCTCCCCAGCTCCCTGCTTTCAATGATCTCAGTTCCAGTCTTTGCGACCATTTGGAGAATGAACCAGCAGATGGAAGATTGTTTTTTGCCTCTCTTCCGTAAATCTACCTTAATGATAATAATAGTAATAATAATAAACCTTTTAAAAAAGTTAAGAACTTTCCAGAGGTCTCAGAATCCTGGGATCTGCTGCCTCTCTCCTTTGGGTAGACCCTTGTCGCAAGTGTTCCACTAGTGGCAACTCAAGTGAACTAGTCAGTTGTATTATGTAGGGAAATGAACTCCTCAGCCACACTTGATAGATGGAGAAACTGAGCCTTGAGGAAGTGTTCAGCCTCAAAATGCAATTAAGTGGCAGAGACTGTCCTTAAACTCAGGGCTTTTTTACTTGTCAGGGGTTTGGCTTCTGCTTTCTCTAGTCGAAGATGAGCAAAATGAGTCCTTTAACTGGGCCATGTCCTATGGCTGCTCTTCCGCCTGAGCTCTCAAGCGAACTTAGGCAAACATCATAGAGGATAGGGGAGTGGTAGAAACAGAATGAAAAGGACAAAGCAAGCAGGCGAAAGCTGTGTATGGTTAAGAAATCAAGTGTAAGACCTTTAGAAAAGCTGAATTTAAAAATAATAAAATTAGAAGTCTATTGATATCCAGTTCATAAGGGAAAGGCAAGAGAAACAGTGGCAGAAGAGAGACTGGGCCAGCACCAGCAGATAGCTGGGTGACAGTGCCAGCAGAGTGCGGATCTGCCCCCAGGCTAGCCCTCCTCTCTGGGAAAGAGACTGAGACTGAAAACCAAAGGTGTTATTGGGTCTGGGGCCAGCGGCCTCAAACAACTTTGGTGACTGAAGAGAAAATTCCAGAACAGCTCAGTAACCTTGCAGAGGCAGGGAAGTGTTTTGGTTTGGCATCCAGTAACACTGCTGAGTGGCTGGGTGTTCATCCTTACACCTGTTTTACAATTGTACTTCTCCATGGTGGTGTGGCCTGAAAAACTTGAGTTACACAGACTCGATTAGGACCCAGTGCTGCAATAGATTGCGCATGGATCTATGCAAGATATCATGAAGGGAATGCACAGTTTTGATAAGTAATGCTGCTAAGATCCTCCTGTTACACCAAAATGATAGCAAAATCTGTGACACCAGAAAGTTATATGTAAGACTACTTTGGGGGACAACACCTTCTGGGGAACAGAAAGGAATCATGTTGCCTTGAGAGCTGAGATGTGACTGAGACATCAGAGTGAAGCAAGAGCAGACGCTTGCAGTCAGTCCTCCAGCAGTGACGTAAAACCTCAGTGATGTCACGGGCATCAGTGGGCTTCCCTTTGTCATGTGATCGGCATGGAGTCAAGTTCACTTTCATTTCAAAGCACAGGGTGACTGCCAGCTGACTCTTGGGTCATTTGTTTATTCTCGTTTATAGTTGTAAAGGTCTGAATCACTTCTTCCCGCTTACTATTTCCAAAGCTGAGATAAAGTTTTGCTGTGTTCCAGTCTTGCTCTGCACCTCCCACCTTTCACTATTTTTTCCTTTAGCATAAAATGCAGATTGGAGGCATATTAAAGGACACATTGTAGAACTTGAATAATGATGTTTATTTCCTTTAAATACACTTAAATATGAAACATCAAACAGTAAATCACTAAACTAGAAAGCTGCAAGCTGGCCAGCATTAGAAAGTCTCAGGTTCTGCACAGGAACACTCCGCCAAAGGGCTGCATGTATCGATGGGCCCCGGGGAGTGATGTTTTCCTTGGCTGCCCCGAGTAACCAGCTGTGCGGCTCCTACCATTCCATGCCAAGCCAATCTGTCAGTTAGTCAAAGAAGGGTTCTTCAGACCTCTCTCCCGACACCCCTCGGTGTGCTGACATTCCCAACTAGATGGCATGTGTCAATGAAGCAGGGACTCCCCCACGGGCATGTTGGAAGGTTGGTCTGGCTTCACCATGGCACTATGCAAGACAGATGTTTTTCCTAACACCTGGGGGCCTGTTTAGTGGGCAGGGCAACAATGGCAGGAACTTGGCAAAGCAGCATGCTGTTTAAGGTGACAGGGCTGGGGAACTTGAAGCCAGGTGGTCAGCTCAAGGATTTTCTTGGCTTGGGAGTCCCCGAACAGCCCTTTTCTCCTTGAGAAAGCGGCAATGCTTTGCACACGCTGGTTTTCCACTTGCACATGTTCTGGTGTTAAAGGGGCATCTGTCCTCACAACTGTTACAAAACAAAATGGGGAGGAGAACTCAGAATCAAGAGCTGGATCCAAAGGAACAATTCTGTTCTCCTTTAACTTTTTTCCAAAGGAACTTTTCTAGATATGTTTTCAACATGTCAAAAAAAAAAAATCCTGACTGATTATCCCAGGTGGATTTGAAATTTATTAAGGCCAAATGACAACCTCCAATAGTTTTCTTCACCAATGAACTTCCTCTTATATAAATCTAATGGTATCTTTTATCAGGGAAGAATAAGCAAATAAACAAGCAAGCACATATATGGTGAGAGAGAGGCTAAATAATAGAGTTTCCTCATCTAAAACTCCTCTCCCCAAAATAATTATTTAAAGAAGTTTAGGTTTTGCCTGAGATATGTAAGAGCAGGTATGATTGTCTTAATATCATGATTAATCATCACCCTATATATTCTCATACTCTCACTTATCTGTTTTACTATTAAAAGGAGCCATGAGCATTGAGGGGAAAAAATTGTATAATAAAGAATCCCCTGATTCAGCATGGCATTTCCTTTAAATGTCAATGAGCTGAGTCACCAGGAAAGAAACAGCCGTTCACCTGCAGGTGTCTGGATGAAATATCTTGTGCTTCTGGCAGCAGCTCTGCAGACTTTCTTTGCACTCGAAGCAACTGCAGTTCTTTGGGTGTTGGACGAGATCTCTGGGACATGGTGTTTTACAGACACACTCACAACGCTCATCATCAAACTTCATGTGTGGCCCACAGAGGGCACTTTCCTGGAGACCAGAGTGACCTACATGGAAACCCCAAAGGTTACCACTGAAATAGCCATGGCCTAGACAATGTCGTCATGAAAGCTGAGTGTAGATTTGACGGTATCCTAAAGGAATAGGGATTCACCCGATTTTCCAGCAAGTTTTGCCCCTAATTTTTCATGAAGTCAAGAAGAATCTCTGAGGTCACTGTAAAAGCACAGAATTTGTGTGATTTTCTAGGCTTCTGATTTTTAAAAAACACAAGCTAATTTCTTAAACATTTTAGATTTGGGGGTTGCTAACTGGTAAAAAAATGTACTCTTCCACAACCAAGCATTAATAATTAAAATAGATAGGAAGGCTCTGTAAAAGCCAAGAGTCCAGTCCTCTCATTATTAGTAGAAGATTAAAAGGAAAAAGCAGCAGAAGCAATGTTGTTGCAGAATCCATCTCAGACTGTCTAGATCCAGGGTTGGGGCAACACACATATTCCCTCACTGCCAATTACAACATTGCCATGAAACATGTAGGCATATAAGGCAGCAGTTTAGACCCTTCATGAAATGCACTCTAAAGCCCCCAGGCTCCTCTTCCACCCTCCTTCCTCTGTCTCTAATATCCTATTTCCCATCTGTATCCAATTGCAGTGTTTTCTGTTTCCTCAACATGCCACAACTTCTAGACCCATACCATTGACCTTGTCCTTGATGTCAGTCATCCTTTTCTATTTGATATCTTTCCTACCTTCTCCAAGCCCACAAAAGTGCCCACCAGAGGGGCCCGGCGCGGTGGCGCAAGTGGTTAAAGGTCCTCGCCTTGCACACCCGGGATCCCATATGGGCCCCGGTTCTATCCCAGCAGCCCCGCTTCCCTTCCAGCTCCCTGCCTGTGGCCCGGGAAGGCAGTCGAGGACGGCCCAAAGCTTTGGGACCCTGCACCCGCGTGGGAGACCCGGAAGAGGCTCCTGGCTTCGGATTGGCATAGCATCGGCCGTTGCGCTCACTTGGGGAGTGAATCATCGGACGGAAGATCTTCCTCTCTGTATATCCGCCTTTCCAATAAAAACATAATTAAAAATAAATCTTTAAAAAAAAAGTGCCCACCAGAGTATATCTGTCTGTTACTTCCATGTTTTCTCCCTACTAAGTAAAATAGCTGAAGGGTAGGGAACCAGGTCTGTGGCTCTGGCATAAAACAGACACTCGGCACACATTACTTGGATTTATTTGGTATAATAATAGGGCCTTTTTAGCAGGTGGATGTGTGGAAACACTGAGGGATCTCACCAAGCATTTTAAGACATTGAGTTAAACTATATGTTCTTGCCAACATCTGATGCAACAAAGCAGCACTCCCATTCAATCCCCATGTCATTCAGTCTCTTAGCCTTAAGCATTCTATAATTGGTGGTGTTTGAACAATTATACGAACTGAGTCCTGGAGGGCTGAATCCTGCGACACTATTCTAAATTTTGTAAAGAGGCAAAAGGTGAGCTGGGGAAGCCATTCACCAGTGAGGTAGATGTCATTTCAGGACTCATGAGATCAGGTTGTTAAATGACAGTGGAGAAATGCTTACAAGCTTTACAGTGGTCACTAGATGGCAGCAGACTCACAGGAGTCCGCTCAGGTCCTGGGCAGGGGAAGGGGAGGCTAGGAATAGGGCTGCTTAAGAAAACATGGACTCCTTGGTGTCTGTTCAAGTTCAGCAGGTTATTTGGCACAAGCTCTCCTCACATTGCTTTAAAAACAATAGAGGCTGGAGGGAGACTGCGTAGCCAAGGGTGGGACCGTGACGTCTTAGAGCCTGATTTCTACCCTAGGGAGCGGATGTGCTCCCCCTGTGTTCTTTACTCAGCCTTGTTCCATTACTATTTTCATCAATAAGCTGATGCCATTTTTAAAAATAAATCCTTGAAATTGTGAGTCTCTTGAGAAAGGAAGGGACACATTAAATCCTTTAAAATACAGAATTAGGATCACCTCCTTTTTTTTTTCTTTTCCTTTTTTCCACTGTGAGTTTCAACAGTTTGTAACAGTGACGTGAATTTAACTAGGTGAATTAAATTGGAGTTGGCTTCACCAACCCAGGTCCATTCATCTGTGGCAGTGGAGCCATCAGAGAAAAGGCAGTTGGATTAATAGTGATATACAGGAAAATGGTATTTAGTGGGTTCTGTATATGCTGTTAGTTTGATGGGGCCACTCGAGAAATGAAACTGAACTTTGTCCACATTAGGGAGTTATAGGAAATGAAAACTAGGAGTGATGATGCCTACCTGTACATTTCCAACAGTTGCCTGCTTCCTTTCCTGCCTGGGCCCACTCTTCCTCACACCTTTGCTAGAGCCACATTGAATGCTTAATGTGGTTTCACTAAATGCAGCATCACAGCTAAGCTCTGGCTCAAAGCTCACTAGATTTCTCTGCCATGTCCATGAGCTCCCCTACCCCCCTCCTGGCAACCCCCAGTTTCCTCTCCCATCAGCCAGCTCTGTCCTGCTTTGTCCCCATCAGGTTGGACTTCTCCAGGCACCCCCGCTCGGTTATGTTTCCTCACCTTGAGCCTCGTGGCTGCATCCCTCTCCTTGTGCAGAGCATTTGTCTCCTTCCCCACTGCTTGCGCCACCCTCCACGTACATGGGCACCTACTTGAGTCCCTCCTGGGGAATTCAGTCCAGCAGAGAAAAGCTGCTTCATCTAAGGTCTTGTCCCCTCCCCAGATGCATGAACACTGCACCTGCATGCAAACCAGCTATATTTAAAAATTCCTGGCTGCGTGCCAGGAAGGTTCCACCATAACATCTTTTGAGCTCTATGTATACAAGGTCCCATAACTTCCCAACACTGTTAAAAAGAGTCACATGGAAAAGAATTTAACAAGGGTGCTAAGGGATGCATGTGGCTGCGAGTGAGAGGGAGAGTTAAAGGTGACAGGTGCTGTAGGTGTAAAACATACACTAGATTTTTAAGGCAGCACAAAAATGTAAACCAGTTATTAATGACTTTTATATTGATGACACAGTGAAATGCTATTTGGATCCATTAGATTAAGTAAAGTATATTAAAATTAAATTCCATCTGTTTTTCACCTTTTCGAAAAGGTAAACAACATAAGATTATATTCCAGCACACAGTCTGTTTTGCAGAGAAAACTATTTGGGTTCAGCTTAGCAACAGGAGTATGTGCGTCACCCCCTGCTGCAAGGACAGGTGGCAAGTTTCCTCATAACTGATGCACATTGGAGCAGAGGATAGATGAACCCTTGATGGAAAGGGTGTAGAACATGGTCAAGATCTACATGGACATTTAAACTGTATGAACTTGAACTTTCCCTTACACACCCTGGGCTGAGCTTGCAAGAGAAGAAATCTGAGAGAAAAAATCGGGAAGTAGATTGTTGTTTACAGCATCTAAAACAGATTTCTTACAGTTTACTCCTTACTATTACTACTTGTAGATCGTAGTTTAAACCAAGCAAGGTGTACGTTACATGATTTTTTATAACTTTTTTTGTCTTAGTGGTACCGTGTCAAGCTCTATGGGAAATAGGTAAAAATTGTGTTAGTTTTTAGCCACATGTTCCTCACCAAAAAGCTCCAGCAGTATGAATTATGAGCCATGAAGAAGGTCTGTCTCATTTTGTCCGCATCTCCTCTTTGATCATGTTAGGCTTTTAATTTTCCCTAGTCCCAGAAGTAAATTACTGGCACGTGTTCACATGATGCAGCTGATGGAAACCAAGTCCAAAATCGCTTCCTGGTCCAGTCAGCCTTGTGCAGACAGATTAGCAAACTGTGCTTGGAGTGTTTCTAAAAGTAGCCTTGAGTGTTTCAAGTTAGAATTCAATGCTTTGCCATGATCTAATCACTGGGCTTCTTTTTGAGTTGGGATGGCAGAATGGTGCGTTCTATACGGTTAAAGGAAAAGGGGGCTCTGAAATCTGATCCCTTATGGCGCTCTCAGCCTTGAGGAAGCCACTAGCCATCTTGGGTTGTCCGTTTTGTAACTATTAAATGGGGGTGGTAATAGTGTATTATGCGGTTGTTGTGGGGCATAAATGAGTTAATACATACAAAAGACTTATACATGGTCTGGTCGAAGTAATTACTGCATCAAGTTCATTGCTATTCTTACAGTTTTCATCATTCCTATAATTACTTCCCTTCCATCATCATTACCTTCTGTTCCAGCAAGTGGCTTCTCTTCCTGTAAGACACATTTACACTTGTTGCTATCCCACAGCATGTCAATAGGGCAGAGTTTCTTGAATTGTGGACAGCTACAAAAGAAAACACTCAGATTTAAAAGCTGTCATGCTTAATCACAATCTTGCAAAGTTAAATACAATTCTGAGTGGAGAACAGTTAAGATTGTTTTAGTTATTTTTAATTTTTTTAATATTTATTTATTTATTTATTGGAAAGTCAGATACACAGAGAGGAGGAGAGACAGAGAGGAAGATCTTCCATCCGATGATTCACTCCCCAAGTGAGCGCAACGGCCGGTGCTGTGCTGATCCAAAGCTGGGAACCAGGAACTTCTTCCAGATCTCCCACATGGGTGCAGGGTCCCAAAGCTTTGGGCCGTCCTCCACTGCTTTCCCAGGCCACAAGCAGGGAGCTGGATGGGAAGTGGAGCTGCCAGGATTAGAACCAGCACCAATATGGGATCCCAGCGCGTTCAAGGCGAGAACTTTAGCTGCTAGGCCACACCGCTGGGATTTTTAATCTTAGGAAGACTGTTTTGATATCTACTGTTTCGTATAGCACGGTGATTACAGCTAATAATCATGTATTACATATTCAAAATTGCTAAGAGAATACGTTTCAAGTTGTTTTGCTACAAAAGCATGTGAGAATAATTGATTTTAAGGAGTTTAATTCATATTTATGAATTGCATCTTTTAGATAGTAATTCTGTAATTACAGCTGTCCTTGCTGAAAACCTTTAAAAAACAAATTGTAATTTTGGAAAATTATAATCTCTTCAAGAAGATGGATGTTAAAACTGTGTCAATTATAGCTGCATTAACAGTTTGCTTGCCAAAAGTAAATATTGCTATAGATAGCTTCTAAGAAACTGTGATGAGAACACTGTTGAGGGTAGGTGGTCCTCGCCAATGAGACAGGTGAAGGTGTCCTTTGGAGTAGGGTTAATTAACATATATCATCAGCTAACTGTCGCCAAACATTTACTACTTTATGGCTGCAAACTATAAGTATCTGACTTAGTTACTTAATTTCTTCATTCACCATTTGCAATTTTTCCTCATTTATTTCTCTATATTTAAGTTCCTTTTTGTCTCAGAACACTTTAGAATGTCATAGTCTGTCTCAAATTCACAAAATTAGACTCAGGAAAATTTCAAACTCAAAATAACTTCAATTGAAAATAAGACCTTTCCCTTGGGCAACAGTACGTGAGAAGACCAGAAAGTTGCAAAAGTTGAATAATGGTAGTTGGGCCAATGACTTCCTAATCGCCCCAGGAATCTTTTAACTTCCTTCATTTACAACTTAAGCATGCAAACATTTCAGCGTTGTGCCAGAATGAGGAGACAAGTGACACACTGGTGTCTTGAGCACTTCTTCAGCTGCTTTAGATATGCCTATGAACAAAGATGCCTACATAAACATAAGCAGCAAGCTTTCAAGTTCTAGTACAATGTACATCTGACACCTAATAAAAATGTATTTGTCAAACAGTTACGATCAGCAGATCTGGATTAGAATCTAAAAGATGAAAAGCTTGAAGAGATGACAACAGCTATAACTAATCAGGTATTCTCCATAAATAGCTTTGGCAAAGGCAAAACAAGCACAATAAATGCTTACCCATCTTCTTCTGTGGTCTCGATGGATCGTCTGATAATTGAATATGGATGTCGTGGGGCTGTTGGCAGGCACTTACAACCCGTGTGGTTGGCAACTTTAACATGCACTAATTCAGGTACAGATGTCAAAGGCACCGATATCTCAAAGAGCTATAGTGCGAAAAGATAACCATAAGACATATGTCACTTGATTTTATTCATTGCTTTTTAGGAATATTTGCAGTCTGCACTTTTGCCTTTGACACTTATGGTGTGATTTTAGCAAAGTTGCCCATTTGGAGTAGAACTAATAATGGCAAGGGCCAACAAGAATGCTGGGGTGAGAACTGGGACAGAAGGGCCATATCCAACTTGATGAAGGGTCTAAACTTGATCAAATGCTTTAACTCCTTGGCATTATGGGTATCCTTATAAAATGGCATTTTTGGTTTCTGCTCTCACATCAAATTTGAACACACATTGTAAAAATTAAATAAGACTAAAGTGATTAGTTTTCTCTGAAATCTTGATAGATTACATTATTACTCAGACTTTTTCCTTATCCCTTACCATATCACTCCTATTGAAGAAAGGCACTTTCCTGTCGACTTTGGACTTGGCCATACCATTGGCTTTGGTCAGTGGGATGTTAGCAGATATGACATGTTGTGGTCTAAGGAGTTGATTAGTGCTCCTTGGAATGGGCAGGAACAGGAACTGGACTTGTGGTTAAAAACACCTAGACTAATTGGACTCATCTGTATCCAATATCCTGGCTAAATTAGGACGTTGGGCGGGGTGGGGGGAGAGTATATAAGGAGAGGTGAAGGAGCAATAGAGACTTCGCAGAGACTTCTACCATCACTGTTCTCCCGTCGGTGCTTCATCCCCAGACCCTCTCTCTGTCCACGTTACTGGCTCTGCTGGCCAGAGCAATGACACAGATACACACTTGAACACTGAGTATTCTGTGGGACTTGTTTTCTCTTGCTTATGCTGTTGTCAGGAGAAGAGCATGACTTGGCAGGCTCACTGAGAAACACAGGAAGATGAAGACTCACATTGCAACTTGGAGTCAAGCCCAGCTGCGCTCATCCTGAACTGAGCTTCAGGTACAAGAGTGAAAGCAATATGTTATTGTGTGAAGCCATGGAGTTTTCCAGTGCTTGTTAACTAACATTGTGTATGAATATCAGACTGATACAAAGTCATCATGCAGTTTTTATTCAACATATTCAACTCTGAAGTGGAAGCCATCCCTTAAGATTGTGCTTATGCTAACCCCTCCAAGTGGGATGGGAGTGAGTCTAAGAGTGGGACTTCTAAGAGTGTTTTTAGGGCTTTTGTCTTGCGCAAACTTTATGTCCTTGTGCAATTCTTCAGTTACACTCTAGAGAATAACATGATAAAGTATCAAATCCTCTTACATTATGCAAGCTTTGCTTCTATGAACAGTTGATACTTAGCCATACTTATGTCACTATTTTTGTGTCAGTACAGGCCAGAATTTTTACAACTTCCAAGATTATCTAAAAGGAATTAACAAAAGAGAATTCTTCAGTTTTAAGAACAGTTTAGAGGTTAAGAAGTATAAAATGGAGGGTGAGTTAACCAACTGGCACAAACAATTGCTATTAGAATAGTTACCTAGGGGCCAGCATGATGGCTCAACTGGCTGATCCTCCATCTGCAAGTGCTGGCAACCCATATGGGCACCAATTCATATCCTGGCTAGTCCACTTCCACCCAGCTCCTTGTTTGTGGCCTGGGAAAGCAGTGGAGGATGGCTCAAGTCCTTGGGACCCTGCACCTGTGTGGGAGACCCAGAAGAATCTCCTACTTCCTGGCTTCGGATTATCTCATCTCTGGCCATTGCAGCTATTTAGGGACTGAACCAGCGGTTGGAAGATCTTTCTCTGTTCTTTCCTCTATCTAAGTCTAAAAAGAGGTACTTGCCTAACATGGATGTGTTCGGTGCATACATAATTCTATTGTACTATCTCTTCTCACAATCACAAGGAAAATAACTATAAGAGGAAGATGTGATAGTTAAATGGATATGTCAATACTTGAGGATTTTTCAGCATAGAACCAAAAGAAATGTTGCTTGATCCACAGTTTTATTTGCAACTTTCCTAATTTTATTACTACTGCTCCAATATGCAACATTTATTATGTTGTACAGCAATGTGGATGCCATGGAAAGGAAATGTTGACTACTGGAAAAGGAGAAGTTTGTAAAAATGAGAAGGGAAACTATTTCTATTTATTTATTATTTATTTATTTAATTAATTTATGTGGGAGGCCCTGGAGGTGGGGCTCTCATCCATTGTTTCTCTCCCCAAATGTCTGCAACAGCCAGTGCTGATGAGGCAGCAGCTGGGAGCTGGGATCTCCGCTCAGTTGTCCCACATGTGTGGCAGAGAAGCAGCTATGGAGCTCTCAGCTGCTGCGTCCTAGGAAGCTGGACTGGAAAGCCAAGACTTGGACCTGGGCACTTCAGTATTGGATGTGGGCATCCAAAATGGCATCTTAGCCACTAAGCCAAACTTCTGCCCCTCAGAACTATTTTCAATGATTTTTTGGGGAAGGGGACTGAATGTTGTCCCTTTGCCCCTTCAGAGATACCATCCTCCCTCCCCTTTCCCTCCAAGTTGCATGGCCCAGGCCACTGGTCTCCATTGACTGCAGCTGTCATTCCTCTCGCCTTTCTTGGCCCTGCTGCCAAGCCATACCAACTAACAGTCGGCAGTGGCCATCCTAGAGGCTCTCTTCCAGTTTCTTCCTAAATTTCTGCAACTGCCCCCTTCTCTGGCATCTTCAGCCCATGGATGGGCACAGCTGCTCCTTTCTGCTAGCCTCAGCTGCATCACCATCCCATACCCCTTCTCCCACCATCCTTCATTTCAACCTCCTCAGTCAGAACCTCACAGAGGTACAAGACCACACACTTATTGCCATTCCTTTTAACATCCCATTCTAGTAATTTCTATATGGTTTCCTGATTCTCAACATGGTAGGCACAAGCTAGTCACTGACTTCAGCCTATGGAGTTCCATAGCTTGGCTTGGAGTCCCAGCTCTGCCATTCGCCAGCTGGGAAACTTTGGATAGGCCAGTTGCCTCTCTGAACCTCACCATCTTTTTTTGCAAAGGAAGATATCATAGCTCATTTGCTAGTTATTTCAGGGATCAAACTGAGATTTTGTCTTAAAGCATTTGGCACAGTGCTGGGCATGAGAGCAGGCAGGAGCTGCCAGCACTGCCATGAGCTGCGAGTTGGGGAGGACATGCTCGCTGCGACCTACCTGTTTAGACACATACAACATGCTTGTGTTCACGCAGGTGAGGCTCTCTTCGTTGCAGCAGCCACCGCAGCGGAACACGTTCACACAGGGCGGCTTGAAGAAGGTGTTGGTGCTCTTTCCCAGCTCGTTGGCCACTTGCACACACGTCTCTCGGGGAATGCATTGGGTTCTTTGCCACTCCTCATCTATGACTGCAGACAGGAAGCTCATTGTGGCCCACGAACCAAGTGCTCCTGACCTGCCACCGGGAGCCAGACTCATGCGGAGCGGTCATTTTCAAATTATTACGATTTGACTGGATGGGTATGCTTGCCAGCCCTTACCCCCAAGAGAGCTTGTAAAGCAGAAACGAAACCTCCTTCTTCTGTCTGCACCACACCTTTGTGGCCTCAGTGCATTTTATTTCCCGCTGGGAACAAACAGCATGTCCCATGCCTCACTAAGAAGAATTGAGAAGCTGGCTAATGAGGAAGTCAATGGAGGCTATAAAGAACCACCCAAACAGACAACTTAAGTGGATCTGGTGTTGCCTTAAATCAGAGTTGTCTCATTTGCAGTGCCTAGTATTGGCGTTTATACAAAATCATGAAATCAGTCATTCATTTCAGTGAATGGAGCAATCCTTTGGTCCAAGCTTTTTTTTTTTTTTTTTTTTTTTTTTTTTTTTTTTTAAGATTTTGGTTCCAGCCATTTTAAGGGAAACAAAAAACACAGAGATAAGCCTCTAGGAGTAAAAATTTCTGTACTTTATCCTAAAAGTGGTTCTTGCTTTTCTCTCCTCATTTGTTCCCTTAAGTACGATTTTGACACTTTGATGCTTAATGCTATACAGCCTTCCTAGGGCTACCTTGTGGGGGAAAGATTCAACTTCATGATAAAAGGACCGCTCGCTTCTAGATTGCCATGAAGCTGCTGACCTTGGGGCTCCTGGTGAAACTGACCCCCCAATCATCTCCACCTCCTGGTAGTCACGCCCTTCCCCTTCGTGTTTGTGCTGGACCTAGTTGCTGCATTCTTATGAAGCAAAGGGATGGGGTGCCATTGCTAATGTGATTAGGTGAGGAAAAGACTACAATCTCCTTCTTGACTAGCTGCTTTCCCTCCCGACCCTCCTTCCTGGCTTGCAGAATCTACGGCCAGGGACTGAGGAAGGCCTCTGGCCAACAGCCAGCGAGGAAGGAGTAGCAGTACAACAGCTTGTGGGGAATCAGCCCTGCAAACAACTGCAAAGTGAACTTGGAAGCACATCCTGCCCCAGTGTAAGCCTTAAGCCGCCACCTGCAGTGCAGCCCTGGGGCAGCTGTAGCCTCAGACCCAACTAGGTCAGGCTTGCACCGCTGACCCATAGAGACTCAGACGCAGAGTGCCAAAGAACAGCCGAGTCTGAGGGGAGTGCATTCTGCAGCACTAGACAAACTCCTCTCCATGTGTACGCCATCCTGAAGCCTTTGCGTTAGTCTAGGGCCAGAGCATCCTGTGCCCCTGTATCTGTAAATAGACTTCCTCCAGAATGACCAGAGAGGGCCTCCGTTCCAAGGACACAGGATATCACTCGGGGAGATTTGGCCTGGGGGAAGTCTGTTTATAGACAGCTTTATTGCACGAGCCGTTCATTCCTTTCATTATGAGACAGTAATTTTCTTACATAGAACCCGTGCACCTTGCTAGCAACCTTTTTCCCTTTCTTTTAGATGCACATTTTCTAGCCAGATGTCACTATTCTGTTTAAGAATTTTCTCCCGGGACCCAGTGAGATGGCCTACTGGTTAAATCCTTGTCTTCCATGTGCTGGGAGTCCACATGGGCACTAGTTCTAATCCCAGCAGCCCCGCTTCCCATCCAGTTCCCTGCTTGTGGCCTGGGAGAGCAGTTGAGGACGGCCCAAAGCCTTGGGACCTGCACCCACGTGGGAGACCTGGAGGAGGTTCATGGTCCTGGTGTTATATCGGCTCAGCTCTGGCTATTGTGACCACTTGGGGAGTGAGCGAGTGGATCTTTCTCTCTGGCTCTCCTATCTGTGAATCTGACTTTCCAATAAAAATAAATCTTAAAAAAAATTTTCTCCCTCCATTTCGTTCCTAGTAATACCAGCGCTTTAGTACTATGACTCAGCTTCAGCTTCTACTCCTTTTACTAAGAGTCACAGAATTGTGAAGTAAACAAGTCATACCCAACTCAGATCTATGCCAGAATACTCTGTTGAATACCTAAGTTATTTATTTTTAAGTGAATTCAGTACTATGAAGAGTGGTTTTCCCCAATCCCATTGCTGAATTGAATTTACGTCAATGTTTTGTAGTGTTTGGGGTCAAGTTTTTTTTTTTTTTTTTTTTAATCTCAAGATCATACTGAATACATCTCTCTACCAAGCACCCCTCCACACTCCGCCATTTTTTCTCCCTCTGATGTGAGCATGAGCCTGCCCTACTCAAACTTTTGGAAGAAGTTAGTACATTTCTCATGCACTGATAGACAAAGAACTTGCTTCCACATTGCCACACCTACCTTTCAGTGCTTCAATGTCATAGAAAGTTGCCGCAAACCGGGTGGAGCGATGAGAGGCTGAGCGGGAGTCCCCAGCACTGACACTTTTGAGCTTAAGCCGGCATTGCCACAGCTTCCAGTCCTCAGAGTGTGTGATGCGCAGCAGTTCCTCCAAGCTCGAAACAGCCCTAATTTGCTGTTCAGACCATTCTAACATTGACTGGGATGATTGCTTTAAAAAAAAAAAAAAAAACCAGTTCAACAACAAGTTATTGAATGTGTCCTGATAATTGCGTTGCTAGGACTTAAAAGTCTACACAGATTTTTTCCAATATATACCAGCTACGTAGGAAAAAGACATCTAATATTGTTTTATTCATATTTAGCTCACTTCTGATTGACTCGAAGGATTCATTCCTCTTGGGTTCAGAACACAAGAAATGTTGCAGGCACCAAATGAATGGTGGACTGCAAAGTGATATGTCTAATCATGACTCCCCAAAGCTGCAAAACACAGCCTAACACGGGAAAAGGATGCCTGCACATGCAGTGCTGTTATGGACCTTGACATGAAACCATCCAGGATAATGTGTGTAGACTAAATCGATGACAAGTGTTCTCACAAGGGGTGGGAGAGGAGAAGACACAGATCTGGAGGAGACAGCCATGTGAAGCCACGGGGGAGGGCTGTGATGGCAAAGAGCCGCCAGAAGCCAGAAGAGCAGTGGAAAGAAGGAGCAGACACAGCCCAGCTGAAACCTTCTTTCAGATTGTTCCCCATATTTTGAAGCCCCCAATTTTGTGGTGATTTGTTAAGTAGCTGCAGGAAATGAAGATGGTTATCACACCTGCTTTGGAGCCAGTGACCACTGCTTCATCTCCATTATTTATTTGAGAAACAGACTCACAAAGGCTTGGTGACCTTCTCCTACAGTCACACCACAGTGACACCTCTAATGCTCTGGAGTCCTTTTAAATTTTCTTTTAAAACTACTTATTGTTTCCAAAACATGACCTTTTCCTGATAAAATACACTACTGGCATTTATGCTGAAATTGATTCTCCATACAGTTGTGTAGAGTGTCTTGGTTGATATAATTGACTACATTGGCTGGGGGAAAGAGAAAAAGCTCAGTCAATGAGGCTTTCAGTATGTGACTTCTTGTTCATGTGAACAATGACAATTAAGTGAATTACAACATCTTCAAAATCAATCATACAGGGGCACATTTGTGGCCCAGTGGTTAAGTTCCCATTGAAATGCCTGCATCCCATACTGGAGTGCCTGAGTCAGAGTACAGGAAATCCTTCCAAGGTCCATAAGTTGACATAGTCTACCTTAGAGTCTCCATTTGCCCAGGTATTTGGAAATACCTGGCTGTCAATACTTGGCTGTCAATACTTGGCTGGGGTAGTTGTCCAAATTTTTCTGCCCTCCTTCCTCTGCTATGGTGCTGGATGTCCTCTGCAGGCCCCAAAGGACTGCCATATCCTCCATGGGCATCTGGGCATGCCGTCCACTGTTTTGTCTTAGCCACTGAGGAGGCCTAGTTCTGACACATGCACTCCACGGTCAGACCACAGATCCTGCAACTCTTCCCACGGTTGAAGTTCTGATTCCAGTGGTTCAGTTGTGGGGGATCCCCAAAGAAACCTGGTTTGAAGTGATCCCAGACCTGACTCTTGTGTGTGTTAGCCAGTATGGGTTCTGGCTCTGTCACCCACATCAGCCTACGCACACACTGGTAGCTGCAACTGCTAGGTCAGTTCTGCCTCCAACCCCATCTCTTATACTAACCAATGGATGCTGAGGCCCAGCCTGACCCAGTCCACTACACACTCAGCCCTCTTGTGCACCAGTGGGAGCTGCAGCCTAGTCGGAGTGATCTCCAATACTCCCCACCAGGCCCACCCCCAGCCCTGGTTCCTGTACTTACCAGTATGTGCAGCAGACTGGCCCAGCTATGATTGCTTTCAAGCTACAATGGCAGTTGACAAGTTGTAACAGAGATCCTCACAATGATTTCAATCTTTTTCCAGGTTTCTTTAGTAGTCTCATCCATTATTTTCTCCATGATCCCATGTATAATATTGTCTCTGTTCTCTTTTTCAGGTACTTACTAGACATAAGCTGGAACCTTCTATAGGTCAATTAATCGGTTGATTTTCTCAATCACCAATTCTCTGTAGCCCAAGTTTATTTTTTTTTAACTTAAGTAACAATAATTACAATTCCAAGTGATTCTACCTCATTCCTCTTTATGTATATTTTTGCTTTGTTCCTGTATATCTTTCTTAATTTATCATCCTTATTTTGTTAATACTATTGCTTTGTGTCTTTGAGGACCCTAAAAACGCTTACTTTTACAGTATTTTTTCCAAATCATTTTTTATTTTAACTTCATAGGTGATTTCTATGTTATTTTTTTACTACTTTTTATTAGTAATAATTATTTGTGTGCTTTGAAATTTTATAGAATAGCTTCATCTTCATTGGGAGACTTTTTTTTATAACTTCTTTCCTTATCATTTAGAAATCTTATAGTTGTACCCCACCCTACGCCATGTCCATAGACCCTGAATCCACAGTGTTACTTAATCGTCCTGATTCAGGGATTAGTTTAACTTAAATCCTGGTGGCAAGGCACTATGTGTTTCCTCATATAGCTCTAGTGAAGCAGCTTCATGGAAGATACGGCTCTAGTTAGCAATGAGCAGTCACCCCTCCTCCCTCTTTCATGTGTCTGATGCAACACATTCATCAAGGCCACTTCCTACTGCAGCCAAGTTCTGAATGGCCTCTGCCCTCCAGCCTGCAACACACCAGTCTTACAGTTTTGGCAGTTTTGTGGATTCAATGCCATTTTTGCACACAGTTACCATGGTTACTACAAACAGCTCACACTAGAATGAAAAACTATCCAATCAACTAAGTTAACATTGGCATGGGCACAAAAGACTAGCCAACCACGAGGCTAACACTGGCACACTGTAACAAAAGGGGAACTGTCAGGAACTGTTGTCTTCTCAAGGTCGGGCACTCTTCCCTCCTGGAGTTATTCTTGGAGTCTTCTTGGATGCATGGGAACTCCCAGGCTCTGAACCGGTCAACCAGCTGGCTGGCAAAGGTGGGGATAAACGCACCAGGGAGATGTGTTTTGGCCTAGGATGTCAAGAGAAACTGCAGCTGCATGCTAATGAGGACCAGAGGAAGGTCCAGCATCTGCAACCCAACTGCCAGGCATGCTAGGAGAAACAGTAAGACTGTTGGTGACGTTCCTGTGTCTCTGTCATCTCTCTGGCTCTCATGGAGGCTTGTGTCAAACAGAGTGTCACTTTCAGAGGCTCTGCCAGGCAAAGATCCCATCCTGGAATAGATCTTTTTGAGATATACACTCTAACCCTTGCAAGAGACTCCCCTAAAACTTGAGGTCGTGGCAAGGATCAAATTATGGACATGTCGGGCCCGGCGCAGTGGCGCAAGTGGTTAAAGGTCCTCGCCTTGCACGCCCAGGATCCCATATGGGCCCCGGTTCTAATCCCGGCAGCCCTGCTTCCCTTCCAGCTCCCTGCCTGTGGCCTGGGGAAGCAGTCGAGGACAGCCCAAACCCTTGGGAACCTGCACCCGCGTGGGAGACCCAGAAGAGGCTCCTGGCTTCGGATCGGCATAGTATCGACCCGTTGCGCTCACTTGGGGAGTGAATCATCGGACGGAAGATCTTCCTCTCTGTCTCTCCTCTCTGTATATCCGCCTTTCCAATAAAAAAAATAATAAAAATAAATCTTTATAAAAAAAATTATGGACATGTCAGAATATTTTAGGGGGTCCAGCTTGACTGGTTGCCATTTTCTATTGCCTGAGTTGCCACAAATCTACAAGGTTCTCTTGCTTAAAAGTCTCAATTTTGTGTGTGTGTGTGTGTGTGTGTGTGTGTGTGTGTCTGTGTGTGTGTGTGTGTGTGTAATAAAGGCAGTGAGGCTTGAATGTGATTATAAACTGAAGGAAAGCGTCAACATGAAGAAACTGAACGCATTGGGCAGGAGAGAGAACGCATGGACCCAAAGGGGTTGGCCTGACCTGAGTTCCAGAGATGAGTGGGAACAGAATGAATAGATGACAGGGTCACCCTGTCAAACAGAAGAGACACAGGGAATAGCGTGGGTTTGTAAACAGGACAGCTTGGGAAGCTCAGTGAGTTCATCGCTATGCTTTCTCACTTCTCTGCAAAGTTGCAATCCAGGACATTTTTTCGGAGTGAGCTCGGGAAGCAGAGCTCACGTTTGTAGATCTGGCATTACATTTAAGCTGCTTGCCACAGATTCTTCATCTAAGAACTCTGGGGATGTGATAGCATACTTGCTAATGAAGCTGGCAACTCTGAAATGGAAAGATTTTCCAATGAGGCTCACTTGTCAATAATCTCTCTTCCTAGTTACTCATTTCTAGTTCAATGGTGTTAAGTGCTTCATATGCAATATAGTCTTCAGGATAAAATTTTGTGATAATGCGTTCACCTGAAAACAATGAAAGAAGCCAACAGCTTCTTAGAGGCTTTAAAATTGGACTACGTTAAAATGACTTTTACTTATTAAGTAATTTCATCTAATAGAATCTGTAAACCTAGATTGATGATAGTTCTTACAGGTTTCAATTCCATCACAGGAATATCTGTAAGCTAGCCAGCCTTGAGAACTCAGGGGAAAATATGAACTCTCCAGACCGGGTCAAAGTCATTACAAGGCTTCTGTGCCTTGCCCTGCCATGAAGACTTCACTGTTTATCCAACTACTCGCAGTTATTTAAGCATGCTTTGTATTATAGTTTAGAATCCAGTTTGAAGTAACTTAGAAATAGAGGTCATTTCACTATTTCAAGTGGAAGTACTAGCATTTCAACGTAAACCAAAAGCTGACAGTGAATGCACTGGCTGATTTTTGTGTAATTCATTTTTGTTATCTGTTCGGGCAAGACAAAAGAAAAAAAAAGTGCTAATACAGATTCAAATACATCAGCGATTGACCTTGATGGTTTTGGCTACTAACCCTTTGCGCAGTAAGTAGCTCATAATTTGTTCCTGTTTTCTGATGGAAGTGCTAATCAAAATTAAAACAACCAAAAAGCAATCAGCAAGAGGAAGGAAATGAAACAAAGGTTACCAGATCTCTGCTTTTCATTAAGAAGCAACCATGCTTTTTTTTTTTTTTTGCTTTCAGTATTTAAACCAAGACTAT